GTACGCACTGCCAGACTTGGGATAAATGGACCTCCATCGAGACTTCCTCCAAGCCTCTTATTGGACATTAAGTAGACCTATGGATCGTTTTGTTAAATTGTTGTTGTTGGTATCGTTCTTGATAATCTTATTCTTGTTGTTGTTGTTATTGTTGTTGTAAAAATCGCTTTTTTTTTTTAATTTACTCGACCAATTGCTTTTCAATTTCTCTATGCTTTACGAGATTCCTTTTTCAGTTTGAAGGTTTTTGCGATGACGTCACCAAAATTACAAATCGCGCACTGTCTGGCCGTTCAGTGATCGCATTTCAGAGATCTGGTGGTCAGCGAAGTCGGGTGTTTTTTGGTAATGAAAACTACCAACACTGTAAAGCAGTGGTCGGCAAACTTCAAGTACTTGCGGGCAAAATATCAACTTTTTTGGTAGCGCGCGGGCCGCAATATTTCCTCCTTTGAACAATCGTCACATTAAACTTCAAATTATGGCGCATTCGCACCTTCTATTGCTGCGTTAAAAGACTGCCACAATGAGTTGTGTATGTGGCGTGTTTCAATTTATTATCCAACAATACATTCCTATTTACTTATTATCAATGTGAAAGATGATGTTTTTATGGCAACTTGCCCGCAGTACTACGTCGTCCAAATGACGATCTGACAAGCTAGTACGAAATTTATTCCAAGTGTAATGCATTTTAGATGAAGCTGCTCACAGCAATATGAGCTTCCGAACGTGTAGATTACACGCTTTGTACTGTCGCACAGATGAGCTGTGGCGCAGTCCCGGGTTTCGGTGTCGAATTTTTTGATGACACGTTACGTAACGAGTTTAACATCAAATCCTTCAATATATGCGGTGCTGACTGCGCAAGAAAGAAAATATTTTCCAAGCACTTTGGAATGTTCGATCCTCGTCGCGAACTTCCCTCAGTTTCTCAGACATTTTCAAATTTTAAAAATGACCTCAAACGGCATACAACTGAGGTTACTTATTGCAAAACAAGCGCGTACAGCAGCACTTGTTACCACATAAATCCGTGTAGAGACAATAATTTTCGGATCAATTTTTGTTTTATGTCTTAAATGTCGGGTCGTTCGATTGCCGCAACAAATTAGCTCGCGGGCCGCAGTTTGCCGACGCCTGCTATAAAGGATTTGATACTACTTCGTTTTCGCCTTACTGTCCTTATATCTGAGCATTTCTCTTTTATTAAAACAGTGTTGGTATTAACGTAACCAAATGCGATGTTAACATTCCATGGAACTCCAAAACATATTTTCTTATTTATCCAAATGACCTGGGACAATTCTACTTGCACAAAGAGCCAAAATTGCTGCTTATTGGATTTTTTTTATAGACAGACCAATGCATTAGGTTTGAAATTCGATTTGAAAATACAACTGATTTGGAATTATTCTCAGCTAGTGGGAGTGGCTATGTTACTATGAGCAACCAAATAGAGCACCGAAACGCAATAGTATTGTGCTCGTTGAATCATTTCATGATCGTTTAAATCCTGTAACAAATTATTTTGATGCAACGATGTGAACAGTAAATACAAGTGATTGATACAAAATTTACTGGACGTATCTCAAATGGCAACGTTTGTATGTCAGCAAAGAAAAACAGTTCATTTTGTCGATTCCCATGATGTCTGTGTGAATCTGAGATATCTCACTCTGCTGCAATTTCATGGTGTGGGCGATAACAGCGTTAATTATTTTATGTTTTTTTTTTAACTTCTGGAACACATATTATACTGTATATTAATATCAGTAGCGCCCCATCCTTAATCAACTTAATCAGCAGTTTACTACGACCGTGAACATGTGCTGGTTTGTAATATGATTTGGCAATCATCTGCAACAAAAAAATGGACTTTGACGTATTCAAAAGAGATTTGCTTTTCACACTTGGAATATTAGCAACGGATGTACACAACCTTTATGGTAACAGTAACAGCTCGGTTAACGTTATCTATTGCGTGAATATTAGAACAAAAATTGAAATTAGACGACGTAGTATTAATGCTGAGTTTGGTATGGACATTGATAGTATTATATGCACTACATATGTACATATATATATATATTATATGTACGTTTTTCGATTGTAGTCATTTAATTACACACTCAATTTTTCTCACACTATTCACGAACGCTCTGTTTGGGAGATTTTATATGAAAACAGGTTTGGCAAATTGCGAAATTATCCGCAAACTGACCTGTTTCAAATAACAGTAATTGCTCGTATCTCTACTGTCACATTATCAAACAGATGAAGCCACAATTACGGGCCTTAAGTCAAGTCACTGTTGACCTGTCTGCCTGACATTCAGTTTCACTTTATTACTAAATGTTGAGATTTGAATAAAGTTGAATAAAGCAGATCCACATATAACCAAACTGCCAAATCAAATAATGTAAATCACGGAAGCTAACTGTGTGGCTGGTCTGATTTGAAACCATTTTGCTAATATGTAGTGCAGAGATCTAAAGAAATTTTTGTTCACGAACACTACTTGACTATTTTTTCACCTGAAGCAAAGAAAAATAAATAATCGATATTCGACGAAAGTAAAAAAGTGGTATAATGAATTCCTATTCAACACAGCCAATACTCAGCAAATATTCCGTTCAAAAGTTATGAAAAACTGGAAAACTTCTCGCCATGTTGATTCATGGGTCTTAATGATTGCATTAATGAAAGCATCGTCCAAAACAACAAAACAAAACATTTTTAAAAGTTTTTATAACGTGATTCACCGTGTTTTTAACTAAAGGTTTTTGCATACTGTGCCACTTTTTATCCAATTATTTGTATATCTGTCCATTCAATTCAATTGTACGGTATCCTTTTATTACATCAGTTATTACGAGTATGCGGAGAGCCATATTGATATACTAATTTCTGCACAATAAAACCAAATTATTTTGGCATATACTGTTGATTCCTGAGAAACGGTTTTGAGAATAAGAATATATATTATTATTGTATCAAGTCTTACTACGGATCTGACGATTTTATCAGTAAAGGAAAATGCTCAAAAATTTCGCCAAGAGAACTTTGTGTTGTATTGAACGAGTGTTATTACTTATCGATTTTAATCGGTAAGTATGTTGATAGGTATTTGTCTGTCTGTATGTCTGTCTGTTAGATGCACGCGATAACTCACGAAAGCGAAATTGAATCTGCTCCAGATTTTGCATGTGCATTCATTATATCTCGGACCAGAAGCCTATTGATTTTGGGCGAATTATGTCGTATAATTAGCGAGTTATTAATTAATTAGTGATGGGACACAAGGTGTCGCTGTGGAGTGAGAGCGCTGTTTCGGGGGATTCCCTAACTTTCGATCGATAAGTCTTCGGTCTCTGACCGATATTCTCGTTATAAGTGTTAAAGAATAATTTTTTGCCTAAAAAATGTAAGATGTTTTTTGGATTTATAGATATGATTGAATGATAAGAGAGCAGTAAGAACATTAGACATATAGGAGACAGGTTTTTGACGCTAGAAGGCGAGCTTGCTTTTTCGACATCCTCATTACTATAGCGAAAATTCCCAGGGTAAGCAGATAGTCTTCATGACAATTATAGCTTTCAATCGGAATACTGATCTAAAGTCGAAACAGTGGAGACACAATACAGTGTCAACTCGTAACTCAAATCGTAACGTTTTAGATCTTTAGAGATATTTAGAAAAACAATATCTTTATCCCTTATCTTTGAAGATCATGAAACTTAAAGAGTTTACATGGAGAGTATAATATAATATGCGAGAGATTAGTACCGAGATTCGAAAAACAAATGGGTATATATTACTTCTGCTGCGAGCTTCGCTTTAACTTCAAAGAATATATTCTTGAATTGAAAGTAGTCTGTTTACAATTTGTTTTTAACGAAGTTTCCGAAACACAAGATAAGATATCCACGGTAAAGTAAATTCTTCTGAAAAATAGACGCTTAAATTGTCAGAATGTTCATAAGAATTTACATTTGTTTTATAAAATAAAAGTTCCAATCCAATCCATTTTCGGTAGAATATTTTGGTAAATATATATTGTCTCAGTGAAATATGGTAGTAGTTTCTCCTTCTATGTTGTCCAAAACGACTTCGAGCGCCAAAGGCTATTTACCGATACAACTGGTTTGTCAAGTTTTTGTTTAGACTACTATATGAAATTTTTATGGTATGATGCAAATGGATTTCGTCTCACCAAATCATTAAGCTAATCCCAAAACCGTAAAGTAACATTAAAAAATGAAATCATCTTTGAACTGCGCAAGAATGGACTTAAGTTTTTATCGTGCCAGTTTTTGTGCGAATTGATTTATATTTTAATCGTTTTTTTTTTGATAAAGTGTATAAAATAAAACACTTTAGTGTTTGACACTATTTTTGGTGAAAGTTTGCAGGAGCAAATTCTTTTCTTGTATAAAAAAATGAGTGAAATATGGGATAACGATAAACGTAAAGTAAATATTATACAACCAAAATGAGAAGTACCGCGTAATAAACGGAAATATACAATTAGTCTCTTGTTACAAAGTGCAACATGAATGCATTTTTTAGATGATAAAGAAGATTAAAATACGTCAGCCGGTCGGGTAGCCTGCGGCAGATACAAAAATTACAAAAAGTTTTTTTTTTTTAAACTCATAAAAAATTCATAATCAAGAATCGTAAATTCTGTTATTCACAGAAGTTTGTATTTTAGTCTATTATCAGATATGTGTCAGGTCGCGCACATAAAATCGATTCATATACTGTAATCAGTTACGTTAATTTTAATCGTTTTGAAATGCGGAATTCGGTCCACGCTGGTATTTTCAGAAATAGTAGAACGTTTTCATCGATATAGATTAATTGTAATTTTATCGTTTCATTGACATACACTGTTGAAATATTTAGCACAGGAAATTAAAATAAAAGACTTCAACCGATTACTTCTAATATATAATATTTATTCAATAATTGAAAAATACATGCATTCAATTAAGTGTATAAAATCTTAATTGTCAACATCATTGTTACAGACTTCGATGAAGGCTATGTAGCTTCACGTAAAACATATTTAAGCGAGTCGTAGAGAAATGCAGAGGTACTGGATACGATTAACTAAATTTGGAATAGGATTCATTTCAATTGTATTGCTCAGCCTTTTTATATGGAAACAAGTTGATATTAAGCGGAGCAAAAAAGATCATCAACTCCAAGGTGGAACTATTGAAAATATTGAATTTTCAATACCAGATATCATTTTTTATGTTATAATTGAATTTTATGAATATGTTAAATGCTTAGATAAGTATATTTTGCTGAAAAAAAAGAGAGATGAATCAAAGTCCTATATAAAAGGTTATTACCTGGTGCTGAATGAAATCAATATACTGATTTAGAAGTATACTTTGAGGATGCATCACCAAATTGCAACTTTGAATCTGGTGCGAGATACATTATACTTATCAGTTAAATGACTTCGCGGGTCCCATGAAAATTAGGAAATTTCACATTAATTTGATGTTTAAACGGATCGGAAACCCCAATTGTAATAATTCCTGAATTACGACTGAAATGTACATTGTGATTGTTATGATTGCATGTTGAATTCTATCGGTTTTCTGTAAACAATAAATGTTTTTAGCAAGGACCAAACTAGAAATATTATCACTGCAATATAATTGGCGTTTTGAGGAAGTCCGACTGACTTTAGTAACAGGCTTTTTGATATTCCATTAGATTCCTATTATTTGCATATTATGAGCATATGAGCATATTATGCTATTAGAAATTGAGTCGAATATGTTCTTTCAGATTATTTTGAATTGCCAGAGTTTGACAGTGGTGAGATTCAATATTTTTTTTATCATTATCAATATAAAACTTATAAAATGCTAGCAACGTTGTGCTAACCAAAACTTTCATAATTCTTAGCATTCAAAGGCATTGGCACCAGTCATTTTTTCTCAATTTTTCTTTTTAATATTTACTATATATATGTTATTTCCAGGTTTTAGCATTTTTATCGTATCATTAAATTTAAAGAAAAACTCCATTATTTCCATGCATTAGTTTACTAATATATATAATCTATAAGATAATCGAATGTGAAGAATGTAAGGTTTTTTGTAGACCTGTTTGTTGCCTTCGCCAATGCCAATGTATTCATATTTTCACTATATATGCTGTCATTAAGTAAAGTTGGATCAATAATTAGAACTTATGCAACACCTTTGCTAATAATATTTGGCAATTAACTTCATCTATAATGCCAATTCATTTTTAACGGCATGGGTTTGTGAAATTTCAAATTTTTCATGTTGAGCTTTTTGTTTCAATGCTTATTGCTTAATGTCAATTTTTGCTAAAGCTACTCGTGTAAGGTATTCAGTATTGGCATAACATAGCATTGCTATTCTTTAATAATATGCATGTTGCTCCTCTAAATTATGCAATTTGTACAACAGTTCCTCTAGATATCGATAATGAAGAATGGCTTCTGCGCGGTGAGTGAATTGTTGCAAGCTTCCTATATATTTTTTTGTTTTAAAACACCAACGGCAGTATGTGAAGAAACCAGGGGAATACAATTTTAATGCTTACCAATAAGCGACATGACTTACTGTAGGAGGCGCGATCACAATGCCTCTTATATTCCATCGCTCTTTCCATAACCGCACCCCTAGAAATAGGGTGTCCATGGACAAGGCCGGGTAAATCGTTAGAATTTCTCTGTTTTGCTAAAGACAAAGTATTCTAATATTTTTCATTTTTTTGACATGAACAATATTAAACTCACTCAATGTAAATCTATGTATATATATGTATTTAAAATATGACATTCTCGGACTCGGTATATCTTACCTAATGAATGCCAGATTTCTAGTTGATTTAATAGAATCGATTTTACTAATGACCGTCGCAAACATTTTTAACGCTAAATATTTTTTAATTTTTATTCATAGAAATCAGCGAAACGGTTCCAGGTAAGTCAATATAGTTAGTTCTGGTAACTTCGCAGATATACAATGGAATGATAGCCTTCAAATTCTAATATCAGAAGGTATACGGTTCAGTTCATGGTAGGATTAAGATGGATTGGTATATCCAAATGCGCACTGGGAACTTCACCCGATATTTGCTGTATGTTCATATGGTATTGGTTTTATATGAGTTGGTTGCATATGCATATTTTCAGCTCTATTTTTTACATCACGTTACCAACCCCATCGGAAGGTCATTTAGTAGATATCTCTATAGTCTCTTTAGACCAGTGGTCCTCAACCACCGTGCCGCGGCACATTGGTTACCCGCGGAATGATTATTGGTGTGCGGCGAAGTGATTTACTTTTTGAATTTATTTCAAGTGATTCCAATTTCCAATATACAGTCGAAAGTTAGCATAAGATGAGAGTAAACAAAGTGTGTGTGCGCGCGTAATACAATCGACACCGAACCCAGGCGCATATACTTTCCGTATATTTTTTGGGGGGTTTGGATTCGCAACCAAAAAAAAAAACACTGCGTCGTGCATCGTTACGTTGCGATAACCTTTCGATGTCATTCTCTTTAAATCATTTTACTATTCATATATCCAGTACCTAGGCCGCTTTGCTTGGGCACGGAACTCGCGCGTCACTAAACCGATCCCTTGAATTCCGCGGGAATTACCCCGCGGCTCTTGCTAACAAACAGAAACAACAAACTTGAGGAGTCGTATTTGTGTATTTTTTTCAATTTTTAGTTTTGCATAAAGCACCAACACCGTTTCGTATAGTTGGAAACGCCAAACAGGGTAACAAATTATTGTGCGAAATTTTTATTCAAATTTTACCAAGGAATTATTGTTTGACTAATAGAATTGCCTTTATTGCCGATTTATTGAATCATTATTTAAACTCAAAATAACATTCAGGATTAACGCAATGACTTTGCCGGGTTTTTATTCACTATTTAATACGAATATAAGACTGGCACAAGAGTAAAGTAAAATCATAAGAAGGTCAACTAAGGTCTTCATAAATATCCGCATTCCGGCGTCAGAAATGGTAATATTGTTAGCTTCAAATTGAGACAGATAATTTACAAACGGTGGGGAGAAAGATCAGAGCCGATGCAAAAGATAAAATTTGGAATAAAATCCCGAATTTACTCCTAGCTGTTGGTAACATATGTCTCCGATATGAACGCATAGTTCTCCAAGGAATATGAACCAAATTTCGACGTTCGTTTCGTCGTTGTGTAAGGATTGGTCCTTGTAAAAAAGAGGACGGGCGGAAATGGCTCACCAACATTAGAATGTCTAGCATTTTGGATGTCCGTTGTAAATATACTAAAAATACCCTATATTCGATAAAATCGTTAAAAGTATTCGAAATATTCGATTCGATAAAAATATTCCATTTCGCCCATCCTTGAGGTCTGTAATCACGTCAGTAATCTGGCGAAACGCGTGTTAGTCCAAACACTGATGCAATGAAACTTAACAAAACCTTCATTAAATTTAGTAAATTGCACTAATTCACGAAAGCGTAGTATGATTGACGATTAGTTTCTGCAGTCTGAAAAGTCGAATAAGCGTTTCGACATAGTAAATGCTATGATCATTGCCATAAAATTATGCTCGGTCCTCGCGGGAAATTCATAACGTGAAAAGATACGTCCAGCGGTTTAGAACAACTTTAAACCTATTTAGTGTTTTAGTGATAATATTCAATTGTTGTAATGATATACAGTTTGTTTGCCTATTCCATTTTTCTGGTAAGTGTCGACAATACCACTATTGAATGATTTTGGCGATGGGAGAAACATATTAAATAGTAACAAAGAAGAATAAGGTCGTGCGAAAGTGAGAATACATGTGATAATAATAATGGCGTAACGGGGAAGGACAAGCAAAACCGAAGCGCGTGATCGGCGGCATTGCGTCTGAAGACCACGTTTTACCCGTGTGACCGCGCATCTTTTACGATAATGTGAAGTGTTCCTAAGGCGCTCTCATCATTTTGTAAAGCGGAAACAACAGGTGTTTAGATATAGACGAAATTACTGGGGTTCAACGCCTCTCCTCGCTTGCGTTAAGAGTGTGTCTCTCTCAGAGAGTTAAAAGAGTATGTCTCTCTCACATTCGTCTACAAATTGCAGCAGTAGTAAAGGAGCACTAGGCATAACAGTCCTAATGACATTCGCCATTATTATTCCATACATGTTACTAAATACAGCTAACGTCCTATAATAAAAATTCTTTTCATCATTTTAGTACTTTTTTAAAACAACCAAATTCTCAAAACCAACTAAATTTGTAATATTTATTAGGTAGGCTGGTTTGTCTGAGAAGAAAACCGAAAATTCGTGAATTAGGAAAAATAGTTGAAGGTGAATCGAAGGTTTCAATAAAAATCAAGGCTTTCACCGGATCTGAAATTGTTGTGGAAGATGAACTCAGGCGAAATTCGGAAAAAAAGGCTTCTATCTCAAGTCTTTCGCCAACTAGACCGATCGGATGTTGCCCACCAGGTGATCCCCATGGAATAGTATATCGACCAGGATCAGCGTGCTGTAACGATGTCATTTACAATGTATCTTCTCACTTCTGCTGTATATTCCAATCTAAGTAAGTTTAATGGTCACCACAAACAGGTTTTAACTTTCCGTAATATTGTATATTTCACCAAAATTAAAAAGGCAAGGAAGTCTGATGAAATTGGGATTTCAAAGCCCCTTAATTCGCATTTTTGTCTCCTCGAAGGATCATTCATATTTTTAAAGAACAATAACAGTAGCAATAAACTGGTTCAGAGAAAAAATGTGATTTTCTAAGTAGTGTGGCAATGGCTTTTTGTTATTCGAATGATTGTAAAGTTTCAATAGGTCAATGGCCATTTCAGCATCTATTCAAGATGGAATTATATTTCCAGAGTCATGAAATTGCACCCTAATGACCTCGATTCCTGTTACTCTCCCAAAGAAGCGGCACTGAATTCAGGTTGCCACGTCTCCGACCTTGATCTTGGTTCTAAACATCCAATGTCATATGAATGTCAAGGGGATCATGATGCCACACCCAACTCATGTGATTTTATCTGTCCGGAGGGAAGTCGGCCAAAAAACGGAATTAAAAATGCCGAATGTTCGACTGAAGGCATATGGAACCGAAAACCAATTTGTTGTAAGTAAACGAATTTCGTTTTTGCCAGATTTCGTATGTATTTCACTTATAAAAAGCTAACACAGTAATCAATGTTCACTTGGAGCTACAATTTCGTATTTGATTCTTGAAACTTTTGATGTTGTCATTTTATAAATTTATCAATTTTGTATTAAATGAAAACAGGGAAATATATTAACTACAATTTTTATTTCCGGTATCGAAACAAAAAATCAAATACTTGACGGATGATCCATAAACACAAATGTCACCAATTATGGCTTCGAAACTGAATTAGATTTTTTTTTAAAACTGGGTGTATGTGTATATGCTGTACCTGTTTTATTGTCGATCCCTGTAGTTGCGGCTGGTGTTTTATCGAGAAAATCTATTTTATTATACAAACATATTTCTTGTACTATTGTACAACCGTTTGTCTAAAAAAGTTTTATGACTTAGCAATCTAGAATATTATATATTTAAGCCCTATTTATCTACTAGCAATATACTTCAAATCAACCGTCGACATTCACAGAAATGATTTTCTTGTAAGGTAATTGCACGATTAGCAGCTCATTTAGTTTTTTTCAAATTTTTATCAATTGAAATGAGTTCACTAGAATCTGATTGTTGCCTAGTTTTATAATTGTTATATATCGACAAATGCGCTATTTGCTGAGTATCAGTTCATTTTGAATAAAGATATTAAGTTATAACCTTCAAATCGGTAAGTTAGAACATATGGTTGAAATCGAGACTGTAACATAAGTCATGTTGTTTAAAATACGGAGATCAATTTCTAATCCGAAACATAGTAGAATTCTTTTTAACACGATCGATTAATCGTGAATCTATTCAATCTATCAGTCAAAGTGCTCGCTTTTATACAAATGAGTTTCATGGTATCATATTTTAAAAAACTTTATTGAAATAGCAGTGCTTAAGCTGACATAAAACATTATATTTGTAGGTCAAGGATGCGATGAAAATTTTCAACTCGACCTATGGTTCTTGATTCAAATCTCTGATGTACCCACCATTTCGAAGTTTTTGCAGGATTTTCTTTCTCATTTCCCGGTATCCCAGGTGTGTACACTTATAAGTACATTATTTATATAAAGTGATAGCGAAGCAATCACAGAAATTTTGTAGCAACAATTTTTTAAATCTAGTTTTCATCACCTCAAACGTTGAAATAACATTGGACTAGTTGTTCAATTTCGTACTAATTATTAAATATATTTCTAAATAATGGTTGGAACTTATAGATTACCGTATTTTTATCGTTTTCATCAACCTAAAATTTATTGGCCCTCACATTTTCGCTATATGTACGCAACCAAAATATACCCTTACGTAGCAGTGTTTATTTATTTTGGCAGTTCTTTGGTGATAGCATCTAGGTATTTAACACGTATACGGACTGGTACTACTGAAAAGTCTAAAAATGAAAGCATAAATTTTAATAGAATTACACAGTAAACTAATCTCTTAGATAAAACATTTACAATTATCCTTCTATTAATCTGTGCATATTACGATGAAATGCTTTGATGAGTTTCCCTACACTCTTGTGTATGAATGCTCTGTATGCTAGGAACAAAAACCCTTCATATATCTTTCTATGTATTCTAACAATTTTTCTACCATACTTCTTCTTAAACCCGTCGGACAACTTTCAGAGGACTTTGACTTTATGTCTTGCTAAACACTCTACATAATCCTACATAATTCATATTTGATATGATTTCATTTCATTAGTTCACTTTGGAAATTCTGTTTCGAAGCCTGGAATATTTCTATAGCGCTATGGATTATATAGCAATAATCATCTTTGTTCATCCGCTGTTCAGAAACGTGTCGAAATAAAATCTACGAGATATCTAAAATAATCAATAGGTTCCCTTGCTTATTTCGAAGAGACTGCCACGGATTAGACGTACTGACCTTAAACCAGTAGTAGGCTATAGAGAATTTTTGCATTGAGTTGGATCGAAGTTTATAAGTTTATCTGATTAAAAAAAACTCATCAATTTTAATGTATTTGAAATTAGGATGGTGTTCGAGTTGGAATATACCTGTTCAATGATACCGTGTCATCGTCTGATATTGATTTGCATTCTCATGAAAGTCGCAAAGATGTTATAAACACAATCGACCACATTTCGCTCAAAGGTAAGAAAACACGTCAGTTACTTGAAACTGTATTTCGGCAAAACGATTATTAGTTCAAGTCGTCAATAAAATTGATAAATACTTGGCTTATCGCTCGCACGTAGTTCTAAGATTTCACCGTTTTGTATCAGATTAAAGGGGGTACTATCTGGTAACATCCGATACTATCGTAACTATATAGCTATATTGGTAACATTTGTTATCTAATATCAGTCAAATATCCCCATCAATTTAATAACTTATATTGCTGAAAAATTGAATCATCACTTGCATGTTAAATCGTCATCCAAGGGTAATATCTGTTTGTGTACGACTATTTAATCTGAATATATCTCTTGACTCAGGCGATGGAATAAACATAGGAGCAGCTTTATCATGGATGGCGATAAATGGTTTTACTAAAGATTCTGGCGATCGTCAACATGTTGATAACATGGTTATACTTATTCTTCAAGGTGAACATCTATAAAATCTTTTTGTGGAAGTAACATTGATACACTTACTGATAGAGGCATTGTCTCCGAATACCCTTTTTCAAATAAATATCTTATGCCGTAGTATTACAAAATCTTGACAGATAATTATTTAAAACAAGTTTTCTGTATTAATAACAAAACTAATAAGTGATAAGTTCAGGTAAATTGGAAAAATACGCATTCATTTAAAAATCAAATTGTCTTCGTAGATTTAAAAACCAAAATTCTTCAACAATTAGTTACCAAGTTAGTTTATTTTTTGTATTATTTAAATATGAAAAAAATACGTTTTTGTTCAGATCACCCAAAAGACTCAATTTTTGACGGTGCAAAAATGTTGAAATACAAATCCGATGTTTTATCAATTGGAGTTGGATATGACATAAATGATGATGATTTATCTGCAATGTCTACAGGCTCAGAAAATTTTTATCGCTCGACTAGCTCTGAGAATCTGATTAGACTCAGTACTCCATTGCATAATAAGATATGCGGTGAAAGTTGCATATTTCGTCGTTCATAAATTAGTAACAGCAATTATTTTGAGATTGGAAGTTGAACGTAAATAAAATAAAATAAATCTATAAAGAGCCATTTGATTACAGAGTAAAAGTTACAAAACTGAGTTCGTACGTTAATACCTTTGGCAATGTCGTTTGGATATTTTACATTTATGTAAAAATATATTAAAATGAATAGAAGTTGTGATCAAAGTTGGCTCTTCTTTCTTAGAACAATTCGTTACTTGTTTGATATATTGATATTACACGGAGTTTTTTAGGAAGCAGTAGTTTGGGATATGTTCTCATCCGATGGCGAATGCCTCTTCGAAGTTCAATAACGGTTTTAATGGTTGCGTTCCATTTTAGATAGACTGTATATTAAAATTTGTATTGAACATTTATTATTTGATTTGACTGGTATGTATTTTCATATAATGACGACGATTTTCAAGTTTTCTGGAATGACATAGAATTAGTCTGTCCCTACAAATAGCTGTTTATTCACGAACGGAAAAGTGGGAAATGTACAACAATCATAACGCCCCCAAGCGAGCAAGCTTTCCAAAGGCTCGTGCATATGAATTCACTTCTTCTCATGGTGAACAGAGACAAATTACCCCACAGTATGTACATACTGCACAAAGAGAAGAATGAGATAATCTGGCCTGGAGGTGAGCTAATATGATGATTAGCAAGCATGGCACTTATATATTATAACTAGGCTATTGCATTCGAAAATTGGCGACTGTTAGCAAAAGAACATGCGACATTAGTTACAAATCATTGTATATAAATATACCATTTAGCACTAATTTCTACCAACAGTGTTTATTTTCAAAGCATCAGTGACAGAATATTAAGAAACTGTATCGTATTTTTGCCTGTCCTGTTTATATGTATACTTAGTGATCCCACAGAAACCGTTGACAAAAAATAAGTAACTCAATATTAGTCAGGATAGTGATACAGTACTGGCTTTGACTTTCGTTAGAAGTGACTATAAACTATTATGCGGACTCTTTAATTGAACACGTAGTTGACATATGGATCGTTTTTGGACACGTTAGTGGACATAGTAACGTGTCCATATATTTGAGCATAGCTCTCTTTTGTTTTTATGTTGTTGTTGTCCTTCATCATGTTATTCTTCTTCCTATTGTTTTATGCCATTCTCTTTGATTACTAGACTAATTACTTTGAAATTTTCAATGGTTGAAGATGTAATTTTTTTTTCAGAAAGCTATTACTTTTATTTATTTCTAAATTTCCTATGAATCCTATGAGATCCGATATAGGCCGCGAGCAGAGGCCCTGAAAAACGCCTAGAAAGTGAATTTCGTAGCGCACATCAGGTAACTACCTGAAAATGATTTTAAAATGTTCCTTAAAAATTTAGAAACAAATATTGCCTTGTTCCAACTTCCAAAAGTTGCACGTTTTACGGAAAAGACTCTTTCACTACAAGAAATATGTGCTACGATCTGTCCTAAATTCTCTACATTTCCGGCAATGAACAATGACTTCTGCATGACGTAACAATTGAATCGAATCAGCTGTTAGCGAGCGGATGAATCTTAGTTATTACTGCTCGATCTTGCGTTGAGTTGGTCAGCCTTTCCATAGCCCTGTTTAGTTATTATTAGTTGAGTTATGCTAGGACGTTGTTAAAAAGTATAAGTAAGTTATACTTACTAAGTTATACACTTGTAGATCCTTACCACGGATATGGGCCGTGAGACGAAGCCTTGAAAACGCCCAGAAAATGAGATTCGTAACGCACATCTGGTAACTAAATAAATTCTCCAGTTTGTGTGAAAACGAACATACTGAACGCATTACAGCTTGTTCCACAATCCTGATGCGAAATTGAATATAAGAGGTTCCCGGAGATTCAATAACCATAAGTTTACAACACATACATAAGAACTATGCAATTCGAGAGCCCTACAGCAGCACACTAACACAAATGTATTCCTGTAATGTCTTGCCTGACCAAAATCAGACTTCCTCAGTCAATCATAATTTATTAGGTAGATTACGAATAATATGTCATACATGTAAACAACAACAAAAAATTAATTGTGTGACAGGAGTCGCGAGTGACCTCGAAAGGTCTTCAAGCAGCGACATCAACAACGCTGATTCACATTAGCGAATAAATTTTATGTGATAACCGCATGCATTTTATAACAAGAACAGCATAAAAAGCTACATTCATTTTATAGAAGCTATCAAACGTATTTATTTTTGAGCAATGAAGTCACAATTTAACATCGTGAGCACGAAAACACAAATAAATCAGTTATTTCTCACTTAGAAATTTACCAGAATAGTCAAGAAAATCAAATGAATGTACAATATGTACATAACATAGTGAACAGAAATATTAAAATTAGTCTTTTTTTAGTTTACGTGGTTATGTATTTGAACAAAGGCAATATTATTTCTAGAAACAGGACTACGACACTAACAAATGTCCGAAAAAACAAACAAATGAATGATACTTATTAAATCAACTCCAATATCTAATTCACTTTCTTCTGAATTGTTTTCAAAATCCACTATCTCGAAAATCGACTTTTCCTCTATAAGTGTACTGTGATTTTTACAGTCAATACAAAAACAAAAATCTGTGCAATTTAAGTTGATTTTGGCACACTTGCATAAATTATTTTGACTATTTTTCTTACACTTGCAGTTTGCCAACTCGAGAACTGTTTGAGGGCTACATGCTTCTTCAGTGAATCATTGTTGGGTGAAAGAGTATAATCCTTATGTTTGTCAGTGTTAAATAGACGTGCCCTGGTATCATTTACATTCTTCATATCCTCTTCATACAGTGAACAAACAAATTCCTCAGCTTTATTTATTAACCTTAAAAGATCTTCATAGTTGAGAAAAAAAATCAATTGAAAACCTTAAGGAAGTCTCCAACATGAGTTTGATGGGCAGTTCCAATTGCAGAAAAGTGATAAAGTATTTCAATATGAATAGCCCATCTAAGCTGTTTGCAACTATTATGATTCTCATATACCTTTACGCTTCAAGACTTCTTGTTTAATCCATTTTATAGCACTGATAGCAGCAGGGATTAAAGCCTGCGTTAGGTCGGATTGGTGGAACATTGCCGTTTTCTTTTGTAGTACAGTATCTAAAATGAGGAAGAAAATTATATTTGGAACAGCATGAGTGTAAAAATACCACTAAATACTAACTAATACCTTGAATACATAATGCATTTTATCTGATGTACTCAATGAGCGTATATATGCTCATTGCATGTACTACAGTCCAGCAGTGTTTGCATACCCGTACTAGACTATATCTACACTAAATATTTTGATATAGTCTATCACAGTCTGAAATGCCCTATGACAGTATGAGTATGGACTATAGACTATATTTTAAAACATCAACTGTCTGTCTACAACTTGATTTCTCACCGCTCAATTGTTTCCAATGCTACTTTCTCCCCACTTCGGCATAACTTATCATTGCTTCCCAGGTTCTTGTCGATTCTATGAATTTAGATTTAGACCAAGCGACATTAGTAAAACTGATTATTTTCTTCTTTTTCACACAACCGTGCATTACAGAAACAGCCATTAATTCCTATTTCCAAATATTCTGTGGCCTATATAGTAGTATAAGTCTGCTGAATAGTCAAGAAGAGTCATTAAATTAATCATAAACATTTCATGCAAGCCAGAAAATATCGTTGTTTGTAACCTATTATTCTAGGTCTAGCCTTCCTTGGAGTTACCGCACCGTACCTATTTAACAACGTCTTATGAGCTAGTGCTCAACTAAAATTGCTATTTATGGTAAGGATATACGAGTGTTTAATATCTTACTTATACTTTTCAACACCTCCTTAGAATAACTGAACTAATAATAACTGAAATAACTATGGAAAAGCTACTCAACGCAAAAGCGAGCAGTAGTACATCTGATATTCATCCACCCACGGGGGATCCACCTACAGCTGACTAATTTGATTGTTACGTCATGCAGAAGTCTGCGTTCATTGGCCCATGACACCGGAAAAGAGGAGAAAATAGGACAGATGGTAACACATATTAATTGTAGTAAAAGCGTCTTTTCTGTAAAACGTGCAATTTTTGGAAGTGGGAGCAAGGCAATATTTGTTACTACATTTCTAAGGAACATTTTAAAATCATTTTCAGGTAGTTACCTTATGTGCGCTACAAAACTGAAAGATAAATGGCCTCGGCTCGCGGCCTAATAGTTCATTAAAAATTTCACTGTATTAACTTTTACTTGTTTTAAGCAGTTCCGCCAAACGTGACGACTGATTCTGAAAATCCTTGCTAATGGAATCTCGGAAGTTTTTTGAGGGTACCGGTAACGTCAAAGGTAGGAGCTGCTTCGCTCTGGTCTACGTGGGCATTTATTTTAGCATTGCTCTCTTGTTCATTCATTGTAGGCCGCGAGCCGAGGCCATTTATCTTTCAGTTTCGTAGCGTACATAAGGTAACTACCTGAAAATGATTTTAAAGTGTTCCTTAGAAATTTAGTAACAAATATTGCCTTGTTCCCACTTCCAAAAGTTGCACGTTTCACAGAAAAGACGCTTTTACCACAATAAAAATGTGTTACCATCTGTCCTATTTTCTCTGCTTTTCCGGTATCATGGGCCAATGAACGCAGACTTCTGCATGACGTAACAAACAAATTAGTCAGCTGTAGGTGGATCCCCAGTGGTCGGATGAATATCAGATGTACTGCTACTGCTCGCTTTGGCGTTGAGTAGCCTTTCCATAGTTTTTTTCAGTTATTATTAGTTCAGTTATTCTAAGGAGGTGTTGAAAAGTATAAGTAAGATATTAAACACTTGTATATCCTTACCATGAATACCAATTTTAGTTGAGCACTAGTCTATCTCATAAGACGTTGTTAAATAGGTACGGTGCGGTAACTCCAAGAAAGGCTAGACCTAGAATAATATGTCACAAACAACGATATTTTCTGGCTTGCATGAAATGTTTATGATTAATTTAATGACTCTTCTTGACTATTCAGCAGACTTATACAACTATATAGGCCACAGCATATTTGGAAATAGAAATTAATGGCTGTTTCTGTAATGCACGGTTGTGTGAAAGAGAAGAAAATAATCAATTTTACTAATGTCGGTTGGTCTAATCTAAATTCATAGAGTCGACAAGAACCTGGGAAGCAATGATAAGTTATGCCGGAGTGGAAAGTAAGTAGCATTCGAAACGATTGAGAGGTGAGAAATCAAGTTGTAGACAGACAGTTGATGTTTAAAAATATTGTCTATAGTTCATACTCATACTGTCATAGGGCATTTCATACCGTGATATATCAAAATTTAGTGTAGATATAGTCTAGTAATGGTATGCAAACACTGCTGGACTGTAGTACATGCAATGAGCATATATACGCTCATTGTGTACATCAGATAAAATGCATATGTATTCAAGGTATTAGTTAGTATTTAGTGGTATTTTTACACTCATGCTGTTCCAAATATGATTTTCTTCCTCATTTTAGATACTGTACTACAAAAGAAAACGGCAATGTTCCACCAATCCGACCTAACGCAGGCTCTAATCCCTGCTGCTATCAGTGCTATAAAATGGATTAAACAAGAAGTCTTGAAGCGTAAAGGTATATGAGAATCATAATAGTTGCAAACAGCTTATATGTGCCCATCTGCCCATCAAACTCATTTTGGAGACTTCATTGAGGTTTTCAATTCATTTTTTTCTCAACTATGAAGATCTTTTGAGGTTAACGAGGCATTAATAAATAAAGCTGAGGAATTTGTTCGTTCACTGTATGAAGAGGATATGAAGAATGTAAATGATACCAGGGCACGTCTATTCAACACTGGCAAACATAAGGATTATGCTCTCCACCCAACAATGATTCACTGAAGAAGCATATGGCCCTCAAATCAGTTCTTGAGTTGGCAAACTGCAAGTGTAAGAAAAATAGTCAAAATAATTTATGCAAGTATGCCAAAATCAACTTAAATTGCACAGATTTTTGTTTTTGTATTGACTGCAAAAATCACAGTACACTTATAGAGGAAAAGTCGATTTTCGAGATAGTGGATTCCGAAAACAATTCAGAAGAAAGTGAATTAGATATTGCAGTTGATTTAATAAGTATCATTTATTTTTTTTTCGGACATTTGTTAGTGTCGTAGTCCTGTTTCTAGAAATAATATTGCCTTTGTTCAAATACCCACATAAATTAAAAAAAGACTAATTGTAATATTTCTGTTCACTATGTTATGTACATATTGTACATTCATTTAATTTTCTTGACTTTTCCGGTAAATTTCTAAGTGAGAAATAACTGATTTATTTATGTTTTCGTGCTCACGATGTTAATTTGTGACTTCATTGCTTAAAAATAAATACGTTTGATAGCATCTATAAAATGGATGTAGCTTTTTATGCTGTTCTTGTTGTAAACTGCTTGTGGTTATTACATAAAATTTATTCGCTAATGTGAATCAGCGTTGTTGGTGTCGCTGCTTTCGAGGTCACTCGCGACTCCTGTCACACAATTAAAGTATTTTTTGTTGTTGGTTACATGTATGCCATATTTTTCGTAATCTACCTAATAAATTATGATTGACTGAGAAAGTCCGATTTTGGTCAGGCAAAACATTACAGGAATACATTTGTGTTAGTGTGCTGTAGGGCTCTCGAATTGCATAGTTCTTATGTATGTGTTGTAAACTTGCGGTTATTGAATTTCCGGGAAACCTCTTATATTCAATTTCGCACCATGGTTGTGGAACAAGCTGTAATGCGTTCAGTATGTTCATTTTCACACAAAACTGAAGGATTTATTGAGTTTCCAGATGTGCGCTACGAAACTCATTTTCTGGGCGTTTTCAAGGCTTCGTCCCACGGCCCATATCCGTGGTAAGGATCTACATGTGTTTAATAACTTACTTATACATTTTTCAACAACGTATTAGCATAACCAAACTAATATTGACTAAACAGGGCTATGAAAAGGCTGCCCAACTCAACGCAAGGCCGAGCAGTAATAACTAATATTCATCCGCTCGTTACAAGCTGATTCGATTCAATTGTTACGTCATGCAGAAGTCATTGTTCATTGCCGAAAATGTAGAGAATATAGGACAGATCGTAGCACATATTTCTTGTAGTAAAAGCGTCTTTTCCATAAAACGTGCAACTTTTGGAAGTGGGAACAAGGCAATATTTGTTACTAAATTTTTAAGGAACATTTTAAAATCATTTTCAGGTAGTTACCTGATGTGCGCTACGAAACTCACTTTCTAGACGTTTTTCAGGGCCTCGGCTCGCGGCCTATTGCTTTTGCATGGTACATATTGCGTGCACACCCAAAATAGGATTGCATTTTGTGACTCATGAAGACGAGAAAACGGCTCGAACATTTCTCTCATTCAAGACCTAAGTTGTTTCTTGCAAATTTGAACAGTGTCCATAGCAGCGGTTCCCAAAGTGGGCGAATACGCCCCCTTGTGGACGTTTGCCATAATTTGGGAGGCGCTGATGGCGATTTGGGCAATTGGAGGGCGCTGGCTGTCAAACTTGGCAATTGGGGGGGGGGGGGGGGGGGGCGCTGACATCAATACGGGAACTCACAAGAAGTATGATATTTCATGCCATTTACTCCTATGTGTTTGGTTCAAACTAGTTTGCTTGTGATTTCGGTGTTGGAAATTTCTTGCTCAAGGTATAAAAGGTAATATGACTTTTTTAAATCCGTATTGTTTCACAATAATACATAGCACACAGGGTATACGCTTCCTTCACATGCACTGCACGTTTCGTTGTACTGTTTTGAATAACAACTTCATTTTACTATCGGGTTCTATGGTGCTTTGAAGTGTTAGTGTGAGTACAACAGCCTTATGGTATAATTTTGGTTTTGTTAAGAGCAAGTGAGAGCTGAACATCTGATTGAACTGGCGTACGCCGGATAGGACCATCTCCATGTTGCGACTTAACTGGTTTATTTTTATTTCTTGGGTCATTGAATAATAAGGCTACATAAGTAATACATAAATTGGCAAAATGCAAAGATCAGGCCTGTTGTTATATCATGTTGTGTCTGACATTGTTTAAATGTCGGTTTATCATTTATGTTGCGTAAGTTCAAAATATCGAATACAGTGAATTAAGCAGCATATTTAACCGATTTATATTAAAAACAGTATTATACAGCGGGCTCCCCAAAAAACGAGACCATTTATTTCTCGATAACTCATACGAAAATGGAGTAAATTATTTAATTTTGTCTACACTTGAACTTCTGTTTGCGTATGTTTGTACCCAAAAGTGTCGAAAAATCTGGGACGTTTTGCACAAGAATCATGTTGTTCCTAGGATATGTTCCAAATGCCTTCGTCGGCAATTGCATTCTTTTTGCAACATTGTCAATCACTCTTCTTTGGGTATTTCTCTATTTTATTTTTGCAATTGCAGTCTTGAGTTCACCAATCGTTTGAGGATTGTTCTGATACAAATTGCCCTTCGAACTCCCTACATATCGCAATCTGAGAGGTTTCAGTTCGATATTTAGGTGCCCACTGGTGTCATGCTTGAACCACTGTACCGTCCCTCAAGTACCGTCTAGATTTTTCCCGGAACAAACAACTAATGTTCTGTATTCACGTTTGGACTCTTTTATTTCCATGTTCTGATAGCAGAAGGTGCGCTTCAGCGGTAAACTAAGTGAGTGGTTGAAAACTTTGCGAAACTTCTGATTATAATCATACGCAAACAGAAGTAGCGCAAATGAAATGGAAATTTTTTTTGGAGATAGTAAAGAAATTTTTAAATTTTTGGTTTTCGTTTTCTAGATAATCCTGAATTCAGAAGCGAAAATGCACCACTATTATTGGGTTTATACTTTCAAACTCATGTTCAGTGTTTCAAACTTTTGGGAACAGAATCGAATTGAAATATCCTCACGAGTGAGATCAGGTTAAAAGTTTTTTCATTGCACTTGCCAGCTCATTTTTGGTAGACCAAGTATTTGGTGCAGTGACCGGACTTTTAAATATCAAGAGAGATTCCCTTGACGGTGTCAGACGAGGAGACTCAAGACCGTTTTTGACTAAAATGAAGCCAGATATTATCAAGCTGGTGGCATTTCACTAGGCTCAACCTCCACATTATACTAATGATAAATGGAGAATAAAGTTGCTTTGACTTTTTTGTTAGAGGGGCGTTTGCTATAGTTAAAAAGTCGTCCAAGGAGGCGCTGACAGAAAAAAATTTGAAAATCATTGGTCTATAGTTTGTTACTATTTTGCTTCGGACAACCCCACAAAATACAAAAATGTATGCAAAATACGGTTACTTTCCGACCTAGCCTAAGCGTGTACAAATGCTATACTGAGAAGTATGCGCTTGTAAAAGGCCATAGTTAGTGTGCATTTGAGACATCGTTGTTGCGAACAGGAGACGCCTAACCAGCATGCGCATGAATAATATGATTCTATACCAGCAACTCTGTAAACGTTACTGATGCTGTTTGGGCATTCAAATTAGAGAAGGAGATTGTAATTCGATACCATACTTTGCCTTCAGATATGCCTTTTACAAAAATAGCTTGTGTTCTACCATATATGGGGCTCCAGTGATTAAGCTCCTGGTTCTGAAAATACAGACACTAGAAATTTCAATCGGGAGGAGTTGCGATATTAAATATTTAATTGCAGCATAAATTTTACTGATAAATACAGTATATTTTGTTTACTTATAATCTGTAATTATAATTGTGATAAGTGTGTTAGATCTTTTTGAATGCTAACATGACTTTGATGTGAAATAGTTATGTGACATCGGGAAATAGCGTCAGTATATTTTGTTTACTTTTGAATCTGTAAGTATAATTGTGATAAGTGTGTTAGATCTTTTTAAATGCTAACATGACTTTAATGTGAAATAGTGAAATGTGAAAGACGAATATACCTAAAATTACTAAATAGTGGGCTTCCATGCGGTATAAAACTTTATTGCTAATTGGTTCTGCTTATGCTACGGTCCAAAATTAATATCAGTACTATAGTAATTGCCATCGTTTTAATAATACGAGAATAATCGAAATGTAAAATGAAACAGTGAATCATATTGCAGAGTTAATCTTGTTAGAAGACTATTGGTGGATATAGCTGAATATAGGTTATAATTGCCAAGGTTGGAAATATGAAAATGGAAGACCTGTCATGTTTCTTTCCTTCAAAAACTTGTCTAAAGTATTTATAGTTTGATCATATATCGTTTTCAGTTCATCGGTATATGGATTTGATGTTATTCCTTTTGAACCTCTCTTGAAATTTCCCTTCAAGTCTAAAATCATACACATCAGTCTTTGCTCTAATTTTTCATCACGGGGAACAATTTTTGAAGGTAAATAATTGATTATGCGCCTCAGTTCCACAATCGGATTCTTCACAAGATCTTCATAGTATACAATCATCACAGATGGTATTGTTTGAAACACCGTTTTGACATGATAAAGCCACTTTTGCGCCATAATTCCTGCAGAATTTTTGAAAGCTAAAAAGAGAATAAAGAATTAATGATATTATGTCGGAGCAAATGCTTATTTGAAATGTACGCCTCTTCATAATGCTTATACTTTGTTCTCAACATTAGTTGATTATTACAGCACTGAGTGAACCTCGAGCTAGTAATAGTAATCCTACTTTTCAACGAGGTTCCGATAAAGTAGATCTATTCTTCGTTTCTGATTTCAATTGATTAAAGACTTTCCCTATTTAACTCATATTCTGAAACATGAATTTCATAATAATAGCTTACCTTCAGACATGTAGATTTTTGGATCAATAATTGCAATGTGATTATTATGACTGTGAGAACGTGCATATTCTGCTAAAGTTGCATCGTAAGGATTTCGAAGTAACAACACAGCTGAGGTATACCTTTTCGAAACTTTTTTTGGGTCTATTAGTAAATGGTCCTTTATAATAACCGTACGAGCGGATAGGTGATGCAGCATTTCTCCAAGCATGCCTATCGAGAGAGAAACATTGAATTTATCAGTTAATTAAACATTTTATAATAAGGAAGGCGATATATATGGTATGTCAATGATATTTAATTTGAGCAATAAAAAAATTTGACCTAAGTATTATTCTTCCTTGTCATGTGTCCAAATTTCATATATCTCCGAACACGTTACCCAATACATCTTATTAAATATAATTATTGCGTTAAGCAAAAGGCATATTTTTGAATCGCAATTATCAAATTTGAGCATAATGAAACCATCTGTCAATGCTATAACACATGTCACCACTCTGGCGTATCTTGGTTCGAATATATACCACAACATGGCAAACATCGTACATTTGCGATACTTCATATCACTAGACCTTTCTATGCTTAGGTTCAACTTACCTCCGTCATAGAGGAAGTTATCTCGGTATACACTTCCGGTGTAAATTCCCGTAGCAACTTCAATCAAATGACGTAACCAAGTATTTCCAGATCCCCAAAAACTTGTCAAAATTGTAAACGGTCCCTGGCGATTAAACAAAAATCTTTTTGGCGGGCATTCTTCAACATGCGTACTATAAATCAAAAAACTTTCTTCTGTTTCCTCTGGCTTTTTTTCTTCGTCGCAGGCAAGAGTCATTTTTCGTACATTTTCTGCTGTTTTGAACCTTAAAACATCGCATCAGTCACACGTCATTTCAACATTATTTTTTTGTGACGAAGGGAGAATCGACTATATTTAAGATTTTGCCAACAATTTAATAGTAAAAAAAACAATTCCAAAGCATTTGAAAAGAACTGTCATGATATTGCTAATAAAAAGCTTGGGGGCTCCCGAAGTATGCGAACCAAGATGACGGACATCGGAATGTAATATGTGTACTAGGTTAGGGTTAGGCCATAATTTTAGGTATAAATACTACGGGAGGCTCTTGGCTAGTCTTCGAACTGATAATAGGATTAAAATAAGGAAAATTGGAAAAAAATTATCGCCTAACCCTAACCTGTTACCCATGTTACGTTCCGATGTCCGCCATCTTGGTTCGCATACTTCGGGAGCACCAAAGCATCATATGAATTTGTACTCAAAATCCACCAAAAGCGCAAATATCTCGCGTGGATACAGAGCAAATATTCGCTGATTTATACTCTGATTGCATTGATTACTTTTAATAGAATTTTTGCTATTAATTATGAAATCCCCCTTTTCAAATTAACTTTGACTTTGAACTTACGTATTCAACATGTGTGAGCAAATACAGGTTTGGTACTTGATCGCGGGTATGGCCAAAATAAAACCAGCCTCTTCGCATTTCAAAATACATTGTTCCACTGTCATTCCAAATTTCATTCTCCAAACAGTCAACTCCTTAGTTGGTATCTCAGAGAGTTTTACGCATCCAACCACATGATTGCTGATTGACGAGTTACCAGGCCCTGAACAATATTTAATTTGGATACACTAAAATGAATAAATTACTAATATTGCATCAAATATAAACTTTAAAAAATTTCGTATTGTTTTACACTTGCGGCAGACAGACATTTTGTCCCCTTCCTGAGACTTATCGGATACAAAACAACCCAAACTGCACTTCGTCTGTTACCTTGGCTATACCGCAAATAAAACACTATCGTAATGGTTCCTAAATTATATAAATAACGACATATTATGTAAAAGTAATTTGAGCTGTATTGCTGATAAGGGTACTCATGGGTTGGTTATATTCTCCTCATTAAAATCGGATGTTCATTTTACCCCTTTTCAGAAAATGAAGCATCGTTAGTCAGTAGGCTCCGTTAACTATATTAATAATATTACGAACGCTCATAACCTTGGCTAAACTTACAAAATTATAGTACTGTGCAGTAGTACGGTGAGAGACGCAATAAAATATCTCACCCTCGTAGCAGCCTTGTGTTTTTCGGTACATCCTTACGCTTAATGAACTCTTGCAGTAGCTGGAACGCTCCATCGAACACGCGATGTCACAACGGCGAGCAACGTTTGTAAAACTTTTCATTGAATTTGTGCAATAACATTTACCTTCAGCCCCCAGTCCAGCGTATTGATTTGATCTAAAAATATAATTTATTTTTTAAATAAAATTTATTATATTGATTACGATGAAAAATGTAATTCCAGACGATACTATCTTATCGCATTTAATAAAATGAAAGAGGTTCAAATTTTTAACATAATTATAGGTTCGGCACCGATCACTAACTATAAAGATAATCGGTTAAATACCAGTATCTTACTAGTGTAGTCGACTGTGAAACATACGCAACCAAACCGCTTCAAGTTACACTCGCCTGGGATGATAAATACGCATACAGAATAGTAATCTCTTATATTTAACCATACATCATCTGCAAATTTCCTATATTTTTGTTGATCATTTGCAATATTTATACAACATCTGATTTGTGGATTACTTCTAATATTACTTGCGAATACTTCAGCAATGAAGTATAAAGTATTAAAGACAGTGGCCACCCTTGCCTCAGACCTCTTTAAACTATAAATTCTTTGCCAATATAAACATTAGTTATCTTCCTCGACTTCGTATTCGTATAAATTATTTTTATAACAGATATCCAAATTGGCCTAATATTGAAATTTTTAAAAACTCTGAACAAGCATTCTCTATTCACACTATTCCCAGTTTATCGAAAACAATCGGAAATCATTATTCGAATAGTTTGCATGGAAAATATCCTCTTGAATTGTTATTCAATTTTCGTGTATTTTTCTGCTATATACAAATCCAGTTTAGTCTGAATGGATCCATATAGGATGTTCATATTCAAGTCGGCTACACAATATTTGGGTATTTGGTTAAAAATTTATAATCTAAATGAAGTAATTTTTTCCTTCCAACCTTTTTGTACAACAAGGTGATTCTTTCCTCTGTCATAGTTTCGGTAATTTGTCCTGAAGCTATACAGCTGCTATCTACAACTAATAAAATAGTTTTCACCCTAATCCAGCATGATAGATGAAATTCTTTTGACATGTCATCTAAACCAGGTGCTTTATTCAGTTATAAATATTTAAATGCATCATCTAATTCTTGTTCACTTATACAATATTCTGAATTATCATTTATTCATGTTTCAATTGGTTTTAATTTGAGTGATTAAAGTATTTTGCAATTGCTATAATTGAATTGTTCTCTGGCGTATAATTTTTTGCTTTTCTTGTTTGTCATTTATATTTGTGAGGATTGTATCACCACATGTCTCCAATTTTTTAAAAACTTTTATTTGCCCCTATGTTTCTTTAAATTGAAAAAATAAGAAGTAGATTTGTTCATTTTATCAAATTTCTTATAATATAAGCCTATTTGTAACGTCTGGTTTATAATACTCTATGCTATCTTGGGCCAAAAAGCAAAGTGTGGGTTGAACAAAATGAACATACAATTGACGTTTTTTTTTTATATTTGAGAAGGACATTAACATATTGTCTTTAAACTCTTTTGCTGAATTTGTGTTTATTCGGAACTATTGCCATTATGTACACGTGTTGCGCTTTTTGCTTTGCGATCTCTATCAGTTCATCAATTTGTTTCTCCACATCATGCCTTTGTTTCAAAATATAACAAAATGCTATTACCCTGACTTTCTAATTTTTTCAACCGTGTATAACCAGACTCAAATTTAGCACGTACAAGCGATACACGCTTCATCTTTGAAATGTTGCATATCTGAGCCATTCTTCTGTCCTGAGAATCACACAATGCAATAGTTAAAATGTCTTCCAATATTTTAGTTTTTTCTTTTACCAAATTAGTTTTTTTTTTAGTGTCGATTTGATATTAACTTCGGAGTTTGTGTTTTGAAACATTGCCATTTCATTTTTGTTCAGGACAATATTTCTTCTTCGATAGAGTTTTCTTTTTTGATTGCATTCTGTGATTTGTACTTTTGTTTTTGGAAGTGTTTTTGATCTGGGTTCCATCTTGAAAAATTAGGTCTTTTCTTTCATTCGTGCAATTTCACTAGATTTTTCTTGTCTTTGTCTATAAATGTGGGGTCTTGGCTTTTATCAAGTTTTTCTATCAACTTCATGACATCTCTTTCTTGTTCGTTGTATTTTTTGTGAATTTCTGTTTCGTTTTTATTTTTAACTGGTTTTGATTCTTGTCCCAGCTTTGGCATATTGCAGTGTTTTGTCAGGTGAGAATATTTTTTGGAACACGTTGTTGCATTTTGAGTTTTTTTCTTCAACTTCTTTCCCGGTAAAATAGATGAGTAATCTAATTTTACTAGAAATACGACATTCCAGTTACATTCTACTTTTTCTAACTCCAGTTGCAATTTGATATTAATCATAAACGTGATTAACCAACTTGCCATGCCACTACGCTGACAAACCATTTTTCATGGTTCCATTACATTTGAACCCACGTACATTTGAACCTGTATGCTATTGCACCTATGGAATTTTTTTTGTTTCACGGATAGTTAAACCCATACTAACCCTAACCCATGGGTTTTAGCACCCGCATATAGATTGAACCCGTGGATATACGCATGGGTTCAAATGTACGGTCACCATTTTTCATATCTTAATTTGGATTTCAAATGTCACTTTCCTCATTGATACTCCCGTTGAATCGGATTCTCCGTGTATAGCCACGAAATCTTGTTCTTGATATTTATAAGGAAATCCTTTGAGCAGTTGATCTTTGAAGATTTTCTCTTCATTGTCACCACCCGCGTTTTAATCGAACAGCGAACCAACGGAATTTTCGTCAGTTATTTCTTAACTCATTGTATCATTACGCCTTGTTTACTTCTTATTGATCAGAAAGTAGACCAAAAAGTCGATGCTCACGGAAACACCCAGTGTTTATTTCTGGGCGTTAAATACTCGATACCTATTATAATATTTGTCACTGGTTAATCAAACTTTGAAGACTTTATTTTCTAGTATAAAGTGATAGCTTCCATAAGCGATACATATCTACTTACCTTTTAAAACAAAAATTCAAGCAGTGTTCTCTCCCAAAGTTTTTATCAACAACAGTTGGAGATGGTACCATTGCAAAACATCCAATATCCTCAGCTGAAAACAAAACACTAAATGTTAAGTATATAGCGCTTGTACATTAATGTAACCAATATACTCGTATTCTATCTAGCTTTACCACATTTAGTCGCACGAGGTAATTATTTGTCAAATTTTCGTGATTCACGATTGATAAGCCTGTATGCAAAATAGTGGTCCCAGCGTAAGGTGATTTTCGACAAAATTCGGAAATGTGCCAAATGGCTTCAAATAATGGCTTTAAATAATCTACTAGACTCACTCAACATTATTACTAATATGGTAATAAATATCGTCACATTTGTCTCTCAGATTATTATCAGTTTTCAGTTATTTAATCACTAATTAATTCAAAAGTACAACTTATCTGGAATCACCTGAGCTGCAATATAATTTTCTCCTTATGGTTATACATTACTTATTTGTTGACGGTAATACCTAGGACTTTTTGTTTCAGATTTTTATGTTATTTCAAACGAGCGTATAAATATTATTATTTCGATTATATTCCGATATTTGGTCTAATTAGTAATTGCACATTTGTATAATCTCATTAAACTACCATTCAACATAAATACAGATATCGAATCTATGAAGCCTAATATGGATTGATTGAAAATTTTAAGCAAAGCAATAATCGCAACTGTGTTCCATAGGTCCTTGTGAAAAATATAAATATGACCTTCATAATTAATGTTGATATCTGTTTCGGTTCAATATGTATTTCAATTTAATTGTAATAATTATATAAAGATAAATTAAAATGATACAAAATTTCATTTCCAGTTATAAGGTCTGTAGAATTGACAAATATTATGCTTAATTTCATTTTTATTTGGTTTAAGCAAAACTTGCGTGAAAATTGAATTCACTTGTTTGTTTAAATTTAGTATTGAATAAAATATTAAATTTGGATACAAATTTGTGACAGTCACTGTCATGGCAAATTGTGATAACATATTTTGCATATAATTTATCTTATGCCAATTATGGGCATGGAAACTTAAAACTAATTCAATCAGCATTTTATATATACCGCTGCTGAACAGCCAAAGCCCAAATACATTGAAAGTCGAAGATATGGCATAACAAGCGAAGCTTGGTTTGGAGCCTCAAATCTCAAATTATGAATCGTTACGTCGCATTAAAAATTTTAAATTAATTTACTCCCATGGCGTGTTAATGCTGAACTTTTCTATAATATATACACAATATATATTTCCTATATATTGTGTCAGGCTTGTAACAGATATTTGTTCATATTCTGTCTAATTTTAGTAACTTCCGTGATCTCACTTTATTCCCAAATTGTTATACTAAATTAATACTTGAAGGCATGAAAATTGCTATTGTACGATGACGATTCTCGTTATTGATTGAATTAGTACATTCTAACAGTTCAAGTATATCTTAGTTATCTCCACGTATGTGATCTGCCAGACAACGGACATATTGATTAATTGTATGATCTACTTTCGATATTCATTCTTATGCATACGTACTGCAGGTTATTGGCATATTATTTTCTTGGTTCATAATACGGTAAAAACGAGAAAATAACTCGGTGTTCAGAGAAATATACCAACATGGTGAAAATTTTTTGTATACACACCTGCACATCTAAGTATACCTTCGTCCATCTTTGCCATAATTTTGGCTTCTTTAATCCAAGCTGGACTTTCCCTTGCAGTGTGAGTTAGCGAGTAAGTTCTGGTCAGAAATTGAAGTAAAACAATTACATCACATTCGCCTTAACGCTACTGCATGGGAAGATAATATTATGAGTACATAGTGTTCCTGAACTTTATACCACTTAAATGAATAGAGAAATTATATCATCTATCTATTTTGAATTAACTATTCTTTTTTAACTACAATGTGGGGACGTTTATTAACGAAATTTCGTTAACGAGATTTTCTGGTAATCGGTATAAAATGGTCTCGTTACTGTGTACATTATGATATAGTTTATTTCTAAATTTGAACATACCTTCGTAATTTATATTCTTTATAAAACAAGAGAACTGACGAGATCGTGAAAAAGCACATCAGCATACAATTCAATCTGGAGCAATATATTCTGAACTGCTTCATGATATTATTTCTTTGATGATAGGAACTGGTTTCTATCAGACTTCTAATCACTTATTTTCTTCATTTGCATTTTTTATTGCTTTACGTCAGATATCATAGCTGATGCTCAACTGCTAAAGAGTGAAGTTAATATCTATTGACAACAACGTATTACAATAACTTGTCGTGTTACTTTTATAATAATCCCCAGGGCTCCAATACAAGAAAGAATTAAATTATCTGCTATTAGGTTGAAGCACCGAAGCAAGCAAGTACATAATGATCAACCATTGCCTCGGGCCTGTTTAGCCTAATGCTATCATACGACACGTGTTGCATGATTCTATAAGTTCTGGCTACAGCATTGTGTATGCTAAATTTACATCGTAGCATAATATTAAAGTATTGAAAGGCTATAGTTGAGTTTGTCAAATCTCAAACTAATTTACTAATTCGTAAAGCTGTATGTCTTCGGTATTATTGCAATACACACACTCGCAATGTCGTCGTCCCCCGCTGAACTATGATATTCTGTTCTATCTGGTATATTCTAATTTTTGTTGTAGCCTGTGGCAAAATTTTATTGTTCAGTTCAAGATATAATTTTGTATGGAGCTAACGTATGCATACCAGTTTGCACAGCATTATTCCATGTGAACCCAATAAGAAATGCATATCGTTTGTAATTATTTTGTATATAGAGAATTTTAATACTGGAAAATGGACCGTTACTTTGTCAAATTTTTTTAATGGGCTTGGGTTGCTTGCTAAGTGGTTGCATTTAACAAGATAAGGGGATTTTATTTGTAATAGACACGATTTGTTTCATTTATTCCGAAAACAATATGTATAATCTCAAATTTATGATTCTAGGTCGAAGAACGGATTTTTCGTCCAGTTTACCTTCCAAGGTTCGCAATGCGGATAACTAATCTATTGAACATTCGAAATCTAGTTGCATAGATGGTATAAATATTACCCAACGCATGTTTGATTTTTCAGAAGAGTCGAAAAAGTATTAGCTAATACCTATTGATAATTAAGCAACCATTTTTATGAAAGTGACGAAATATATAATGTGCATTCTATATTCAATTTATAAAATGCTCTGGTATGCTAATGAGCTTGTGTAGTGAATCCTGGAACTTCGCCATTAACCTTTACCGCTCTAATAATTCGACCATCCAGTCCACGAAAACTCTTTTTGACCGCTATTGACACATTAAATCCACGAAATGAAAACAATGTAGCCTGCAAGGGCATGCCAACGTTCGTCGAGTTGTGGTTTGGCGGACTACGTTTTATGTTTTGCATATTTGCATTCCAGGCGCTCAAGTTGACAGGTAAGATCTACGTTGAATGTGAGATAGCAGTAATGGTTTTTGAATGAGTTTTATTCCCAGCAACAAATATTTCCACATATTTGTTTCCATCAATTAAACTTTTCGAGATTGATTGAATTGGATACACACGGTCATCGTGTTCGTAAAACTACACTTTGCCCCCTAGCTCCAATTGTGTCATTTCATCTCTACTTCACGCTATATCTTGAGCAATGGAACATGGAAAAGCGTCATGTCGTATTCAAAAGTAACAAACATGCTTCTATATTTTTGATAAAACCAAGTACGGAACGGGTAGTACAGTACCTATGTTAGTACGGTCACAAACTATTCTATATCGAGGAATACCGCTGTCCACAAAATCACCTTTCAAAGAAGCCCATCTCTGTGATATTAACATATATATTATATTATTCTCAAATATAATTCTTGTGAACATACAACTGACATATTCATAAAATCATCTAAACCCACTGACTAATACATTTATAGGCACATATCAATACATAAACGTTGAAAAACGTAAGTCTACTGGCTGAAGAAGTGGTGTTAATCTCATCCTTTATTGTTGTTACTTTATGCGTCGCTAAGCTGGTATTTGAGAATGGTTGTGTTGGTGCAGCGGTTACGGTATATGTGCCGGTAGATTCTGGAAACGTAACGTAAAAATTCAGACTGTCCCAAAAATCACAAATATCTTCTTTGTAACGGGCTTCGACAAATGGGCTCGGTGGCTCAATGTGAATATTCATCCAATCCTCTTTATCTTGTGACATAACGTATGCTGGCCAATACGGAATTTCTGGAAATGAGGGCCCTTCGTCATCATTATTGGGATCCCCCATACGAGCAAAGTTACCCCAATACTTGCTGAACTGATCCGCTACTAAAGTATCGTTTTCGTTGAAATAATATCTAAAAATGTTATTCAGAATTTTTGCATTAGTATTTTGTTATGATATTTTTTGAAAATTAAATATAGTTAGTTAGTCTTACCCGTATCCGTCTCCTGATCTAAAAACAAAGGGAATTTCAGCAGAGTGATAAACATATCCACACGTTTCGTTTTTTGGATATACTTCGTGACAATATTTTCCATCGATTGGATGATCAAACATGTAGAAATATAATCCACTTGGGTTATCTGCAGTTTTGTATGCAAACCTGTTAAGTTTGTTGAACAAATAACTATTTGGTGCATGTTTTAAATACATTAATCCAATATATTTACAATAAATATCATGCAGGATTCTGGTATAAAACTTATTTCGTGCTAATAACATAACATGTATGAAAAATAGTGTCAAATTTTCAAAATAAAATCGGATCGCAAAGGGAAAATTAGCCCATTAGACTTTCATCAGTCCATATAATATGACCAACTAGCTGCCAAATCACTATTGCAAACATTATGTTGGGATTTTATCAATAGTCTGCTATAGCACAATGGGTTTTGTGTTACTCAGATATTGATCAATAATTGAAACTTGATAACGCTTTGAAAAATAACGTAACATTTCTTCTAAATGTATAATCAATGTTGAATATATTACCTCGACATTGCTCGGCTTGGACAAATGAAAAATGCATCTCCTGCTTCGATACCAAGAATTTTACTGTAATCATCACCGTCTGGGCCGATTAATTCTTCGTAATAATCTGCGGTTTTCTGACCTACTTCATCCCCCATGAACAGTGTATTGATTTTCTGAATAATTTCTCAGGTTATAACAAATTCGCGAAACACACAAAGCATTTGGCTTGTTTTTTATTGATGGAAGTATTGAAATATTTGTTTTTATTTTTCAATACTCAGTACGAGCTTTTAGGGAATTTTCCTCAATAACAAATTGACGTCAATTTCATTTCATTTCGATCTAGTGATTTTCACCGAACATTATTACCCGAAAAGCAAATCTTGATAATCCTTGGTCTCCGGGAACATAGTACTGCAATATTTCAACTTCTTCCGTATTCGCTCCCACAATATATTCTCTGTCTACATTCCATTTTCCTGTCTTGAATAAAGTTAAAGGTTGATCTGTAAATTCAACTCCATCTATAATCGGTCGATAGGGTTCAACTGCACTCCATCCGTCACCATCAATCGCTGAGGCTGCCATCACTTTAGGAAAATTATCCAACTCCTCTACTGGTGCATTTCTGAAGATAATTAAAATTACCTTCTTTAAACACAGAAAATAAGGTTAAAGTACTTCTGTAAGATAATAAGGCAAAGTACTTCTTCTCTAAGAAGGGCCTTGCAGAAAAGTACGAATGTGATACGACGAAGTAACTCACAACAAGCATGCAAATTCAATAGCGACATCGTCTGCACTGCAATTAAGTTGTTTCAGCAGTCTCTCTGTAACATCCATCGCTTCTTGCTGCGTTTGGTGGGGGAAGATCGCAGCATTACTTTCAAGTATTGCCCTTCTGTAAAGGGGCCTGCTTACTTCAGATAACATGTGCCACATCACAGATTGTGCTCCTGCACTTTCACCAAATATGGTCACCTGAGTGGGTAGAAGATATCTTCAGTCACAAATCTTATTGCTATTGAATTCAAGCAATGTTTTTAATGCACATAGACGTAGTTCAGTATTTGTTTTTGACATACTAAAAATACTTGTGTTATTACCCTGTCCTTATCGCCACCAAAATTTTCAATATTTTGCTGCACCCATTGCATTGCCATTTGTTGGTCTTTCAGTCCTTGATTTCCATTCAAATAATCGCTACCTTTATTGTAGACCAGGAATCCATAGGCTCCTTAGTGAAAAGAGAAATACGCATTGTACTATGAGTTCCATTTTCGGTAGGATGAAAGAATATTCCCAACAACTCCCAATTTATATAATTAGACAAATTATGACAAGGCTCTTAGTGCGTTTATATGAAAATTATTTTGGGATTATTAGGGAAAATGATGGCTAACCCCCTATGATGCATGCAGTTGCGGTATAGTTTGCTGTTAACATTGCTTGAAAATTCTTTCTAGACCCTTTATTATATCAAAATAATGGCTAATATTGAATTTTGATATTCATATAATATTTTACTTAATATATGAAGCGACAACATGGTACTATCAATTATTACTTTTAACACACAAATATTACTTACCTAGCCTATAATTGATTGTAACAACGATTGTATTTGTTGCTTGACTCAGCCATCGACCATCTGTTTTAGGCGAAGTTCCGGTACCAGAGAAGAACGCACCACCGTGTATCCACAGTAAAACAGGAAGATTTGTTCCAGGGTTTTGGGACGATAAATCAACCGTTTTTGGAACAAAAACATTGAGAACGAGACAATCTTCGTCTTGCTGTTGAGTAAAACAATAAAAGATCGCAAATGTAGGAAACGCTACTCTCAACAACGTTCATTGGATCATTGGTATAAATATTCTCTTATATTTATTATAACTTCCACTAGCTTAAAGTAATACAATTGTTTGAAAAAAGACTTGAAATTCGAACCAATATCTTACCAGTATGATACAATAACCCGCCTCGCACTCGGTGTGTGGAAGCTGGCGACAATTCAGTCTGTTCGGTATTGTAGCATTGATGGGATTCAAACTTTTGATTACGGGTTTGGTATTACGAAATCTAAAACATTATATTCTATTACAAATGTATTATGAGAATTTATTTCTCAAGAAAAGAATAATTGTAAAAACATTCTGGCCTGTTTTCAATTGTAATTACTTAAAAAATATGTCGAAAAAACGAATAAATTTTAAATTGCAACAAAAGCAGTAAACAGTGCTGTAACTACAACTATTACTATGCAACGTATAATTGCTGTTGATAAGTGCAGTGAGCGCAGTTATTAGTCGTAGCAATAGTTCAACAGTACAATTTTTAAGATAAAATAATTCAAACTACTAACCTAAGCTTCCCAACTGGTGGCGCCGCATATGGCACGCTGAAAAACGCATGCGCCTCGTCTAAGATTGATCCAATGACTTGTCCCGAGGTTGTAGTAATTGTTATCTCACCTTGAGATATGTCGTTATATTTTTCACGAATTTCGTTATTGAGCAAACTCTCGTCAAGTAACGATTTCGTATTAAATACAAACTTTCCATCGGTGACGACGTAGTTGACAATGTTGGAAAAACTACTTATAAATGTGGAATTCACTTCATACCACATGCACAAACCGATCAGAACGTAAAAAATCTTTGCCATATCAAATATAGCACTTTGTTGCGAACTCCTCAATGATGCGTATTGCAACGATACAACTCAGTTTTCACGGCTGTTATGAATATTCGCCTTAGATTAATTGTCTGCTGCTTCGACACACGGGATGTCGATGAAACTAAAGAGTCGTAATAGGTGTGGTAATCATTGGTCAAATATGTGATGTTGTGCAATGATCCCATTTTGTCCACTTATACACTTCCCATGCACGACATGTCATGATTAACATGGCAACGCTTTGTCCTTGTAGATTAGTGAAATATCAACAATCTATTTGACATGACATAAAGCAAATTGTTTGCGGCACATAAAAAAGTATGTTCGCAAATATTTAGATAACCCCACACTAATGATTAATCAGTTACTGTAATTTAACATTATTGTAATGGTGATTAGGAATTTGACAAGCGGAAAAACTTCTTATTATAATTAGCCACTGACTACAGAGATGCTACTGAAAATAACTCTACTCATCGGTCTCAAATAACCCAGGGATTTGTGACATAATCGTAAATGTCCATAGGGTGATTGTATCCTGCAACGAAACGCCTTCATTTGAAATAAGAGATTTTTTTGCATTTTGTGAGAAAGATGCAGACTGGCGATATTTTGAAATATACGAACGAATTATATATGTTTTAGATTAGAGTATTTCACTAATTTTTTCCAAAATTATCCCACTTTTAATTAATCGGACTATTTTTTCAGCATTGATATTACAGTGCCGTATATATTTAAATTTATTACTAAAATATATATCTGTATAGGCAATCTAATTAAAAAAATTCGTGAATCATTATTTCTGATGCAAACAAAAAATTAAGTTATCAGTATATTATATTATCATAAATAATGAGCTGTGATGTTCAACTGCGAATAATTAAATTTTTCTGTAAGTCATTAAAATATTTAACAACCATGCCTAATGAATATGGTTGTATTTAGGAACATGTGTATAATACAACTTTTTTGCGAATAGTGGAAGGAAAGTAACAAGGCGATCTGTTCTATCATCGATTAACGATATCACCAAATATGACCCATTCGCTCTGATATTTGAGCATATCAAAAACAATGTATTTTTGTGTGCTGTTAAGCACGATGACAGGATCAAACATTAAATGTCTGCAGAGTTGAAACTGCCTCTTGCGCTTTATTTTTGTTGTTTACCATTGAAGTCGCTGTTAGTCCATACGTGCAACGATATAACTGATTTTGACTCCATAATACCCTCCCGCGCTTCTGCAAAGCGAGTCGCTTCTGAGAGCTTGGTTCGACCTTCTCAGGATTTTGGGATAGCATATTTGCAGTGCAAGGTTTCAATTGTATCTGTGATTTATTTAAAATAATAATATCATACTTCTACTAAACTATTTTTCAATGAACTTATGATTGTTTTGTAAGCTGAACGACACACTGTTGAGTACGTATTTGAGTTTATGTTGTGTTTATATTTAGGGAGTGTTTCGACTGTAGTGTTTTGTGAATGATTGCTTTTTTACTGAGTTAGACCTGTGTGTGTTTATATGAGTTTAGTTCTAATTAACCTGATTTTGATGAGTTGTTGATTTCAATTGTTGACATGTTTTTTGCCGGCACATTAGGTGTTGTAAATACTTCTTGTTTGTTTCTTTAGAAAATCGTACATACAGCTCTCTTTTTCAGCATCAACACAGATGCCTAAAATCAGTTTTATTTCGGGCCCCAACTGCGCATTGACTACACGTGAAGTTAACAGCGATTGTATTTTCAATGAAGTGAATAATTAAAATTACCCATATTATTCATGATTTTATAGATTGCGGCGTTATGTCTTATAAAATTCTTTATGCCATTTTATAGGTCCTTTCATGTAATCCTGTTTGTAGCCACGAGACGCTAAAGATGACTGACGCAATAAAATCGGTTCATGTGGGCGCTCCCGAAGTATGTGCACCAAGATGGCGCACCACCTGAACCCTAACCTGGTAAACATACTATGTTCAGGTTGTGCGCAATCTTGGTGTACACACGTCATGAGGTCCTTTATTTGAATCAGTTCTGGTGCCCATTTCTGTGCTTCAAGAAAAAATATAAAAAAAATCGAGTCACAGCTTGCTTCAATTTACATTCAACTTCTACATGTGTATTATTCGTTTTTGACAAAATGCATAAATGTTCATTGAGCTGAACCTGCAACAACGTTTCCAAATAAAATTGCATGATCGTATTTTTGCAGTCGGGCATATTTGGCAGTATATAATCCTTCTTGCTTTATAACTTTACTGAATATCTGGTACAGCGGATAGTAAATGTTGTGGGCTTACGTTAATTTTAAAACTTTGCTTATAACCTTTTAATCGATCAGTCATTTATTACAAATTTACTTTGGGAAGATATCTTGTAGTATTCTTGTATTGAATTATTTCAATTCCACAAAGAGGATGCAGCAGAATCTAAAAATAGGTTTGAAGCAAGAATCATTCAGAGAAAGAATCAGATATCAATCGGCTTACAGACTTTAATCATCTTTTGTGATTCTTGTCGCAACAAAAATACATTTTAGTTAGTGTGTAGAAAGACTCTGGAATTACATATAGTCATTTTCAATCTTGTTACATCATCCTTGCATTATGCACATACGGATCCACCAGCGCCAAGACATAAAAGCTGAGTAAGTTAGTCTTTTGTAACTCCAACTATTAGAAACCTCTATATTTATCAACTGTTATTACTAGATCAGAAGTAAGATATAATGCAATCAAATGCAAGCATTGAATGATTTTACCAATTTATTCAGCCATTCATTATAATTGATTCCAGTGTATTTACTATCAATTTAAATTCGCTATATATAAGAAATTTAATTAGCAAATATGAAAAAAATTCACGATTCAGTATTTGTTATTATTTAATACACACACTACAATAAAAGAATACTCATCTATGCAATTATACACACACTCTCACGAATATACCGTTTGTTGGTTGCCAGACGTTAATTTCGACCGGAATACAAGTTTATATACTGCTTTATTGCAAATCACAATCTTAGCGAACTTATATTCTATTTACGATATACTAGAACACTTAATGCTTAAAGATGTTGGTATACTTGAGTTATCAATTCGTTACGTCGAAATTCGTCAGCGTGCCTCGGCTCTGCACGAATGCATCTTTCATTTTCGTTTGCCTCAAAATCAATCATACGCTCTCTCCATATCAGAGAGATTAATATTATTTGACGAAGATGAACATTTATATACCGGTTCAGAACATCAATATATTGTAACATCTACTTCAAAATTGTTATTCACAACTCTTATTAGAAGCCACATTTGAACTTTTTCGAATACATAGGCAAGAACTAAAAAAAAATTAACTGTTTTTTTATGCCAGTTTCATATATTTTTTTGGTGAATTATTCATTAATACAAAATCAAATTTTGGTGGTATAAAATCCGAAGATTATGCACTTATGTCGCCGCTGTTTTAATATTTATCGAGCCAAACTGGGACGATTTCCAATGAAAATTAATATAAATTCAGTATATCAGATCAGGATGTCAGACTTCATGAATTTTTAATTATTAAAGTCATAATTACAGTTTATTTTATGGCAAAATCTTCGACATTGGACAAGTCATGAACCACTATGGGTATTATCGATATTCTGTTTTGGTTCGCATCCTCCATCTGAAAAAAAATATTATAAATTAAAGACTGCTTAACGTAATATTGATTCAATTATCGCCACTAACCAGCATCCCACTAAGTCAAGCCTTTAAATTACTATAGCAAATTTTAACATATTCTTAATAAACTAAATTATTAAATTACGAATGAGGGTGTGTAATGAATGTCTAAATCTTATTGCCACTTGCGTTGTTTTATAATTACCCATACAAAAATCTGTACGAAACTTTAAAGTCTGTACGGAAATATTTCGAGAATATTTATAGAAACATTTCCAGCGTCATAACAATTTCCATTTTGTCGCAATATAAATACGTCATTGTTTACAATATGGTCGCTAATTATCCGGATGGAATTTCATCTTAGTCAAAATTTGTTTAAATTTCCACCATTCGTTATTTAAACGGCAAAGTACGATATATCCATTGCACAAAAGGCCCTGTTCTGGTGGTGCAACGGATTATTTTAGCTTATGTATGACGAATACTCCTGAGACCTTATTCACGTCAAGTTGCATGAATCAATACATATATTTTTGATATTATGCAAGAGCGCCGGTAGTTCAGTGAAATATCAACTTCTTGTTTGTGCGTGTTCTTATGGCATAACGATTTATCTCAGTTTTTGAGTGATGAATACAATATTGCTTATGTCAACTATTTGACAGCAAGTATTTCGTGAGTTGTGTGGCATTTGAACACAAGTATCTTTTCTACTATTCGAAACAAAGGTTTGTAAATCAGAGTTCAGAAAATCACATCACTATATTCTTTATCGTTTAAATATAGTCACATAACCATTTGGAAAGAAGTACGAGTAATGTTTATCGAACTTTTCATCGAGAATCGATGTTTATATAATCCAAATGGCACTGCTTGACAAATATCTCAATTGAGAATCACAAGGCAGTTGGAATGAACAACATTTGAAAAGAGGGATTTTTGTTCAATTTGTTGACAAATTTCGACCAGGATTTTTTAACATCGATGTACTTTATTCATACAAAAGGTTTAGCTGATCATTCAGTTACCGATTTTAACGCATGTATGAATGAAAACCAATGGTTCATTAGGTAGTAAGAAATTGCTAAAACAATATAAAAGCTGAAATGATATATTTTTTTTCAATTTCAATTTCCAAAATACCATTTTATACATTCTGCTTTCATGCGCCGCAGAATCTTTCCCTTTCACTTTAGTAATGTGTATGGTCCAAGAAGTTCAGCCAAAAATTCCTGACCTTTCGATTATACAAAATCGTAGTGTTCATTACATATTTTTGACACTCTCTTACCTTGATTATGTCATAAATTCTCTCCACTTTCCAAGTTAGACAAATTAAGTTGTCTCTTTGATAATCGTTTCTGTTTTGCTCTGTTTGACATATGACGACTGATTTTCACATACAGATACACAAAAAGAACTACAGCAATGAGAACAACGACGGTCGTTATCCAAGGAAGATTCACGCTATAAAATATAATAATAATAAATGTAAGTTGGTGTTAGTTTGACAGTACTCAATTCATGAAGTGTTTTCTTTGCATGCACGTATAATATACTTTGTAGGCATAAAATGCTTAGAACTAATAACTCAATATGTGAAACTAGCTTGTTAGTCAATTTATTTATATAAAATAAAACATATTTATTTATATAAAATGAAATTTCTCTACATATGATCTGAAACTGGCATATCTTAGCGTAGAATTAAAAATTGAATAATCAATAGTCTAACGGTGCACTCGTAAAAATGACAATATATGATTATTTATTTTATGATATTACTCTCTTACTGTGTCGTTCCCAAACAAACCAAGTTCAGATGTGAGGCAGATTGCCTATTTTAAGATGGTAACAGTATATCTTCCACAAACAAGATCAAAGTAAAATAAACCTAATTTATCGTTCATTTTATATATTCTACTTTGCGAAAACTTATTTTCTAAAAGATAATCTTTTTCATCTTTTATCTTCAAATCTACTTCCAAGTCCAAGTCAGACAAATTTTCCTGCATACGTTTCAATAGTTAATTAAATCCAGAAAAAATATTCTTACTGAAATAAACCGCCATGATGATGCTCCGTGTCATCATCAAGATCATTCACTTTCGTAACACTTTCTATTTCATCCATCTCTGGCTAACTAAATCTTCAACTGCAACTAAATCTTCCGCGTGCAGAGGGTTCTGCGACAAAAGCCGCTTACGAAGTTGCTTTATAAAAATATCGAACACTGTTTCAATTCCCATGGTAAAAATAATCTAGGTCCGTCAAGTGTAGTTACAAAAAAATCGATTCAATTCTCTATTTTCAAGTCATTATTACTATAGCATAATATATAATGTGAACATAGGTATATACCTATAAACTTATATTATAAACTTATATTTACCGCAAAATTTGGTTACACGAGTGTTTTTAATACATTAAGCTGGTTGGAGACTGGAAACGATAACTTGTTGGTTGTTTCTGATATATATTACTGTATTTAAATTTCAACAAAGGAAATAAGTATCAGGGATCAATTTTTGGAGATCTTGTACCTACTTGAGCATACCGTTTTCACGATCTTCAAACCCAACAAGTTTTATAGAGTATACACTCATTGTTAACGATTTGTGTCAATGCCAGTTTGATTTCCTATTCATTAAACAAGCATTTGTTCTTGGCAAATCAGAAATCCCTCTCCCACGTAAATAACTTTCCGATTAACTGGAAAATCGATTGATTATCGGCATTAGACGTCGCGAAGACTGGTCCCACATCTTGTTATTTTCACGCTCACTTAGAGAAGATTCGAACAAGTGATTGAACCTTTCAAATCAAATGGGAGATAAAAATGAATATTGGGAAAACCTGATTGATTTACTAGTCATGAAACAATTAATGTAGTACATCATTCAATTCCGATACTTACTGTTACTTGTACGGTCACGATCGTGAGATTTGGAGAAATATTTTTGTAACGTTAATTATTAAAGTGAGAAAATTTGCATTTGATGGTACTGATAAACAATCTCATGAAATCACGGCACTATGTAATGTTTATAGCTGTTCAAGTATTGAAGAAATGTACGCCCTACCCTACGCTTAGTCAATATACGTTTTTATTTATAACAACAGTCCTCACAAAGATTTGTGTTGTTGACGTAATGGGTTGGTTGTTTTTATCAACTAAAAGTCGACAGGCGTTCTGGGTTCAACGTTTAAAAAATGATTTAAAAAATTAAATCGATTTCTGCAGCAATTACGTAAAATATCTCACCTCCGACGTTCCCTTCGTGTCACATCGATTGGTGAGTAGTAATTAAGCATTGGGAGTCTTTAATGGTAATCTGAATTGACTCAGTGAAATTATAATCTTTTCATTCGTACGCATAATATATGTACCTGTTAGGGTTGTCAACCGTCCTTTATAAGGACAATCCTTTATTTGAGATTTTTGTCCTTGTCCTTTTTAAGATGATAATTGTCCTTTAATTTTTCCAACGTCATGTTACTGTGTTTGATATTGTTTCGTTCTTAAATCGCCTCCGTTTATGTATTTGAAAGCTTTCAATTATTCTTTTTCATTTCGCTTTGGCACGGCTCAAATAGCCAAAGAAATACAAATTTTATTAACAATTTCAAATATTCCACAATAATATTCCGAAGATGGCAATAGTGGCAACACTAAAAGATTTGAGTGAATTTTAGTTCAATAACTGAATATTCTACGTATAATTGGTCTCTAAGATTTTAGATTATTTTTTAACTCTGCGATAACGTATTTGGAAAAAAGATTTGACTTTGATGAAAATTCAACATTTGGAAAATTATCTCATTTGGATAATCTTTTTCCAAAATATGACACTTAGAAAATTGTAGAGCATTTGAAGCTAAAAGACAAACTTAATTTGAATATGTTTGACCTTTTTGATGAAGTTGCATCCATTCAAATAAAAATTTGGCATGATTCAAAGTACTAAACTGTTCACAGAATGCAGTTTGATTGCGTCAATGTTAAATAAACATTAAATGAAACCAACATGAAGATTTTTTAATATATCTTTTTAACTTGTATATAGTTTGTATTTTATTGTTTTATATTGTTCTTTCCTGCAAGTTACAAAACGGTAATCTATGTCCTTTATTGAGACTTTTCATAGTTGGCAACCCTAGTAACAGTTATGTTATGCAGACATGCAAAAAATACTGGGTGCTTACCAAAATAAATTGTTCGAAATTGGCGAGTGTTTAATTGAAACATGTACCAGATACATAGTTTCGATAACTTTTTTTGATCGATTTTGATATCATAATTGCAAACGTAAATACATAATTTGCGTGTTTCTTATTATATTAGAATCAAAATTTACAGCACGATGTATGACATCATAAGGGTCATGAGGATTAAGGACGAATCATGCTTTGGGAAGGCTGTTGTAAAAATACTTTAGTGAGGATTGACAAACAAAATCGAAAGCCTCAATTTTACCAGTTTTCGACTTCAAAAGTGTTACAATACTATTGATTTTTGTCTTCTAGGTTCTTTTCAGAATATTATCCGTAAATCCCTTGCTATACAAAATTAGAAAAAATCACGGTCTCATAGGATATGGCCCAGCTTTGCTATAAATCTAAACAAGAACTTCAATGCACGAAAGCATTACCATATTTTATGCGTGTTAAATTTCCAGGGCGATAAATGTGGCAGAAATAAACTAAGGCGCAACTCACTATAGTTCTATGGCTATGCAATGAAAAGTATTAAGTAACAGATGAGGGATGAAGTGAGCATGTATTACTGGAATAATAACAATGGGGAGATATAGAAAGTATTTAATCAAAAAATAACAATTAGCTAAATATTTATATCAATATATATTAACGTTAGCAGAATCGTTTTTTTAATCCATCAAACATAATATGTTGAATCAGTTTAGTTCATAGGGGTGCAACATACGGCCTGCGCGCCTCTTTGCGGCCCGCGGAACCTATTCCCATGGCTCGTAAGATACTTGGTATCCCAATATTTTCGAAAACTTTTTTTTATTTGTAATGACACTGTCGACGTTATGCTATGAGTATGGGCAATGCGTTGTTCGATGGTCCGGCCCTTATCTTCAGTATAATTTTACGTTTTGACCCATTGCGATGAACCAGTGTTTCCCAACCCAAGTCCGCGATCTTAAATGAGTCCGCAACGAGCCAAAAATTCACTGCGAGCCGCAAACGTTTTTGCGAAACTAAACTATCAGCCCAGTTACGATTTACGTTAAAATTTACATGAAACATAAAAGCAAGTTTATTCACATAACATTAATCGAGTCAGCAATTACTGGTTATTGAGTAGAGCTGGGCATATTTTCGTATTTTCAACTATCAGAATAGCAATTTACTATTCGAAAATTAGGTAACAGGTGACGCGACAGGCAACTTGCGCGTCCCTCAATGAAACGATGGGATTTCACAACTCACTTGCAGATTTCCGACGGAAACATGAGTCTGCACACATGAGTCTGACCAGATGTAAGTAAATAAAATCTTTGTGTTGATATTATTGCCCTTGTCGTCTGCCTAACTAATGGATTCTTAAAATCTCTCCCAAGTTTTAATAAGCATAATCACTTTCTCTAATGCTCGCAGCAGGCTGTCTTTTGATATTTCAAAGACTCATGACTTGACAGAAAAAAGGTTGGGAAACCCCTGGTTTAAAGATACAGCTAAAAATTTAGGCATCCACTATTCAGCGACTAAGAAAAACTACCAAAAGCATTCTTCCAGAATCCTATTTTTTCCAATAATTTATATAACTTAAGTTAATAAGCTTGGAACATGTTGCAAATAAATTAACAGATTTTCTCAAGTTTAACCTAGTGATATCCGTAAATATACGATTAGAAATTAAATTTCACACGTGACAATTATTTATTATGAACGAGTCAATTTTTAAACTCTTCGTTTTGTATCATTCTATCGATAGCAGTTTAGACGTCATATAAAAAACTTTTGGGCAGTAATACTAGAATAGTCATGCTCCCACAACACTTTTAATATATATATTGCGTTTAACAATTTGATCATCAAAATACGGGAATTCCTTTATTTGATTATCACTTAAAGGTCAACAAAGTATTTGAACTTCATGGACCTGATATTACATTTAGTATCGTTGCATATTTATTATGCATCGTACTTCTTAATATCAACGGAATGTAGTACTGGTAATGGCGCCCAAGCATGCGTTAATGATCGGCTACGATTACTAGCCAGTCTGATTTTCTGAGGCTCATTAGAATATAATTTCTCATATCATAGGTTGATTTCTTGAAAAAAAGCAATATTCTCAAAACACACACTGTCTGTTGACGACTAACACAACTTGCATCCTGACCATTGCAAATTGTGTCTCAAATTTGAGTAATTTAAAAGAACGAAAGATCCTTTTTTCCTCGCCCAAATCAAAGGCATAGTCATATTAAGAAATATTAAATCTTCACCGTTGGATATTTATTTAAAATTATCGTAGAATCAGGTTATCAAAATCTCTCTAGGCTATAATATGAAAAAGTTCCAACATTTATGCTAACACAATTTTTTTTTCATTCTGGAGGGAGAACCAGAGGGTCAGAGTTACAAGAGCGACTGTTTTAATTCCATTAGGTTTCCCAACTAATTTTATTTTGACAGTGCATGGATGATTAGAATTTTCAATAGTAAAGTTTTATTATAAACAAAACTATAGTTTCAACAAGACTCGTTCCTTCACCAAAATAAAATATGGCTGATAACGCAATGACCAACGTATAACAATAAAATGATTGAAGGATGCGAAAATATACTGCATTGGTGTAAAGACCAAGCTCTACTGCCAGATTTTCGATTAATACATGCTTCGCTCAAAACCACCTTTTGTTGCGGTAATTCTCTGTATTTAATAAACATATTCCACAAATTTAACATGTCTTGTCCATCTGGTCGAAGGGTTCTGTTTTTTACAAATACACTCAATCCTGAAAAAAGAACGGAGTTTAAAAACCAAAAAAGTTGGTATATTCAAGTAGAAGCTCTTTTCAAACTATAAGTCATGGCAGTATAACTCACTAAATAGCACCACGGAGGATGTGACGGGTGAATTTGGATCTTCGTTTACGTGTATATGTACTACCTAGTGCTAATGTTCATGAACTATATGCTCCGGGTCTGAAATATTCAAACTGTTTTTGGTGGTACTCTCAGTGGTACCCACCGAATGGCAACTTGGAAATCTTGTAAAAGGGCTAATTTGTGATTATTGCCTTTCGTTCGATATAGTTCATCAAAATTAAACTCATTACGATTTCCTAGTACATTAGGCAAACGTGTTTTCGTTCATCTCAACTAGGTATACTCGTATTATTACCTCTTTCAGCATCGCACGATGCAACGATGAAATAATTTTTGTAGTCCGTAATGAAAAAAAACTTTCCCGCAAATATGAAGTCCGCAACTGGATATAAAATAAAACTATGTTGTCAACGTGTAATACCACTTTATTTCATTTTTGTCCGGCAGGTCACGTGTCATTGAGTTGAAATACCCAAAACAGAAATTTTGTGATATATGTACATCACTACAAAATTTTAATTCAAAAGTTTCAAGGCAATAATTTTTTCTTCGGAGGCGATATTTTAAAAATATTTAGTACCATAGAATCAAAATGTCATATGATAAAAGAGACGATAATGGCCACAATGAGACTAGAAACATTTTTGCAATTTGAGTTTTATTTTTTATTAGAATTGCATTGAAAGGATAATTTTTGTGCATGTTCTTTCGGTGCTCCCAAAGTATTCGTATCAATATGGCTCACAACCTGAACATAGAATGTGTAACAGGTTACGGTTGTTGAAGTTGTGCGTCATCTTGGTACAAATACTTCCGGAGCGCCGTTCTCTCTACCTTGTAAATATAACAAAATGATGAATTACTTACGAGCATCAACCTCACTAACTTTCTTATCAAATCTATGTGAAATTGCTTTCTTGCTTGTTGTAGTAAAATCAACTTCTGTAATCAAAAACGAAAATGAAATTCCATAAATTGAAATACACGTAGAAGACTTAAAGTAACAATTAAACATTTTCGATAAATCAGGTTTATGAAAATTTGTTAATCAGAAAACTGTTTTATGTTGCCCGGGGCTAGATATATTCACTATAATAATTATACTAAGCACAACAACATTTTTAAACGAAATGCAAAAGCTGATTTTCATGAAAGTACAATATCAACATGTTCACGAATATCATCAAGCTTGAAAAAATGAAGATGATTTATAATTTTAAAGATAAATGATCATTAGATATATTATATATTTTTGTTTCAAACGTGGCTTCGTCGTTGATGTAATTGGCGAAGGTCAAATCGCATCGATTCTCACCGTACGTGTAATTTGGCCCGGCCGATTTATCTAACCTTCTGCATGTCATGCCTTGGCTATTCTGCTGAAACATAGCAGTTTTCGTGAAAAACACATTTTTAAATTACTACCAGATCATAATTCAGCCTAGTGCCCTAGCTTATAAGAAAAGGTGATGCAATGACAAATCTTAACTTACTTTGTGTTTGGTTAGGTGAATACGTTCCGTCTTCATTTGCTATGAAGTGAATACGAGCATTTAATGCATCGTCCATGTTTCGGCTGGAAAGTACAACTGAGAAATTAGTGCAGCTGAAGTGCGTATAAAATCATGATATTGCAATTGAAAATATGAACGATAAAAGAAAAGGAATCCTCCATACGATGATGTGTCTGCTATCTACAGTGGCTACACTCGCACTAGCCTGCAAGCTTTAGCCCAGCGTTGCTCAAACTGTACGGAGCTTTTTGGAATTTAAAAATAAGCTATTCGTAGTACACATGCATGCAACGGGCAATCTTGTGAGACTTGGAGTACGCATTATTTATTATTAGACTGATAATATTATAGCATTTGCCTTGTCGTTGTAGTAAGGGTGATTGTTACATTATAATTGTATCAAAATGTTATAATGTATTTGTAAACAGATGTCCACCTTTCACCACATTGACTTGCGCGTTTAGTTAGGCCAAACAGAAAACCAAGTCAGGACGAGATTTGACTATTTGCTTACAAATTTTATTCAATCATCGTTGCAAAAGCCATCAAAACAATTTAGTCATTTGCATTCCCATGGCTCTGTGAACACGGATTTTCTGCTCTGACTAAAATTGAAACCAAAAAAAGAGACGGAACCTCGTTTCAGTTGTTTCTCAACACATTAACATTCGCTAAATAAATTTGTTTAAAGCTAAATTATTTTTTACAAGTGTGCCGCAAAATTATTTTCGTTAGCTTAGTGCGCCGCGAGCAAAAAAAGTTCGATAACTACTACCAGCCTCTAATGTCGATAAGGGGTTTAAAGCTAAATTATTTTTTACAAGTGTGCCGCAAAATTATTTTCGTTAGCTTAGTGCGCCGCGAGCAAAAAAAGTTCGATAACTACTACCAGCCTCTAAGGTCGATAAGGGGTTTATTCAAACATTCATTCTGAACTAGACCTGGTATATTTAAATAAATTATCCCCAAATTTAAATTTACCAAGATCCAGGCTCTGCACAAACAACGATTCAAAAATAAGCTGCGATTATATGCGTCATCGCGTTGAATTAGGCTGTATAAGCAACGGCCAATATCGACTACAAACTCGACAATAAGAATTTCACTTGGGATAATTGCCAGTTATTTGCATTTTCTTTCATCGCTTCTGTTCTGCACCAACAATGTTAAAATCTGACATGTGTTCGAAAATTTCTTGAATTACAAAGTTTAACAAATTGATTGAGAACCCCGTTAGTTACGTGTTAGTTTTAAGTCGGCATTGGAAGCTATTTATGGAGGCAATTGTATAAATTTTACAACTGATTATTTCCTCAACTTTCAAAAATGAGAACAAAATTTTGAATTTTAAATGTCATCAACAACAAATAAAACTTGCCCATGAACGTGTTGACGTATTTTCATTTCAAAATCATTTCCGTAAGAAACAAAGCTGTGAACATCCCAGCAATCTATTATTTTTGGCGTCAACGGATTTTCAATCACATCATACCATGTTGCTTCCATCTTGCTCAACTAAAATATTATACAGTAAATCGATCATGAATTTGTTTATTACAAAAACAATCCATCAAACATAGCCAATAAAAGTTATAGATCGTGTGTCTTTCACGACACCTTAATTTATGTTTGCTATGAAATATTATGTTCAAAAAGATGATTGCATTAGGACAGAAATTTATACAGAAGAAAAGATAGTACAGTAGTATTGCAAATCATCACTTCTTATAGGTTTATCAGCATGAGTTGGGTACGAAAAAGTTTCAGTATGCAAATATGGTTCACGCACGTAGCGTGACCCACCAGCGGTGAAGTAAAACACCAGAGAAATGGGTACATAAATCATATCATTCCAAGCTCTTCATAAAAGATGTCGATTATGTGAACCCCTCATTGAATATTAATATTGAAGAACACGATGACAGGGTATTTGTGAACTGAGCACAGAGCTCCAGTCTCCAACCGCCTCCGACTTGACCCATGTCATGCAAATAATATACGGGTCTCGGTAATACACAGGAGATTTTTATATTTAGACACCCAGTTTAAGAGTACTACTAGCCTGTTGTTAAGTATTCAACCTTTACTACATAAAATAGCACATATTGTATTTGAATGTGCTTGAATCACTGTGTTGATTTTAGACGGCATTTTCGATTAACGAGGCTATTCATACAAAAATCGTTTTTAATTATTGAAATGCGATGAAAGGGTAATTTTTATATTTTTTGACTACATGCATCGTTTTCTTTTCAGTCGAACACAGTTGTGTACATCGCGTATCACACATTTGTCACAATGCCGACTATAAGCCTGAGCACATAATTTTGTTTTCAAGATTTTTTGCTACTTTTCGCGCTGAGAAATTTTTTCGGTGAAACAAACTTAAGTTAGGAAAATGAAACTGAAATAAAAGTTAAGCGTTCAATCATAATTGAATTGCATAATGGTTCTGACAAGTTTTATGTAGTGGTTGGTATAGCTCATTTCGATATAGTTATGAAGTTATGATAAAATGGGGTGTAGGTTATTACTGAAAATTTTATTCAAGAAGTAAATAAGTTAAACAACGTCTATATAGGTTATGAATATAAACTCTTACCTTATCCCAATCAACAGTTTCATATTTCAGTCTGGGACAAAGACGTGTAAATACTGTTCCCACCAATAGGAACAGCGTCAGAATATAACCTATGAAAAAGCCCATTCTTTGCACCAAAAGCTAACGAAGAGTATAAATCGATTGCAGTGTATTTGGCTCAACAATCAGTTAAGCTGATACAACAAATATTGCCTAAGGTGATGATTGTTGTGGAATGTGGACTTCACATAGCAAGCAAAGCAGATAAATTCGATTTTTGAATATTGGCTAATATCTAACAAAACGATCAAAATTAATGAGTGAGGTTGAGAAAGTGATATACATGTACCGCCAAAATATATAGTCAACGTATAGGTTATATAGCCAATCAGATATACATGTATAGCTAATGTATTATAATGTCATATGCATACACAGCCAACAAATCTATACCGTCATTAAGTGTTGTACATACCCAGCAAATGTCATATGCACTATCTATACAGCCAACTTTATATATTTATATATACAGCCATTCAAGTTGTGTACATACACTGTCAACGGATTTTATATTCAAGTACTCTATGACGTTGATGTATCAATGAGGTGGTGGCCTCTTCATATCATGTGCGTATAGAAACACATACAGATTTAGCCTTTATAGTGGATGAACACAGCATACACTAGGCCGTAATCTATCAGCTAATCAGATTAATTTAGTCTAGCACCCTAGTGCAAACTATCATTACAAATGTTACACTTGAAATGTATATGAGAAATGACTTGTAACACATGTAAAATAGATGTATTAATTAAATTACTATGATGAAGTTTTCTACATGTTATTTGTTCCCATAATGTTTGCGCATAACGTTTGTAACTACTAAAAGAATTAGCAGAAACTCATTTCTGATGTAAACTGATGAGATCACGGTTTCAACGTGTGCGGTTAAAAAGTCTAATTGGGTAAACTAGTGGTTATTTACCTTTGCGAGCCTGTCAAACCCCCATGCTATTCTGCAAGCTCACATCGAACCCCAACAAATTGAACGATTGAAACTAAGATCGTAATCTGAACTAAGGGGAGTTGATTTTATGCAAGTTTATGGAATATGAAGAGATATAGAGAGCCGTTGTTGTGTCACAATAGTGTTGACAGCAGGGAAAACAGAAATCAGATGTGTTTTTATTTAGATAACTTATACGGGGAAAAGGCGAAAAACTGATTGGCCTATAACAAAAATTGCAGTATTCGAGATCCAAAAAATAATAGAATGTCTCAACTCATTCGTTTCTCAACCTTCAAACTGCAATAAAAAGCGGATAAAAGGGTTAGTCCATTGCTTTACAGAAATACAGCGGTAACAAATGACTGAGATGATGATAATTTTATGCAATAGTTTTGGTGAAATATTCTAGCCACCAATAAACACCTGACTTCAAACATCCCGTCGTTCACGCAAATATTTAGCTCAAGTTTGTCATAACAACCAGAGATATTTCGTACCCATGATAGAAAAGCATTTGAAAGAGTTATCATATAAAAGTACACTCGAACGTATACGACATTCGTGGCGAGATGAGTTTCCACAGTCATTTATAGGTTTACTAAAACTTATATATCTGAGCGAAGTTAAACACATCTAAATTATTTTATGAGTTGTTTCGACGTGTAAGATTGGATATCATTCATGAACTATAGTTTATTTTGCGTAACTAATACGCTGCTGGGTAACAGAAAAGTTCAATGATATAGAACTGTTTAAATGACCTTTGCCGAACCCCCTGGAACAGCTCTACCGAACCCCATGGGTTCTATCGAACCAGTTTAAGAAACACCGGGGTAACCTGTTATCGCTCTGAGGCCAAAAGTTATATTAAAACAAACTGATATTATTCTCTTAAACTAAGCTCGTCATACCGTTTCTTTAAATTTAGGCAAAACAAAAATTTCCATTTGTATATAAAGAGTTTAATACAGTATTCGACGCCATCCAGTGTAAAATAGATAGGATTGCGCCATTTGTAGAACGGAAATTGAAAGATTTTCCAAATTAACAGTATCATTTATATATACTCAATATGTTATATATATTGTAGTTTCTATATACTATTATGCGGAATCATCATTCAATGTTTTTTTTGCCGGGTCTGAATTTTGTGTCCACATCCGAAATTGCATTATGAATCTTCGATGACCTACGAGGACCGAATGAACACAGTGACATTATTTTCTCAATTTCAAATACACCGTCTAATGATGCCTGCCATTAGCTAATTGATCAAACTGTATACTTTCTCTCCTAGAACAATACTTGAATGGAAGGGTACATAAAAAGTAAATCAGCGAGAATTTATTCAAAAAAATCACGCACACGTCGTGATAATGTAACGTAGTATCCTTCACGATTTTAATTTCTGTTGATGCACGTTTGCTTGAAGACCATGTCTTCTCTAGGAGTTTCCTGGTTTTCGATCAGTAAATTCCATACATTCAAAATATCCTGGCCATTTGGTCGTACTCTTCTATTTTTAACAAAAATGGTCATACCTGAAATTTAAGAACGCGATTGCCGTTATTTATAATCGTGTTCAACTTACACCATATTAATACAAGTTTTTTGCCTAATTAATAATCTTACTAACCAACTCTTCAAGACTTGAAGACTAGTAAAATATATTAATTCAATGAGTAACCTATCTAACATTTCATTACCCACGAAAAAGGACAAATATGTCGTTGCCGCAATTGCCGTTTTTACTCAAATAAGAGATAATGAACTGTGTATAATAGTAAGTAGCCAAGTAAAGTAAAAATAAATTTATAGTCTACTCTTACTCTTTTTGTCTTATTTTTTATGAGCGTCAAATACATAAAAGATTGTTAAAATTTCGCTTGATTGCTTTGTAAACAATGGGCGCTTATTCATGGTCTGGCTAACTTTTTTTATTATATGGACAAACCAATAATATGGGTATACAAATCTTATTGAATCCCCAAATTTGATGGTTATTGGATTTTCTAGAAAGGGAACACACCGTATACATAACAAGAAATAAAATAAATGAGTCTACATATAAGTAATTATTAAATATTCACATCACCTTCTTCTGAATCGCATTGTGCAACAATGAAATAGGTTTTGTAGTTTGTTACGAAGAAGTATTTTGCCGAGAAAATGATGTCAGCAACTGAATAAAAAAGGCATTATTACATGACAACGTATACGAATAAATAAAATATCAAATGTATTGTTAAATAAAAATTACATAGTATATATGAGAAATGTATTTGAACAGAACGGAACTCGAACAGCCGAATGCGTGAACGGGATATTTTATTTCATTTTTTGGGCTCAACTCTCGCTCCATTGAAGTGCATTATTCTACGTAAAACATACTGAACATGAAGTAATAAAAAAAATAAAAAGTGCTTGCCAACATCAGCGGCCTTCAGTATATCTTCATCAGCTTTATGAGAAATGGATTCTTTAACTCTACTGGCGTATGCTGATTCTAAACAAGAAGCAGATCGAATATAAATATATCGCTTCGTTAAATACTATATTGCTCTCATGTGAAACGTATTACGATTTATGATATATGTAAGGAAAAAAAGAGTTTACTCGAGGAGCGTGGGGTTGTTCAGATCAAACTAGGCAACATAATATATATTCACTTATGAGTATAAAATTTTCTCGTGCAATATGCTATAATTACGCCAAGTGTTTTACTTTTATTTGAATTAAAAAAAAATAAATTACTGTGAGCCTGGTTGACGGAATAAGTTCCATCTTCGTTGGGAATGAAATGCAGGTAAACATCTAAATGTTTCTCTACCGGTCGACTGTGAACATGAAAATAAAATGTGGCAATATTAAAATGATTGCAGTAAAATGATACCATCAAATCTTATGATTGAAACGGATAGCCGACGCTTTCTCTTGATTCCGGCAAAACATTACAAATTCTTCAAAAAATATTGAAATCGGACATTATGAGTCCTATGATGCCATGCCATTTCTTTTTCAGCATATTCAGCTAAAACGTGAAATCTTAAACTAACCATAGAATTGCTACAATTTAGATTGCTACCATGCGGATATCGCTGAGCGTTCCACAATTGTTGAGAGGGTGTGTTTGGGCATGTCGGTGATGCCGATCGTATATTATTAACTAGATAGAAAATAATTTCGCGCGATTGGTCATATTTTGCTACCATGTTCAAGCGTATTTGTTACAGAGAAACGCATGTTCAAATCAACGTGCAAAGACATGTTTACACATACATATTTAAAATATATCCATACTGGCATTGTCGTTTTAAATGTTAATATACCATAAATATGCGTATTTGTCGTTTTAGTTTAGTTGTAGGAACTGTACATCGTAAATCAAGATAACGATTTCAGCAACACTCTTGACTTGAAGATACAAAACATAATGCCACAACAACGAAGTGAACAACTAATCGGTCAATATTAATTCTGTCTAATATGCAACTTGACGACCGAAAATAGCCGAAAGAAACATAGTTACCACAATATATACATAAACATTATAATAATCGAAACGGGATTTTGGTCCAAAAATATTTTTTTTAAACGTGAGGACATACCCTTGGGCATACATAGTTGCATTCATTGCAAATCCATCTCCGATTGCTACAAAACTCTTCCAATCCCAACAATCAATTAGGTATTCGTACTGCGGATTGTCAATTACATCATACCATGTTGCCTCGAGTTGACTAAACTGAAAATATTATGGATTCAAAATCTTTATAGTAAATAATAAAAACCATTTGATATTGAGAAACGTTTTGTCATAAGTGTAAACATTATCAGATCAAATATACATGTCGTTAGATATACATGGCGTCAGCATTATTATTTATATTTGAGTAACAATGAGAAGTGGAGTACCTTGGCTTGGTATACCCTGTGAAATCGAATCTAAATGCTTATGAAATTGTTTTCTATATGATTTTTCATTGTTTTCTATATGATCATGCATTGCAACTGAAAGAAAAATAAATTTGTTTACTACTATCACATATCACTTACCTTTACCCAATCAACGTCTTCTAGTCCTATCCTTGGACAAAACTTTGAAAATGCCATTCCAAATAACGCACATAACAAGAGAAAAATATTTAAATTTCTCATGACTCTTAGATAATGAAGCTATAAAATAAATTTAGTTAAAAAAATTTTGTTTCATCCAAAATGGGTAAGTTGAGCATTCATACTAAATCGAACATTCGTTATCAATGTCAACACGACTAGGCTGATAGGTTTAATCTGGGAAAGAACAGTTAATTCATTTTATAGTCTACTCTACTGGAAGAGTATTTGCCGACCTTATTTTGAAGCGACCTATTTTTTACGAACAATTAAGTGAGACAAATCTAGCGATTAATGGATTAAACGATTGTGTATATTCATCAGAACAGAAATTAGTGTTTGACCTGCTTCAGTGACGTAGCTTTGAATAATCTCCCAAACAGATTAATAAGCAGAACAAGTGTACTGATATTCTAAATCTAAGGTGTAAATATTAATACCAAATCATTTGAACTTTCAAGACTTTTGTGTTTTGAAAACCAATAAAATAATTGAAAGCTTGAAAAAGCGAAAAACAAATGCAAAGTAAACTATTTCCACTCAACCTGTTAGTTGAAAATATTTCCCAACAATCTTAATGACAACTTGACAAGCTCCTTCTATAAACGGCAATCTCACGCACGAGTGTATTGTATTAAAAAATAGCATTCCATTGATCGAAGCTACGTGTGTTAGTGAAGTATAAAATGTAAAGAACGGAAAAGCAACAACTAGTAAAAAGAACTGTGGTTCCATAATTCCTAGTATGTTCTGGTCATAAATACTTGATTACTATAACTAGTAAAACTCATTAACTTTTCTAAGTATTCACTCATATGTCATGCTATTGTTCGACGAAAATATTTAACATTGGTATATTGTGACTCTTTATTCGAAAACCCTCCTGAGCCATTAACGTATTTTTCATTTATATATATACGAGATGCATTTATTAGGTGCATTGCGGTTACATGCTAGTTTTGGCTGCAATTGGGCCTCGTTTTCTGTAGCATATAGTGAGCTACGCACTGACAAAACTTCACGCAATTAATAACATCCGTTCAAGATATACCGTGTTTCCCCGAAAATATGACAGTGTCTTATTTCCATTTTCTCTCGAAAAATACCACTAGGGCTTATTTTCAGGGGATGTCTTTAATTTTCATCTCGAGAATTACGAGGTTTTCAAATATACAACATATGGAAAACGATATCCCTTTACTTATAAATAACTCGTTTTTATTTAAAATAACTGCTTAACATAGATTATTAATTCCTTTAAAACGAGTAGGAAAGATTTCTTGCTATCGCCCAGGTCAAAAAAAAAATTTGGTTATCGACTAGGTCTTATTTTAAGGGAAGGGCTCATATTAAAATTATTTAGAATATTCATGCTGGGTCTTATTTTCGGGGAAACACGGTAGTCGATTCGCTGTCGACCAATTCAGAGCTTTTTTTGCCCATTCGCTCAAATGGGGTACAATATTGTATATGGTCAAAATCGCGAGGAATATATAAAAAGTCACTGGGTATTTACCTAAGTGTGGCATAAAACAATTGAGAAACGTTACACAAAGTTTATCTCAAATGTCCACCTATCCGACCACCTAAGTGGGGCATACAAAAATTGAAATGAAAATTCTGAAATCATATTGAGAAACATTATAGAAAGTATATCTCAAATGTTCACCTATCCGACCACGTAAGTGTGGCATAAAACAATCAAATTAAAAACTCTGAAATCATATTGAGAAACATTATAGAAAGTATATCTCAAATGTCCACCTATCCGACCATCTAAGTGTGGCATACAAGAATTGAAATGAAAATTCTGAAATCATAGTGAAAAACATTACACAAAGAATATCTCAAATGTCTACCTATCCGACCACGTAAGTGTGGCATAAAACAATCAAATTAAAAACTCTGAAATCATATTGAGAAACATTATACCAAGTATATCTCAAATGTCCACCTATCCGACCATCTAAGTGGGGCATACAAAAATTGAAATAAAAAACTTTGAATCATATTGAGAAACATTACACAAAGAATATCTGAAATGTCCACCTATCCGACCACCTAAGTGTGGCATGAAACAATCAAAATAAAAACTCTGAAATCATATTGAGAAACATTATACCAAGTATACCTCAAATGTACACCTATCCGACCATCTAAGTGGGGCATACAAAAATTGAAATAAAAACTTTGAAATCATATTGAGAAACATTACACAAAGAATATCTGAAATGTCCACCTATCCGACCACCTAAGTGTGGCATGAAACAATCAAAATAAAAACTCTGAAATCATATTGAGAAACATTATACCAAGTATATCTCAAATGTACACCTATCCGACCATCTAAGTGGGGCATACAAAAATTGAAATGAAAATTCTGAAATCATATTGAGAAACATTACACAAAATATATATTTCAAATGTCCACCTATCCGGCTATTCAAGTATGGCAAACAAAAAATTTAAAATAAAACTCTGAAATCATATCGAGATACATTATACAAAGTATATCTCAAATGTCCACCTATCCGACCATCTAAGTGTGGCATACAACTATTGAAACAAAATTCTGAAATCATATTGAGAAATCTTACACAAAATATATATATCTCAAATGTTAACTTATTCGACCATTTAAGTGTGTAAAATATAATTAAAATACGAAATTTTGAAATGCTAATCATATTTTGATGTTATGGAAAATTGCTCAACATTTATCTCAAATGTTCACCTATCCGATGACTGTCATGTAATGCAAAATGATACTTTGGAATGGCAATAGTATTGAGAAGCATTCAAAAAATTTCAACCATCCGACCATTTCCGAAGATATGTAATCAAAACACGAAATTCTGAAAAAATATCGATAACATTTCAAATGCTCAATTAAGTGACGATTTCAGTGGGTCCTTTAAATGCGAAACAAAATTTTGCCATGTCAATTGATATGAGAAACATTACACCAATTATAACTCAAATGTCTACCTATCAGGGCGCTTAAGTATAGCAGTGATTATACAGTCAACTATACAGGCGATCAACATGAAATTATTGAACCCCAATATCAATTTATAATCTTTGCACAATTTATATAAAATATTTGCACCAACTCGGAACACGAAAACATGTTTGTTATTTTGAATTTATAATTAAATAGTAAAAATGCATGAAAAGTATGTATACGAATGTGGATATGCCCACTAGATTAAGTTGTTGAGGAGAGACAAAATTATGCTTACTGTCGGTTCATCTTTATGAATTATACAGAGATGTCTTAAAGCTTCACAATAAACTTTCTCGCAAGATATACAAGGACGTGCACTTATTTTTCTTTTTGTCGTTTTTTTTTCTGGTTCGCGTTTATTTAGAAGCTTTTTTGGAATTGATTTACAGCCTTTTGTTTTTCCATATACACGGTTTTCTTTGAAATCACTTACAATGAATATTGAAGGTGATTATGAAGATGGTGCGGTATAGTCTGTTGACTAATCTGCAACTTGGGTCAAAAATACATGCATAAGTCACAAAACATCATCACAGTGTTTTGGTCCAATCAGCGACGGATTAACCATTAAACAATATAAGCACGGGCACCAAGCAAAGAGGGGCACCGCAGAAATTTTTATAGAAGAATTTTATATAGTTTATCGGTGTTTATTTGAAATATTACGAGTTCATCAGACAACTCAAACTTCAAAATGTTCGATTATTTTTTTTTTGTCTTCAAAAATAAACACTGAAACTTATTTATTGGACACGAAATGGGCCTATGAGTCGTTTTGTAAAATTGTTGTTGTTTTTTCTTTCTAGTATTCTCTTTGTTGCTGCATTTTTGTTTTAAAAAAAATTCTTTTCTTCTCAACAATTGGACCAATGAACTATTTGCACAATGTGGTGGTTCCACGATCGCATTTTAACGATCTAGGGGTCAGCGAAGTCGGGAGTTTTTTGATAAGGTAGACCAGGGTGGTCCAAACCCTGTCATGCTGATACATTCTGTGCGGCCCACAGAACGATTTTAGCGTATGTTTGTATTTAATAGCAGAGCGTTTCTGAGTTTTTTAAAGTTCAAACCCTTTTTTTAACGCTTTGTGCCTTTATTTTAGTAAAAACACTCCTCTGTTTTCAAGCGTGGGCCATGTGACAGTAGCGACGAAACGCAGAGCCGACTCAACGCCTCGCAATCCGCAATCCTTAACTTTTTTTTTCAGCAAGGTCCCGAAATACCAACTTAGACGGACTTGGGGTTATGTCACTAAGCTTGCTCACCCTGCAAGTTTGAAATTACTCAAATATAACAAGTCGTAATAAAATGATTGTCACAAGAAAAGTGGCATAAGGAAAACTCGGCGGAAACGTATTTCCTTGCCCATCAAACAGGGTCTGGTTTGATTTCAAGTAATATCTGTTACGAAAGATTTTAATTTGAAGCGACATCAAACGCGAGATGCGGAAAATACAACGTTAATTTTAGGGAATTATTTTTAAATAACCGAAGGCTTTATATATCTTCTTTAAAAGAACGCCACCCATGCAACATAATAATTGTCTGATTGGAACGGTAAACTCTCGTTGTTTATTAAATTAAAAGTACGTAAACTCGCGATATTTCGATCACTTTTGGGTTTTCTCCGACTTGCGGCCCGCGAGACCTCCTCAAAAGTTTTTGCGGTCCTTCAACCTAGCAACCATGAACCACTCTGAGGTAGACTACTAGGTAGCGGTAAAATTTCAAACTACAGTTGTGACTTGTATCCTTTGGTACTTTGATTCACGTTGAGACTGGAAGCTTGAATCTTTACTGTCACACTCCTCCAGGATTAGAGCTCAACCGTTATATCGGCTCGATGTTGTGTATTTGCCGATATATCATATCGGCAGTAAACGGCCGATGTATATACAGGGTTGTCCAAAACGAATCGAATATTCGAAATTATTCGAATATCAAAGTATTCGAATAATTACGAATAGTAGTCACTTTTTGCCGTAAACACGGTGTTTCGTTTTAGGAATCTTCAAACGACTTTTTACGCTTTCTCGCGTATTGTAATGACGATGAAATAGAGTCGGCATTTTGATTGTTTATATTCAGCGCGAATGTACGTCGCATAGTGTTGCGACACATTTGCACGTTTGCGTTGGTGGACGTTGCCGACATTCGTCTTTTAATTCACAAAATCATTTCCATTAGTCGAAAAATCGACAATCACCGTATTTCCCGGCTAATAAGTCGCTTTTGCTTTTCTAGACCCAATTTTGGCTTGATTTTTTGGGGGGTGGGGCGCCTTATTGAGAAAGCATGTTTATTTTATTTCTATGTGGCCTGCTTATTTTTCGCATTAGTCTTCTCAAGCATAATTTGTGTTAACCTTATATTTGGTTCTTATGGGTCTGCCAATCATGATATTTAATGGTAGGCCGGTTATCGTTACTTAAGAGAGAAAACACGGCCACCGCCACCGAGATAAAGTAAGTGATTTATGACCCTTTGGTTTTGCCGATTCAGCAGAAAATGGCAGGGACATGAAACACAGCTGTGAAATAACCCATGGACGTACCGTGTGGAACTCATCACATTCCAAAATTATTTCAACATTCGGGTTGATAGGTTGTCCAAAATGATTGCCGCTTTATAATTCAAATTTACCGCTTCGTTGTTGAGAATAGTTAATTCCGTGAGTATGGTTCTACCAAACAAACATGATCTGGTTCTGTTCTGACCCTATAAAATTATAGATTGTTCAAAATGATTGTGATTTTCAAAATTACCGCTTTATTGTTAAAAATAGTTAATTCTGTGAGTATGATTCTACTAACAAACGTGATCTGGTTCTAAACATTATTATTAGCGCATATTAGCATAACTGAACAACAGGGAACAATTTTTCTACCCGTCTTCTTGGAGGCCTATATGGAAAACCCCCTTTTTTTGAGTGCTAAAAATATACATCGTCCTATTTGCCATGTAGACTTATTAGCCGGGAAATACGGTATTTATAGCCGTAATTGTTACGATATCCAATAAATTGTCACAAGTTGGGAAACAAGTTGATTTATTAGAAAAATACTTTCACCCGCTTTCTTGCAAATAATTTTGATAATGATGGTCAAAAGTATCGATAATGAAAGTATTAATACCAAATACCATGCCCAATTATAATTAATTTCGGATTCGTATTTACAAAATATTAAAACTATTATAACTCAAAAATACAACATCGATTTGTGGACTTGAATGTGTAATAAAGTATAAATTATTTTTCCGACTTGTGACAATTTTTTCGTGAGTACGAAAATAAGAATCAAAAATTAATTATATTCGGGCACAATATCACGGCATTCTGTGGACATAAATTGTGAGGCAAACTCGCGATTGATATTAATTTTTGATTCCTATTTTCGTATTTACAAAATACAACGGTGATCTGTGGACATTGAACCGATTATAAATAGTTTTCGTATTTATAAAATAATAAAAGTATTATTACACAAACATACAACGGCGATCTGCGGACTTAAAATGTGTGGTAAAGTTCCCGAATATAATTACTTTTTGATTCGTATTTTTGTACTCGCGAAAAAATTGTCACAAGTCTGAAAAAGAACTCATACTTTATCCCGCTTTTTGACAAATAATTTGGATAATGGTTGGTATTTAAAAGTATGGGCGTTTTACTAGGATGATTTTGTGTTGCGCAAGCATTCAAATCCATCACCGATACCACTATTTAAAATGCCTTGTCGTATTATTTTAATTCTGTTAATTAACACAACTCATGTTATATAAAATATATATCGCAATAATCTGCAAACATGAATTGCCTGGTAATATAGCCAGGTTGTAAATAGAAGTTTTCCCATTGTTTATTGTATGAAAATTCCTTCATACACTTAGATTCTATTACTGGATTTTAATTTCGAAGTATTCGAAATTTCATATTCGAAAATAATAATTTCGAATGTATTCGAAATAGTGAACTATTCGGTATTGGCCATCCCTGTGTATATATATATCGGCTATATATACCAGTTAAAAAATCTAAAATTGTTCGTAAAAGTTCTTTTATTTACTGTTGGTTGTGATTATTTTTAATGGATAATAGCTACACTTATGTGGTTTATTTTATTTTTTTATATAATTAAATTACACATAAGGATACGGTCTCTTGATTGATCGAACAAACGGGATGTTTGAAATGGGGAATTTCATCATTACTCAAATAAACCAGAGTTTCTAAACAGATGCACTACAATTATTCGTAGATAGCAGCTCTATTTGTGATGGGGTACAAGTGATATTATGATTTGGCTCATTGTCATCCATTGGTTCAATTTGAGATATTTAATAAAAACAAGCATAGCAAACACATTTAGTCACCTACTGGCGCAGCTTTCTCCGAATCACTACCCGCATTTCCGTCTACGAAGTTCTGAAACGTAGGCTATCTCGTTGGAGAGTCACCTACATGCGAACAAAAAATACGTCCCAGCCCAAATAACTAGATGAGGATGGTAAAATAACACAGGGGTATGTGCCAAATCACAAAACAAAATTGCTAGCAATGCAATGTTAGCTCTGTGAGATTTGTTTTTGTTTGCTATGAAGTCATCGAACGTTCTGCGGACGCATATGCTGGCACTCCACCTTATGTTCTTTTGATCACGTGCCATCGAACGCCGGTGGTTCGTAACGGAATCCTTGCTTTGCTAAGATTTGAGAAATGGAATGGTAAATATGCGGATAGCGCCGTACTTGGTGTTATCTTACAGTAGTGACTCGGATATATCAGATCGTTCGAATGCTCATTTAGCCTGTTATCAAAATCATTGTTGAGGCAATTAGTACGCATGTGATTATGAAGAGTATTCTGATTCTGTTATATCCGTCCCCAGGAACATCTAATACAATGCCCATGATAGTGAAGATCGCCACAAAAATTCGACAAGCAAGGTGTTGATAATCCTACCTACACCATCACCTTTGTATCTCAGAAGCAAACATGTGTTCCGTTAACCGTGGTATCACTCCAAAGTATCTCATTTCCCTGCATATTGCTACATAAGCCGAAGATTTGAATTTTAGGTGGAGCTGACTTGGATGACCGTATCGCTCCCTCCAGTCTTTACCAAAAAATTAGCACTTTATCACCAAATATTTCACATTATCCAGATCGAGCGGCGAAAAACACGTCCGACCCAGACGGCATTCGGACGCTTTATATAGTAAAAGCTGGCCTTGTACTTTAAATTTTGTTCCAATAATGGAGAAGGGAATGAAACGGATTACATAGTATTTCAATTCATGTTGCAATTGAATGGAGAATAATAGATCATTGCCACGGGACATGTGAGATGGGAGGCAGACAACTCGACTACACACCGACTACAAATAGTCCTGTTGAGTTGTCTGTGCAGTCGAATTGTCCATCAGCCCTAAACGGCTATGACAGTCACTGTACCGAAATTTGTACCCCGATTCAGGTGGTGTTAAGTTGACGCATGTTATTTTGTAACGTTTTTATGTGAAATGTTAGACTGTGGTTCGGTACCTGGTCCGGCAATACGGTAGATAATTGACTCATATCAAGAGATATTTCATTTGATATTTCAATATAATCAAGAATAATGGATCATTGTCACGGGACCTAAAATAACTATGACAGTCCCTGTACCGTCACAGCACCCCGATACATGTATTGGTGAGTCACCGCATATGACTTTTGGGGAATTGTTCTGCATGTCCATATATTTGAGCATTGCTCTCTTGTTTTGATGGTCAGATCAGAACTACGACCAGTAAAACCATAACAGTACTAGTAGTCTATATTTTGATGATCTGGATTACGTGGAAAAACACCAAAAATATAGTAGTCCTAATATTGAAATCGTTATGACCAATCACCTTATCCGATGAGTGATAATTTCCAGCAGCATTCCTCAGTGACGTCCACCAGCACGCACACAAAAACACAAGCCCAATTAAATGAGGCTTGGGCCAAACTTAAAAAACAAAATACACGATAGTAATAAACTTTCGGGCTGTTGTACTCTCTTTCAACAATTGCGTTGATAATGACCAATACCTACAACCTCATGCAAAGATAATGTGGGGAGTGGAATGTAATAAATTTGCGACGATAGTCATACTCATGAAGCCATGAAAGCTTTAAGAAAAACCAAGCCATGAAAAACTACACTGATTGCTAGATTGGGCATCGCGGAAAAGGTGATAAGTGGTTTAATATACAAACAACATCCATACATCCTTAGCCCAGCCCGGGACACATGACGCCAGATGTCAATTCTGGGACTGTCCCGGTCATACCGGGACAGTTGGTAGTAAATTATATAGACCAGGAGTGGGCAACCATTGGTACGCGTGCCAAACTCACACAAGCACGGCTATCTGGAACGCGAACGAGGCCTCAGAAACAAGAACTTTCCCCTTTAAAAAGTATCATCTGATGGAAATTGGTGTTTGCTTTCGTATGTTAACAGTTCGTTATTTAATATAATTGAACTCTTCAGTTCTTTTATGACAAATGGCTACAAAGAAATATGTTATGACGTAAGAACCAGACTCATTTTCTCATTTCTTCAAGGCTCTTCTCTTCCTCTTCACATATACCTTTAAAAATGTCAGTAGTATGTTTTCACAAATTTCGATAGGGAAGCTGAATAATTTTGTTATTGAATTTAGCCGATTTTGGCACGCGAACCGAAAAGTGTTGGTTTTCACAGTACCAGCTGTCCCAACCTTCTAATTCTTCGGAATGTGGTGCGCGGTTAGGGGAATTTTCCACAATGCTATCGACGCAATCGACTCTGCAAATTAGAGACGCGCTTGCTGGCTGCTGCTATATGCGTAGTGGTCGCGTCCTTGTTTCATATTACTGTATTAGCCATCCAGTACATTGGAGATTAATGGCAGTATGTGGTCAAGATCAAAACATTCTTTCTTTTCTGTTATATTGGGGAGATGTCGAATCAACGGCAAGTGGAATACTAAACTTGCCATTCCTCCAATTGGTAAAAGGCACAAGAGTTTCTTATCAACAGATATGCCTGAAGCTGCAAATTTCCCCAACATAAATACATACGAAGATTTGTACAAATTCAGTATTGCGCATTCGGACATGTTTTGGGGAGAACTTGCCAAGTCTCGACTACATTGGGACCAACCATTCACAAGAGTTTCAGAATGTAATATGCATGAGGGAAAAATAAAGTGGTTCGCAGACGGTAAACTCAATGTCAGCTATAATTGTGTTGACAGACATGCAAATGAGACACCAGATAAGTTGGCATTAATTTGGGAAAAAGACCAGCCAAATGAAGTTGAAAGTGTTTCATACAAAGAACTTCTATCCATGGTTTGCAGGATTGCAAATTGCTTGATGGCTCAAGGAATAAAGAAAGGAGATTGTGTAACAATTTACATGCCCGTCTCACCAACTGCAGTGGCAACAATGCTAGCATGCGCACGAATAGGTGCTGTTCACAATGTTGTTTTTGCTGGATTCAGTGCAGAGGCACTTGCACAAAGAATTCAAAGTTCAAGCTCGAAAATGGTTATAACCACTGACCAAGGTGTACGAGGTGGGAAAGTTATTGAATTGAAAAGGACTGTAGATGATGCAGTCAAAACATGCCCAAGTGTACAAACAGTCCTTGTCAGCAAGAGAACTGGAGCTAATGTACCAATGAGTGAAAAAGACATTGACTTTGATGAAGCAATTGTTAATGAAAATTCATGGTGCGAACCAGTGTCTATGGATAGTGAAGATTGGCTGTTTACATTATACACATCCGGGAGTACAGGAAAACCTAAGGGAATTGTTCACAGCCAGGCAGGATATCTACTTTACGCTACTGTCACAAGCAAATTTGTTTTTGACATACAAGAAGGCGACATTTTTGGGTGTGTTGCTGACATTGGATGGATAACGGGACATAGTTATGTAGTTTATGGCCCTCTGAGTAATGGCACTACAACAGTTCTATTCGAAAGCACTCCAACATATCCAGATCCAGGAAGATATTGGGACATGGTTCAAAGAATTAAACTAACACAATTTTATGGAGCGCCAACTGCCATTCGTTTGCTTTTGAAACACGGAGACTCGTGGGTTAAGAAATATGATAGATCTTCTCTGCGAGTTCTAGGAAGTGTGGGTGAGCCAATAAATCATGAGGCATGGGAGTGGTATCACTCTGTTGTTGGAGAGAATAGGTGTACTGTTGTGGATACATGGTGGCAAACTGAGACCGGTGGGATTATGATAACTCCCAGACCTTCTGGGGTGGATGATGCAATTGAACCCGCTATGCCAATGCGACCATTTTATGGTATTCAGCCCGCTTTACTTGATGAATCCAAGACAGAGATTCAAGGGAATTCAGTTTCTGGTGCTTGTTGTATAAAATATCCATGGCCAGGTATGGCTCGAACCATTCTTGGTGATCATAACAGATTTATAGAAACTTATTATAAACCTTATCCTGGGTTATATTTTTCTGGAGATGGTGCTAATCGAACAGCTGATGGTAATTATCAGATAACTGGTCGCATGGATGATGTGATCAATGTAAGTGGACACAGACTCGGAACTGCTGAAGTGGAAGATGTTATTGATGAACATCATGCAGTTGCAGAATCTGCAGTTGTTGGTTACCCTCATGATATAAAAGGAGAGGCTCCATTCGCATTCTTGACATTGAAAGAGAATCAAAATATTTCGGCTGAGGATTTGGAAAAGGAGTTAAAACAAATGATAAAGGAGAAAATATCTTCATTTGCAATACCTGATATTTTTATCGTCACAGATGGACTTCCTAAAACAAGATCAGGGAAAATAATGCGCAGGATATTGAGAAAGATAGCAGTGGAGGACACTGATAATCTTGGTGATGTCAGTACGTTGGCTGATCCATCTGTGGTGAAAAAACTTGTTGCATCGAGAAAAATTTTAAAAAAAACCTAAATATTGTGTTATTTTATTATCAAGACATTGGGTTGTTGCAATTCATTTTTCACTTCTAATAATTGTTTTACGTATCATTAATGAGCAATCAATCAATTTTGTATATATTCAATAGATTCTATAAATTAAACACTTTCATATTAAATACATGTGCTATATTTAATTTCTCTTTATCATGTCAGCCCCGAATCGCTTGTGTTATCTATTGTCTCACTCATACCTCAACTCATTGAAATCACATCTTCACTAAGGAATTGTCAAATATTAGCCAACGGTGTTATAAATTTCATTGCATTTATTTTATTGCTTGGAACAAACGATCTTTTCATGTGTGTACCATTTCTTTTAAATGTGCAGCTTTAATATACTTAATCTTAAATACATCCATCACAAGTGGCCTATATAGCATGTGACAAACAATCCACACTTATTTTTCTTTGGGGAAGTAGGTTAAAAAAATTCCTGCACGTCAGCACTTGCCAGATGATTTATTTATGCATACCCCCATGTCAATGACGATTACTTAGTAGCATAGCAGGAAGCCAATGGCCCATTAAAGAAAGCATCAAGCTCTCAATACCATCTGGAATTATGTAACATAAAACGCATCCCATGTTGTTGTTTTTTTTATTACGCAAATGCAGTTACGATATGGCAAATGAAATAAAAGGGCAAGATGGTTCAGAAATTACTTAAAAATTAGGATAATCTTAACACTGATATTATGAAGTTCCCCTAAAACTGATAAAAAGCTAAAATATATTGATTGGTGTAACTAATTTAAAAAAAAAATGTTATTTGCATGTAGAATGATAACACAATATTTCATACTTTAATAGTTGTACAATACAAATGATCTTTAACATACTAAACGGCTCTTCAGGACTTTCTATGTTGTGTCATTGTTAGCATATCTGATAACAAAGCCATAGCAATTTGTAACTAAAGCAACCCACAATAATTAAATGTAAATCTATCCAATGATTCGTTTTCAAAGCACCCTTAACAAAGACACAAACAGTATAAAACTAGAAATATTCACAACACGTGAAAACTAGAGAGCACTACTCAAATGGATCAGCTCAGGTTTGAATGACTGACATCCAGCTGAATGTATAACCTGTAATATGGTGAATTTGTGTGACTAAAAGTAGAGAGAGGGGAAAAAGTTCAGAACAACAACAAAATAGCAAAATTATCAACTTGTTCTCTTTTTGATCTATGAAAAAGTAACTGGAGGATAGCAACTACTCCTTAATAGTTTCAAGTGGTGGAATGACTAACAACAAAATATGACACTAAAACAACTACGCGCTTGCTGTAAAACAAATTTGTACCGTATTTCAACCTTCTTTAGAGGATAATAATATCACCATGATTGTTATATGGTTAAATGCAACATGATCGTTTTGATTCTAGTTAAGCTTCACTTTAAATGATTATGACGTATGCATGCAATTAATTCAGCATTCTTATTTGTATGTAAATGCCGACTGACTCCAATCATAATAAGTCCCCATATTAGGTGTGTCAGCTGATGGGGGGGCACTAGGTTTCGAATCAGCGTTTGATGTAGTCACCGCTGAACCATATTTAATTGCATCATCATAGTTTGGTGGAGGAGGTTCTTTTGGCCCTGGTGGTGACAAAGTCTCATATCCAGGAGCAGCAGAAGACATATCACCTGTAATAGAGTTTGTTGAATGAAGTAAGCCTCTTTGATTGAATTATCACCTTGCTCAGAAGGCAATTGTCTTTTAACTACATCATTGTTTCCTCACACATAACAAGGATACTATGACCCTTTAATACAGCGATCTTCAAAACACCAATAAACTTTTTTTTTGTGTCGCGTATACATGTCCTACAGTTACATATGCTTATGTATTTAGTAATGCTCATTGAAACAAGCACAAATTTACACATTAGCCGTGTGCCTATTCATACTTAGCCAGTGATTCCACATAGACATGGAACGTAATATGGAATGAATGATTTGTTAAAAGAATTATATAGTTAGCCTCTTGCTGACTTCACTAATAATGTACAAACATAGAGAAAATCGTATGTGACAATAGTTTGAAAACCGATAAAACTGGCAAGCCTCTTCGTATTTACTATGTTCTAATAGAATTGTGATGATCTATGCCAAATTCACACTTTCTTGTATACGGTTTCAGAACATGTGGTTTTACATAATATACCGGTATAATAACAATATATTAGAATGGTTAAACATTAATATTCAAAGCCTATTAAAGGTAGTTTTAGAAGTGATTAGTTAGGGTAATACTTATTTTTGAAATGGAACATTAAGCGAATATTATATAAAACTATTTGACATTGTCTAAAGCAGTGTATTTCGACATGGGTTAAATTTCACTATTGCATTTTATCCAACCTTGAACTTCGTATCCATTATAAGCTGGTACCTCATTTTTTGTCATCATGATATACCAATGAGAGATAATCAGTACTGAATAGTTACTATTTACTACTCTCATTGGGTATTGGCATACTGTAAACTGTTACTCATTGAAATTGTGTCTTCATTGTATAGTTAACAAATATTAGCAAAGGGCGTTAGAAATTTTATTGCATTTGTGCATTTATTGCCTGAATCAAAGACCTTTTTATTGGTTTATTGTATCCATGTTGTAAATGTGCACAAAGGAACACAGATAACCCCAACACCAAACTGTAAAGCAATAAAAAAAAATTTAACAGATAGTCTTCTGCTTGCGAAAATATCAGCATACCTTGGTCGTGTAGTGTGTATGCATCTGCCGCAGGAGCAGAAGGTGTTACGCCCGACTGATGTTGAGGTTGTTGATTATTTCCTATGAATATTGCAACAGGATTGCTTATGATTGTCATGGAACACCATCCAGAAAGCAAAACTTCAAACTTGTAAAAATATAAATATACATATATTACAGACAAACTTGACTGGTAGCAAATCAGAATGAACAGAATTCATTTTTACACAAATATATATATATTAATATATATGTCAGATTTTCATTCATTGCAATAAACAAATTGCTTTTAATTACTGCTTCCAATTCTGAAAATTCTAACAGGAAGTGTTCATGTATATAAATAACTTTGTTTCAAGTAATGTCACATTATGCGAAATGGTATAGCTCTCAAGCTTGATCACATGATCGTAAATGTATCAGAATATTTTTAACAAGTGCAAAATCGATGTGGATACTGGATATCACTAGATTTCAATAACTAAACTGATCTGATTGCGTTATTTGGTTGTAATTCATAAATCTACCTAGAATCTCCAGAGAAATCTTGAAACAACATAAAAAATCTTGAATTATGTTCCATATTTACCTGCAAAGAATACTTGACATCAATCGATTGACAATGTTTTAGGTCAGATTCAGGTATGCCTGGGATTGCAATAGATCTTCGATTCACAAGATTGACTGTACCTCGAGGCCTCACATTCTCACAATCCCATTGAGCTACTAAATACTTTTTTTCTTTAGATTTCAAGTTTCCCGAAGAGGTGAATGAAAAATCAGACCTCCGGCCATACACTGTCAAATGCTGTACAAGCGACATTCTGACTTTTTCTGTTGCGACTGAACTGAAAAATAAATTTTGAGATGTGTCCAGGGGGGGTTAGGTGAAACCAAAACATTACATCAAAAGTGCTATTCACGACGACGTAATAATGCGTTTAATAAATTAAAATGCATGGTCGTTCACAGCGAAATTCCACTGTTACGTGTAGCCCGGCTCTTTTTGCTGTGAAAATTAATTTTAGAGATAACTTCAGCTCGCAGATATCAGTAGCGTCATGATGGTTTATATGTACAAAAAACATGCTTGCATGTAGCGCCGATCAAATGCATGAAATGTGAAACTATTACTTGGAATTTATTGTTAATTGAGTTGATATTTTATTGCCATTCAATGATTATTTACATGCGCCATGATTAGTGGGTCAAATCGTATTTTTTATGAGTCGAAATCGTATTTTATCGAGTTATTCGAATATTTTCAACGAACACCGAATAAGGAATATTGTCATTTTAAACGCAATTAATTGGGATTTTGGCCGCCAAAACAATCGCTGTGACAATAAATATATTTTTTTTGGATTCTACTAGAGGAATGAAAACTCAATAACAATGCGGCGTTTTTTATTTCATGATTTTGTCATAATCGAAGGCAGCAATAAATTTTTTGTCACTGCAATCGTTTCGGCGACTGACATTCCGATTAATGTTGTTAAATTATATTAAAGCACTTTTTTATTCAATAGCAAATATTAACTCTTATGCAACGACGGATATCGTAGTTTGGTTTCTATATTTCGGACAGAATTGTGGGTTCACATTGGCGAAGATGTCAGAGAGTGAAGAGACAACTATTAAGGAGTGCATCCAAACACAAATTTATTTTATTCTCATTTTTATCTTCTGTGTAGAATTTGTATCACAGTTTGCAAATTACGGTCACAATTTAAAGCGAACAATATTATCATTACTGACCCCAGGATGTGATATTTGTGAAGCAGATATTTGACATTTTTGTGTTTTTAATTTTAGATCGTGTCCGTGTTACATTCGTATTAAATAATAATAAAAAGCTCTGCAAATTGGTAATTCCTTGAATACTCAGTGTTGGGTATCTAAAAACCTGATACTGACCACGTGAATAAATCGGCAATAATGGCATTTCTACATGGTCAAAATAATATTTCTTCCCAATATCTCGAGAAATTTCCATAAAATACATTATTTACCTGTCTTACTTATCTGGTTCGACGTTTCAAAAACGGTGTTGACACGCTTGCAAAATTAGGAATTGAAAAATGTGACGCAAAGAGGCAAGGAAAATTTTTTTCACATTTATCTTTTTTACCAGTTAGCGATAGCCATCTGTAAATTAATGTTAATAAATTCTAATTTGCTTTTCAATGCGCTGTGATTTATATTAATAAAAGTGCTTAACCCTTTCCGTGCGGTGGGCACGTATACGTACCCACCACAAAACTCGTTAGATTGCGGCGGGTACATTGATGTACTCCACTGTTTTATTTAGCAATCGGTCGCAAACTGTTGGTCTAGTTTTTCCGGGTTTTAGTTTATTGATAAGAAGTCTTCTTTGAGATTAACATAAGCGATGGTAAATCTCGCTTTCGTTTACCATGGGAATTTTATTTGCGGCGGAACGAGGGAGTGTTTTTGAAATTTATGCAAATTTCAGTGTTTTTTGGGTGGTAATAGAAGACATATTATCCCTTCCATCTACCAAAGTATTTGAGTTAGATAACGAAATTGCTACAGCAATATTATGCTATTGTTTGCCAACTAAGAAGCGGTAACAGTGAAGGATTTAGTGAATATTTCTATTTTTTTTATCACAGTTTGAATTTTCAACACCCAAGAAAAAAAAATGCCTTTTTTTTATCCGGTTTGTGACTCAGACCACCCCTTTTAAAAAAAAATTTTTTTTAATCGCCAATTGCAAGCTCTTTAAATAAGCTTTCCAACGAGCCGTCAGTGGGCAGCAGAGGATCATTACTTTTTCGTTAGTCGATTAGTTGTGCGGGTACAAATGCATAAAGTCGGCGTAGCAAATACGATTATTTAATAAAAATCGCATGGAAAGGGTTAAGTCGGAAAACGAAAGTTTTTAAATTAGTTTAAAACCCTTCGTTCCTTTTGCGCCCATAACGGCAGTTAAATTCGTCTCATGTCTGTTTCATGGAGAGAAGGAAAAATACGCATTCCGGAATTGCAATCAACAATTACACATTCTTATTTATCATTATCAGCGCTAACTAAAAAAAATAACATCTCTTGAAGATGGCGGAGGTTAATTGTGTCACGGTGATAACGCGTAGAATAATATAGTGTAGGCCGCAAAACCAGGATGCGCAATCGTAAAACTCCGCGGTTGCTTTTTTGTAGATGAAATTCACATCAAAGTTTTTTTCAAACGGGGTAATCTTCCCCCCCCACCGCTGGCTGTGCGATTGGATGTGTCGGTCAGAAGTCATGAAAGTATTTAGATAAAAATAACGGGGTCCGGCCAGCAAAATATAAATCAGAGCAGTAAAGGGTATTTACCATTTGGTGCAATTTTGCACATACTATAACCAGCATTGGTCGACTTCTGAGAATTTTTGCAAAAAAGTTTTATACTTAAAAGATTCGGGGCTCCCAAAGTATGCGAACCAAGATGGCGGACATCGGAACGTAACATGGGTAACAGGTTAGGGTTAGGCGATAATTTTTTTCCTAATTTTCCTTATTTTAGTCCTATTATCAGTTCGAAGACTAGCCAAGAGCCTCCCGTAGTATTTATACCTAAAATTATGGCCTAACCCTAACCTAGTACAGATATTACATTCCGATGTCCGCCATCTTGGTTCGCATACTTCGGGAGCCCCAAAGATTCTATATTGGTCAAGGGATAATAAAGAAAAGGTAGAATGGGTATGTGAACAAAGATGGCGGACACCGGAACGCAGTGTGTGTACCAAGTTAGGGTTAGGCCATAATTTCAGGTACAAATACTACGGGAATTCATTTGCTAGTCCACGAACTCTTAATAGAACTAAAATAAGGAAAATTAGAATATAACCTGGTTCACATACTACGAGAGTACCCAAAAAAGTATATCAATATGCCAGCCATTTAAAGCACCACGAAAGGAAAATATAATTATGACGGCCAATGCAGTCAGTCGTAAACAGGACTGTGGGTGAAGTCAGTAATAATTTACACAGAAATCCAAACAATGACGCTTTGGCTCTGGCTCCCAAAGCTGAGGCGTTTGAAACAATGACTCAGACTCCAGATCCTTGATCATGAACATAAATTTGATCATTGGTTAACAATGTTATGCAACTGTCTGAGAAAAAGGAATATCTGCTTTTTACCAACCACATCAACAATATATTATATTTAACATATGATTTATTGGGTATTCATAAAATGTTTCATTTTGAAGCAATTTCCTACCTTCCATTCATAACATATCCATCGACCAATATTGATTCCCCAGGGCTATAATAATTTTTGTCAGTTGTCAACTCAAATTTTATCATTTCAAGACCACCAAAACAGCCAGTGTCTTCACCTTCCCCAAACAATCGGATCGGCCTCTGAAACATACCGGTATATTAATATGGGACTTGTCAGTCAAGACGAAGTGATTCGGAAAACAACAAATTATGGTAATCTTTTCAAAGGCAAATTTCTGTTATGATTGTTAGGTGAACCAAACTTTTATTAAAAAACTATGCTTGCTTCAAAACAGTGAACAAAGGTAATTAACAAAAGTAAAAATTCCTCTGAATCTGTTCGATTAAAATCATGAAAGAGTAAAAAATTATGACTGAATTCGCAAACTTCTGCTTGTGATACTACTTTGATCAAAGATGCACAAACAAAATTCTCAGCTTTTTGAAATATTCTTTTCCATAGCTATGTTTGTAATTGTAACTACTCAATGTATCAATGATATCAAATCCTCAATGAGTAGCCATCCACTAGTATGATCTTGCCTGGTTTTGAGCATTAGAATAAATTGGATTATCTAGCCAAAAATATGTTTCAAACCTATTATTCTTACAAGAGGTGCTGGTGGGCTGGTTGGATTATATACATCCATAACGAAGGTGTTAGCTTCATCACTTGCGAAAACTCCACTAGATTCCACAGAGACGGCGATTGTGTATGAAACGGTTCCATATTTTGCTATAAAAGAAGTGAAAATGCTCTTTCAGTTTCTATAGTCGTTAACATTGCATTTGACTATTCTGAATAATATCCCATGACAACCATCTCGACCAGAATGTGAAAAAACTTGTATTTTTTTTTTTGTGTTAAACTTAAAGATAAACGTTCCTGAGATCTACAGAAGTAAGTTATGAAGTCATTCAATGAACACTACAATTTAATATGGTGTTAAAAATGGAAACTAGAACACATACATACAAATTTTGAAGGAATAGCAGTTGGAAGTTGGTACTGAAATGGTGAATTGTACAAACCAGGAGTGATAGACACATCTTGTTGGGAATTTTCTACAAAAACAATTCAATGAAATATTGAAAATGCAGGTTAACCAAATGTATCACAAACATAGTATAACTCAAAGTATCTTATCTAAATTTTAGTATGCTCCAAACCTATAAGAAATCCGTATTTTATTTAAAAAGATGTTTCAATAGCACTGAGATATTTAGTTGTGTATATCAGTATATAAATATATAGAAAAATCTCAAGCATTCATGCCTACTATAAACAGATGAACTACCTTGCCCATACAGAAAGATGTGTCTTACAAAATACACTTCATGCGATTTGTAAGTCTTCTCATCATCTCCACCTGAATCAACCTTCCATTTTACTCTGCATTCTCCAGTTAAAGTAAGTTTGATACCTTAAAAAACAATTAAAAGTTTAAAATAGCTGTTTTAATTGCATAGTATACTCCAGATTCAGAAATGATATCATGTACATTACTAAATGTTACCGGTAACAGTACCGGTATACTGGTATAACTAAATTAAGGCAGTACCGTACCGGTATGGTGCTGCAGTACAAAAACAGAGCAAGTTCAGAAGGTTTTGAGATAGGACAATACACTGATACGGCAAATAAACAATAGGCAGATACAGAGATAGGATATGCAGGTACTGAGGTATGAGAACATAGTCCAACTATTGGGATAGGACTCACATATTCACCCTGGGGGAGAGGAAAGTGATAAGATGGCTCAACCAAATGGCGAACCACGGACTTTTCGGAAACACAGAAGCATGGACTTGATGATGGAGGAAGCCGTAACCAACCAATATCATGTGGTACCATAACACCGTACCGGTACCGCATGTAGTACCAGTAGCTACAGATTTATACAGTTATACTCACTTCGAACTTGTATTTGTCGTTCCACTTAGACTTGGAAGCTTGCACGACCTTTCACTAAATCTCCAGGCTTGTATGGCTGACGCGAGTCATAAATAACTTTAACATTTTTCAACTTTACCATGTTTGTTTGAAGGCAAAAATCAGACTGTAAGAAGGGTCAATGATGAATCCATTGTTCTCAATATTTCAGAATTTACTAATGCAATTTTTCAACCTCGCTTGAAGTCAAAATCACAAGACACTGAATAAGCCAATGACTAGCGAACAAGCGTTTTGCCTGCTTTGTCCCGTGATTTTGACGTCACGGGGAATTTCATGTTGTTTTAACTGCATCTTGTTGGACTTGTTTGAAAATTTTGTGGTAAGCGTCATCACGTCATGTTTTAGTCCGAGGCGGATGTGATATTGGATGCAATAGAAATTTTTGGACTAAAACTTTGGAAAACCAGATAAACATAGAACCTCCAGTGAATATAATTTTAGAACTGTAACTGGGGCTGACAGCACATTTGAACGCAGACACTGCACCCAGGACGTTTGCACCTACATACTTTTGCACCTACTAACATTCACACCTTCGGATATTTGCACCCTGGACATTTGCACGCACAGACATTTGCACAAGCGGATATTAGCACCCACGTACATCAGCACCCATGTACATTTGTACCCACACACATTTGCACCCACGTACATTTGAACCCACGGGCACTTGCATTCATGTACATTTGCACCCACTTAGACTACATTTCCACCAATTGACATTTGCACCGACGCCCATTTGTACCTATGCACATTTGCATCCACGAACATTTGTACCCAAGACATTCTCACGCATATGCATTTGTCCAATGAACATCTTTCCCCGTGTATATTCGTACCTGCATACACTTGCACCCATGTTCACTCGCGAATGACTGTGTTTCAGACAATTTAATATTAATTTGAGTTATAAGTATAATTATCCACTGGAAATGAAGAAAGCTTACAAATTTTAAGTAGCCTTTATTCTTGGTTCGAGTCGCTGCGTTTTTAAAGTCATTGCAAGTTACAATCCTGTCCCACTTCTGTCGGTCATTTTCTTTCGACGAATAACGCAAACGTAGTCAAATTATTGTGGTGTTTGGTTAACATACGATGGACCCTGAAAATTGGGAGCTCCAGATGTATGTGTACCAAAATGGTGGTAACTAATTTTGTTCTATAACTTTACATCAAGTTGTGCGAGTAAAGAGACTGAAACCCACCAAGATGGCGCACAACCTGATATCCTAACTGGTACACATATTATGTTCAGGTTGTGCGCCATCTTGGTGCACATACTTCGGGAGCACCGAGACTCGACATGGTGAGAGTAGGATTTATACGGAGCAAGTTGTAGACCAGGGGTGGCGTGGGCAAGGTTTTTGAACCAGGGGTCAAAAATCTTGCCCACCTAGTCTGACGGGCCATGTAAGTGTGACGTGGATTTGGCCAGCGGATTGGCCGGATTTGGCCCGCGGGTCGTACATGCCCGTGTCTGTTGCAGACACTTGTCCTTACTTTGTATTACTTCGTCATAATGGTCTCTACCGATGCTGGTTGTTTTTCGCCTGTTTCGAGTGTGTACGAGATGGGTGCAAGTGTTCATGGGTACTAAAACCTGCGCGTGCAACGTATGGGTACAATTGCTCATGGGTGCAAACTTCCGTGGGTTGCAAAAGTATACAGGTGCAAATGTGCGTGGGTGCGAAGGTAATGGAACCGTAACTGGATGCCTAATGGAATACAAACTTTCGGGTTTTCAACAGAAATACAAGCCAGTGTTGAAAACGAAGAAGACCCCTGTGATACTAGTAAACCAATCATGGCATCTGTTCATCCTAAATCTATGGAAACCTTGATTATCAGTTATTGGCTCTGAAAAAGCAGCCAGCGGTACACACGTCTTCACTATGATTTTGGAAAAAAATATTTTCTCTGTGTATAGACTTATAAAATGGGATACAGCTATGGGACAAGAAAATGTCTCCTATTTGTGAACTATTTCGCAACTTCCTCACAAAGCAGACTATCATCAACAACTGTGTTTTCAGAAGAACCTAATTTTTCTGAACATATTGATGTTCGATTTCAGGGAATTCATGAGCGAAAACTTTCCTTCGCTTGCTTATCTATTATCGAAAAACGGTAATGGTGATAATACAAATTTGTTAATGATTTAAAGGAGTTTGAAAGGGAATACCGATATGAGTGAGTTATACTTTTCGATCGGCTGTGCTTTTAGCATTTAGCAGGCTTTTCCATGGGAAACGTCCCGTGGGATGGGATGGGACAGCGCACATTTGCATTTCCCACGGAACACGTGGTAAACGAAAACCGTATGATTTTCAGGGGAATGATGGTAAAACATTTTGTTAAGGACTTCTTGTCCATATATTTGAGCATAGCTCTCCTGTAAGTTATAAAGACCAAAATATATTCAGCATTAACAATATACTTCATGAAGGGGCTGATGGATACATGTATATTATTTATGAATATAAAGTTAACAAAGACCTTTCAAAATTACCATACCACAGCGCCGAGATTCTTCTGCAGCTTCTTTCCAAACAATCACTGCGATTACAACACTCGTTGAAAGAGCAAAAGTTTTCAGCCGCTATTGATTTTATTGCTTTTTTTTTTATCTGTATCAAAGATCCCAAAATAATAAAAAAAAATTATGCATGATACCGTTTTAATATCTAAATGACCGTAATGCGCGACTTAAATTTCAACAGATTGAATTAGGCCAGTTTTATTATCAAATTTTATCTCCTGCATTGTAGTATCTTTTGTTTCTAGCATTAATTCGTCACTTTGCGGGTCACCGAAAAACTCGGTGGGTCAATTTGCATAATATGCATTTCACGGTTATGTAAAATTGTGCTATTACGTCGTGGGTAAACTGTTAATTGCATAAAATACAAAATTTCACTACAGGTTAGATACACACGTTAATCACCCAAGTACATTGGATAGAAAGTTGAATTTACGAACATTTTAACAAACTCAAGCTGTAATAAAATTTTATGGCACTAGAAATCCGACGTCATAATACCAGTTTATAGTCGCTAAAGGTGGGATGGCTCATAAATACAACATAACCGATAATTGAAATTATCTTCACATATTTTGAAATAAACGGGTCTATAATAAAAAAAATATCAGAAATAGTAAGATACATAAAAATTATTAGATTCGTTGTCTCTACTTGACGCTGTTTTGACTTTATCAAAATATAAATGCATTATTACCTTAAAACTTTTCATTTAATTTGAATGAGTTTTTTAAATTATTTAAGACAAAAAAAATTATTTTATCGTTTTCAAATTTTTACCCGTTCAAACGATAAATATTTGGCTACGTAGGATGTGTACCAGGTTAGGGTTAGGCCATAATTTTGTTCCGATTTTCCTTATTTCAGTTCTATTACGAGTTCGAGGATTGTCTGTGTGAGCCAAGTGAATATACTTCCTGCTCATATGTTTCAGTCCCTTCAACTTGGTGTAAAGTAGGCGAACAAAACTAGTGCGCCAATATTTGGAAAAATAATTATTACCTTGATTAAAAAATTCAAAAAAATATCAGTTCTATGAAATTCTAAACCGCTCTTATTATGTCACAACCCCTTACAGTTTAAAAACGACTTGAAAATGATTGATAGTCACTCAGACATTTCCTTCGCCCAGTAAGATATCCAAGCATTGTTGTACGCGTCGCTTGGTTTTTGTGCGTTGTTTGTCAGTTTTCAAATGTGTTTTCAAAAATAGTTTCAAATCTATTAACCTAATTATCGGTTTGTCTTTCGGAGAGATTTGGTTTAGTTGGAATAATAGTCCCACAAACGCTACATTTGCTTTCCTCACATTTCGTTTAATCTGTCTTCTCTGTGAATTTCTTTCCGATTTGTCGATTTTATTTATTTATTTCATTACGTATTTTAAGTTACGTTTGCCTTCAAGTTTCCCAATAATTTAGTGAATATAGTCAAAATATGTCAACATCAGGGGCGTAGCCAGAAATTTTCAAAGGAAAAGAGGGGGGGGTGGAGTTGGGGGTCTGAAATTTTTTTTCGCCAAGTTAGATCGAAACATCTAGCGTGTCCAATCGAACGCTGGAATACGCGTGTTTTCAGTAGTCTTGGGGGGCTAAAAAGCATTTCACGCTACGGAAAATTGCTATTTATGATACAGAAAAATGATTTTATTTTTTTTTACATTTCAAAAAAGCCAATACACAAACAAATACATCAAACATGGACATATGATGGATAACCAGATGAAAGACGCCAACTTTTCTTTCCTTCAGGATAAATATATCATTCGCCCCAATATATATGCTCATTGTTCACCCATACATTCTATGGTTCAGTGGTGTCGTCTTGACAACCCAAGAACACTTCTCATGCCAGATTGGCCTGAGTATTGTTACGGGCTTAATCCTAAATTATTTTGATCATTTTAAAAATTGTTTTTCATTTTATGATATTTAAACAAATTTATTGTTCCAAGTTCTATTCTTTTATTTTAGTTTTGATGATTTTATATTTCTAGGCATTGTTCTAGTCAAAAATTTTCCTGGTTCAATTTTTAATGTGGTATATTTCACGTATCCTATGAACCAAGGAGACTAGAAACAAAGTGTTATTTTATAGTCACTTTGGTATGAACTGAGTTAGTCTCTCTGAAATCTAAAGCTTGTCTGGCCGCTTGTATATGCATGCCGAAGTTCCATCAAAATGGTTAGCAAACTAGTTGCAGAACGATATTCTCATGGATTAACAAAAACGCGAGGATTGTATGACATAGCAGATGCAGAAAACGAGCAATGGGAAGCAAGGAGACAACAACTGAACAGTCTTGGTGCACTTTCACTGTTCACCCAACAGGTAAGCTGATGGGGACTCCATTTTGGTGGCATATTGGTTAGTTTTGTCAGTCAATACCATTATCGCAAAGTGAAATTATTTTGTTATTCATTAGTACTGTTAAATAAAATTAAGTTTATAGAATGAGAACATTTATATATCAAATACACATACTGACATGGTCTAATCAGTGTGACAGTGTGATACACTTTAAAAACACCAAGACATGCTCAATATTTTAGTATATCAATTATAACAATAAATACAAACATGTTTCTTTAAAAGACAGTCTTGTTGCACTGTCTCTCCATATCGCCATGTGTGACGGCCACCACACTGCCACAAGTCACACATGATTTATATTATTATTGCGCCAAACATTGCATGATCATGAGATTCTGTTGTCATGCTAGACATGCTCATATTTGGGACTAACATAATATCTGGAAAAATTTTCCTTTTTAATTCATGGAAGCAATTTTTGACACAATGACTTCAGCGCCCATACATTTGAGCATTGCTCCCTTTTTATTCTTGTCTACATTTTAATTAAGTGAACAAGTAATGAATTTTTTTGTCTTGATTTTCATTTATTTTTAAAATGTTTTAATATTTAACAGGAAGATGCTGTTGAAGAAAAAACACCTAAACTACAATTTGATTCAGTAAGACCAATAACACCTATCAACGATAGTATAAAATCAGCTCCCAAAACATATCCAAGTTTTTCCAAGTTGATTTATCGCAGAATAAATCCTCGTCCAGAATGGAATCATATCTCTAAAGAGGATCAGAGCAGTCTTGTAAGTACTATTTTGAATATCACTACAATTAAATGGCTGTGCTGCTCAAATTCATTGATAAATATCAAAAGTATTAATTCAGCAAATTCATTTTCTGGATTTTATCACTCGAACAAGTATCATTCGTTCATGAAAAATGTCAATGCAATATATGTCACAAAATGCAAATGATAAATGTTTGGTCTTATATCAGGGGTATCAAAAAAACCCAATTGGACACGTAGTGGACATAGCGATCGTTTCAATATTATGTTGTTGTTGTTGTTCTTGTTCTTTGACACATTTTTAAAAAGTCGCTTTTCTCTTTGATTACTGGACCAATTGCTTTGAAATTTTCAGTGGTTGAAGATAAAAATTTTCTTCAGAAGGCTATTACTTTTTTTTTTGCTATGACGTCATCAAAATTATTGCCATTAGGTGGCGCTACGTGTCCATATATTTGAGCATAGCTCTCTTCTATTTTCTATGTAAACCTCACATAAAAATTTCGGTGTTGAAGAAATAATAAAAAATCAGCTTTCGATTGTTGTTTTCGATTGTTAGTGATCACTCAATTTCATTACAAAAAGTTTAGAGGTGGCATTTTAAATCTATGTACATTCTTTATGTATAATGGTTTTTAAGAAGCTTATTAAGCCCGTTATTGTGGATGTGCTGTGCAAATTTCCCATTTTCAGGGAGCAGTAATCATGGGTGAAGTGAATGCTATTTGGCCAGTACTTCGAAGACAAGTTTCTGATCCATTTCTAACGCATCAGCAAAATAAAGAACTACAGAGAAGAATAACCGTAAGAATAGTAGTTTGTAAATTTGATTCCCCTTATTGAAGTATTTTTAAGCTTCAAATTGAATGTGGATGCTCAATGGCACATCGTGCTAAGCATTATGATCATACTTGCCGTTGTAATGCTGATTACTCTGGCTTCAAATCCTGTGTGAAATATTCAAGTGCGAGTTTAAATGCTGTTCATGTTATCTTTGATTAGTTTGACTTTCTCCATCATCAAAGTTCATGCTGGCTGATTAACAGCACTGAGGACGAGAGGCTGTGGTTTGCCATATGAGTATTTGGCACACCTTATTTTGTTTCCCCTTCGATGGGATATTATGATACTTCTAATCGTAAAGGTTCCCAGTGTAAGGGAATTTGCCAAACAAATTTTCAGGTTTATGCTTTTGATTAAACAATATCTTGAGTTGTTATCGAACAGCAAGTAACTGAAATTTACATCAGACTTTCTTGTTTGAAAAAGTGATTTTCAACACCGGATGCAATACTGTTATAATCACAATTTATTGATAACATTTGAATAAGGTTTAAATTGATCCACTCTGTTAACCTATGATTCTATTTTAAACTATTTTTTTTATATTTTATATTTTTAACAGGTTCATTGTGTCACAGTTTGTGAGCAGTTATTTATACATTATGCTGACAAAGTGAAAATTCTCAACAGCAGAGGTGTTTTTAGCAATCCTGCAAATTTATCAAGAATTAGAGCACAACTTGCACTAGATGCCGGAAAATAGTAAGTACAAAATATGTGCGGATCCTCCATCTTCAAAATCATCAATAATGGGGGCCAGTATTACCAATATTTCTGTATGCTAGAATGTAATGTGTAATCATAGAATATGAGGTTTTTGATTCAAAGGAATAGCAATATCCAGCTCTAGTGCCTGGGACATTTTTCAAGTGTCGATGATATAAAATTTCATATTATAGTTTTCAAATATTTAAAATAGTTTAATAATTTGATAAATGAGATCCAGCTAAAATATGAAAATTTTTTCTCCTTTTGTCTAAAATTTTCCCATGTAGGCCTACCTTTCCTACCAGTTTTTTTGTGGGAAAATGACACAGAATGCAATGGATAAATCTGAATATTAATTTACCAGCTTGAATATTTTATCAATACGTCGACATATAATATCAGATCTCAAGAAACCATCAACAAAAGAAGTTATAACTTATAACAGAGATGAAGTTATAGCTCCTTCACCAGTCACACCCATGACAACAGAAGTGAGATGTTTTTGTGCTCTTTTCTTGTCGTATCAAGCATAAGAAACAGTCTAGATACCTCTGTTAAACTCTCATCAGTATTGAGGTTTGATTCCCGATGTTGAATATATACTGATTTATGTCCTCCTCTCTCAGGCTTATTAACTTCAATCAATGAAAAACTCAATCTTTTTCGCTTGTAATCTTTGTTTGATTTTGTGTAGTAAACCTCCTTGTGTTGTGAACTTTACACATGTAGCATTTATATCAGAACTGAGGCAATTTCTGGTACTTGATTTTGTAAAATTGATGTCCGAAAACATGTATCTATGCATACATATAAATGTTAAAAAACTTTTAAAATGCTATTCCATCGTTTCAAAAGAGTTTGAAAGGAAGTTCGATCGTTTTCAACTGCATTAATAAAGCTACTACCATCCACTTCCTTTATTGTTGCAGATTTCTGTAATTATTTTAAGTCTATAATGTTGTATGCAGGAAAAGAACAAACAGAAAAGTAGTCTCTACTATATCGGTACCCATACCTGACATTGTCACATAACTGAATAAGAGAATGAATTCTAATTATAAAACGTTCAATCACACATAATATATATCTGAATTTGAAACTGAGTATCTGGTTATTTTTATGTTGAATGGAATAAGGCATAAAATTTAGCTTGTTATGACATCTGTAGTTATGTATCTGGTTAAGAGTAAATAAGTTTTTGTTCATTTTAGAGTCCAAAACAGGAACTGTCGTTTCGTGATCTTGTGAAATCAAGCAGACCAAGGAGAAAAATGAAATATCAGTTCAATTTAAAAGCTGAAATTAACAGTATGCAGTCACAGATGCCAACTATTAGTCGCTCTAGGGTTAGTTTGATAGTATGTAGAAGGAACATGAAATCAAACATAGTAATGGTGATATGATCTTCATGCCTGGGTTGCTAAGTTAAATTTTTCTGCAACTAAGATTGATATACTTAACAAAGTCATTTGGATTCTATTTTTATCCATATTGGACATTTTTTGATGTCAATTGTTTTGGAATTTTTTAATTGTTGTAATGTATATTTATCTGTGCTTAATTTTTATAAACCTCAATCAGGGATGTCCAAAACGAATAGAAAATTCGAATATATATTCAAAATTTATTATATTCGATTCTAATCAATCAACTTATGCAATTGTAGTTAACTTTAGCAGAGTGAGAGTAGAAATCAATTTCAAAATTTCCTCACTGCTTTCATGCATTCCCTTTTATATCCTAGATTCATCAGCTTCAACCATTAGCGAAGCAAGAGCCCTTTATTTATGCCGATGAACAGGAGGATGAATCCAATATGGAAGATGACAGTGACATGATTGAGAGCGCCAGAAGAGAAGAAAAAGATTTAGAGGTCGATGATGACCACATTTCGGTTTCATCGTATCCAATGTTTGTTCTTTTTATTTATTCGTGATGAAAGAAACTATCTTACTTTTTTAGATCTTTTGTCATTATGGACCTGGGGATAGATGTTTTGGTCTGGGTTACATGACTGTACTTGTTCTATTATGATGTTTGGTAGTGCCTTGTGTCCAATTTTGGGGTGGGCTGTTAGAAGCAAACTAACATAAGTCTCGTTTTTAAACAAAAGTAGTTTATCTAGAAGTAATTTCGGTTACAGGCTGAAGGACATAATATATTGACTATATATCGCCTCATTAAAACAGATTTAGCTCATTTCACATTTTAAGGTTTTGAGAAAATGGCATTTTTAATGTCTGTAATTAAGGAGTGCTCTTGCATTAAAAACCTGTTTTTAATAAATTCTTGATCCGCAAAGGAATCGATAATATTTTTGTTGGGTTACTTAATATATAAAATTTCTCAATGAGGGAATTGAATTGTACCTTTAGAATTCTGGAACATAGATGTCCATCAGAACCTCTTGGTCAGCACACTCTTTTAATCGAAGAATTACGTCAAAGACAAGAAGTAAGCATCTTCACTACGAGGCATTTTATTTGTATCAAAATAGGTATAACTTGTTATTGTAACTGTTTAAATATGATATTTTAAATTTCACATTCTATATATTGGAAGACTGCAAATCCTATTTCCATGGATAGTAACAAACAGTTAATTGTTTCACTGTGAGATTTTAACAGCCAGGTGGTTGACGCTTTGTGCTAAGCTTAGGAATATGTTTGCCATCGATCATGGTTTGTATGTATCCCATTGTGGATGTTTATGTCAAGAGAATTGCTGGATTCCTTGTCTCAACTGCTGGCTGGTTACAACATCTGGAACAAATACCTGGCTAACTAATCCCATACTCGACATGAACTAATAACTGGACAAAGGCTATGGTACACCACAAGCTTGAGCCATCTTTTCTTTCCCTTGGATAAATATGAAAAATATCAATAGTCATTGAAAATATATCAATTTTTTTCTTGCGCTTAAGGAAGAGGATGAAATCATCATGAAAAGTCCTTCTACCATACTTCCTAGTAGGCAGAGAATACATTCAGTAACACCTATTGTACCACTGGAACATCAGCAAAAGTGCAGGACCTCACTCGGACTTGAAAGAGGTTTGAACTATGTGGATACAACAATTATTATTTCGTTTTTAACCTGGCTGTTATGATTGTACTATTTCAGTATTTTTCATGTGTGAAATTTTATCTTGTAGCAGGTTATTTAGTTGTCAAGTACTGAACATAATTCAATCAATACTTAGCAAATAGGAATTTTTCTCAAAAGCAAGGCCGCCAAGCATTTTTTGCAGCCCCCTGCTGGAAAAAGACTGCATACAAAATTTAGATTTGTTTTTCAACTTCATATAAACTATTATCTAATCTAAAATTTGATGACCAACATCAAATACATCAGTCGCATTGACATTTTTTCATGAACATTAACTAGGAATCAGTTACTTGGTTTGGCAAATAGATTTGTGTCAGTTGATGTTTTTACATTGCCTACCGTAAGTCTTTATTTTGGGATATTTTACATATTAAATTTTAGTCAAAGCTACATGATACAGTTTTTAGAAAAAATTAATTACTTTATTCAATATGGCCCCTCGCAAAAAAGGGAATGTGACCCTTGCGAAAAGCAAGTACTACTCACCAAAATGATGTAATATATTATTAGTATTACATGATGACTCCAGAGATGTTGATTCACTGGATCCAAAGGAGGATCTCAGGTTGCTCATGGAACGACAAGAAAGAGAGCGTAAGAAAGAAAGAGAAAGTCAAGAAAAAACGCTAACTGACCCATCAACTCATATTCCACCATTAATTCAAGCATTAACAAGGTGACATCTTCGATTGATGATGAATTTGTTCACGTTCACACGGGAATTATTCATATTCATATATAGCGTATCATAATGGTTATTATTGATTGGCAGTTGGCACATCGTGCTAAGTATTAGGTGGTTCGCATAACTGCTGGTTGGTTATGGTGTTCTACATCATTAAATCCATGCATTTGAAACAAATAACTAACTATTCCCATACCTGACATGGACCAGTGAGCTGATGGCTTAATCATGTGGAGTACTGCGGCCTCTTGTCTAGTTACCAGCCCATGTTGAATATAGAATTACTTATCCAATTATTTGTTTCAGATGCATGTCACGCATATGATATGCCCACATGGATGCATGACAATTAGAAAATTGTCAAATAAAACATCACTATAAACTGCGCAGTAAAGTTCTGAAACATATATTTAAAAATTCATCACACTGCAGCATAATTTGAATGACCAAATATGATACTATTGCTTTCTTTGGCAGACGAGAGGCCCAAGATGAAAAAGTTCGAAAGTTAAAGATCAAAGAGAGAGAGTTAGATATGAAATACAAAGAGGAATTGGAAGAAAAAATGAAGCCACTGCCTGAACCTCAGTATCCTCAACCAGCTGTTGTACAAACTAAGCTGGTGAGATTACCAATTTGTAGTTTTCAATTTGTAGTAACATATTTCTAGATAGAAACATTAACAGTCAATGACACTTGTATATCATTTTATAGCAGACTGCCTGCACACTTTATTACATAGTTGACATCATAGTTGGCGAGTTTGACATAACTATGAATGCTATTCATTGAATCCACTGGACATTATTCACACAATATTGTAGATTGGATTCGCTTTTTTATATATTGTTGTATCTGATACTTTTATTTTGCAATCTCTTGGTTGGCCACATCGCTCGCATCCTTCATGTGACTTGATGTATTTATTTGAATATGTTTGTCATCATACCACCGAATTGTTCCTGGGATGATAGTTGCCAAAGGATTGTTGGTTATTTATAGACATATCAATGTGCCTGAAATGGCAAAGTACTTTGAAGTGTGACTTGACAGGGTTATTGTAAATTGTGTCATTTGCTAATTGCCTCAATTAGGATTCACATTAATTAAGGCATCTTTTTTCTTTCTTTAGATAACTAGAATTAGAATAAAGTTTTTTAAACTCAGATTTTGAGTACAGTACACAAATATTCCATATCAGATATCCATTTTTAAATTTGGAAGTTATAACTCCAGATGTCATAACATTACTGTATACTTTTTTTTTTAGCCTGGTGTTAGTAATCCGGTTGACAGAACTGCAATCACAATCCGAGCATCTGATGTAAAATTAAATGATCATGTTGAATTATCAACTGTAACTCTTGGATCTTATCAACCAGTTTACAATGATCTTAAAGGTAGAATAGAATTTTTATAATTATCCTGGAGAGAAGGGAGGGCGGTGTTCGATATGGTGGCTTAATGATATGGCATACTACAACCTTTTATCCAGTTACCAGTCCATGTCAGGTATGGGAATAGTTAGCCAGTTCTTTTTTTCAGGTGCATAGACTTAATGGTGGAGGAAGCCCTAATCAATCCACCCTATGGCAGTGAGAAGTCATCAATCCACTTGCACATATTATCCTCCACAGGATTTGAACCTGAGTACCCACGCAAGGTAAGCAAGCGTATTTCAGTATTTCTAGCGCTTATCACAATGCAACAACCGCCAAGCCATACCGGCGTGATATGCATTTTTATTTTTAATTTAATGAGCTATGAAAAAAATTAAAAGCTTGTATAAAGTATAAAAGCTTAACATTCAGCATTTGCAGATCACAGAACTTGATATAAATGTACATTCAACATGAGTTTTTACTGATTAGAAGCAGCACTCTTTCACTTCACTGTATTTCATCAGTCAGATATGATTGAGTTTAATATTTTGTTTTCAATTTGATTAATATATTGTATTGTATATTTTTGCAGGTGATATATCTCAAGCCACTGTTAAAGAACTTGATGCAAATTTATTCCAAGGCGGGGAATTAAAAGAAGTTTATTCAGAAATAATGAAAACCGTTCCTAACATTCATCAACATTATGATAATGATCCTCTAGTTAGTGTTAATTTCAATACGTTTTTATGATTAACAATGACAGAAGTTTTTTGAGTGACACTCGAGTATTATTGCACATAAAGTCAGTCTATTCATCCTTTTGTTGTCTATATTTTTTTCATGACTGATGGACCAATTTCCCAAGTTTCAGTACCTTAGACGAAAGAAATCAATAGAAGGCTTTCAGTTTCATTTCTTTTCAAATTCCTGTTATGGACCTAATATTTCATACAAAATTTTGCTGTTTATTTCAATTAAATGGGTAAACTTTTTTTATGTGAATTGACTGCCTCTGTCCCCCTCTTTTCAGCAAACCCTGTGGTCTAAGCCAGGGGTCACCAAACTTTTTTGACCGCGGGCCGGGTATGACTCAAATTGTGTTGAAACGGGCCGGATGAATATTTTTGTTAATGCAATACAATAAATTCACAAATGTTGGGAATATCGCAGAATATAGATCGAGAACATCATAGGAAAAAAAATTAACAAGATTTCTATATCTAGACAACTATCCTGAGTTTAGCTGTTATCAAAACGTTGCTGTCATGAATTAGAAATGTTACAAAATCCGCGGCAAAAAATGAACGCATCACGTCTGCTAAGTACCGTTACGCCGTGTTGAAATACCGCTCATAAAAACGACTGCCTGCTGTAGCTTGGATTTCTATGAAATTTTGACATAATTTAGAAAAAATAAACAACTATTATCTGGTATTTGAATTTTTTCATTAGCGCATAAATTTCCCAACATTCGACGCTTTTAAAAATTACGCTCCGGTTATACGTAGTGCAAATTAATGATATTGTCTATGGACACCAATAAAATTTATATGGACGTGTGTATTTCTTGTCTAACTTGATACTTACCAATTTTTATGAAGTTCGTACAATCAGAACATCGTTAATTATTACCCACAATGAACCACTGTCAAACTATCATGCACAACTCCAGCGTTTATTTGCGACGATCTTTCGGCGGTGTCAATGACCGATGCCAGAATAAAATCTTGAAATAGTCTCAATATACCATAGATGTGACGCACATCGAAAGATTAGTGATTGATATGTGTTATTTTTCCATATTTAGTTCAGTTCTTATCAAAAAAGTAATACAATCATTATGGAAAAAATTGGCTGTCGGGCGGTACTAAAATTCCGATATCTCCGTTATTTCTTGACCGTTTATTCCAAACTTGGTATTGTTTTCTATTTTTACTCAGATCTTCCTACTGAAGCAGTTTTTATTTAAATCGGATGAACTTTTTTTGTAACATACCTACATGAATATCCGCATTAAAGCACTACAAAAGTTAGTGTGGCTTTTGAAATTGGAGCAGTACGCGAGGGATTACAGTACTGTTAGCACAAAATGCACATTCGACGTTTATTTTAGCACGAAAAACAAACAGTTTCGACGAAAGCAAGCGCCACGAGTGCACAAGTGTATCGCAGAAAACGTTACGTACTGGTAGCATTCAAAGTCGCAAAAACGAAGTTTTGTTTACAACCACGACTGAAAATCTGTCAGGATGACAAAAGTGTCTAAGCGGAAAGACCTATTATTACGTCACTTTTCTGCATCTTGCCGATTGGCCAATGTTACGAAATAAACAAGGACGACGATGCTCGTGAAAATCTTCCTTGGAAAAAAATTTAGCCATTTTTGCGTGTTATTGCGGAGCGGATAAAATGACGCCGCGGGCCGGATAAAATGACGTCGCGGGCCGGATCCGGCCCGCGGGCCGTAGTTTGGTGACCCTTGGTCTAAGCTCTTGATACTGATACTGATGCGCAACCTCCATATTCAAATATCTGGACATTGCTCCCTGGGGTTAAAGCTAGCTTTATTGCATGTATACAAATACCGAAAAACACTCAATGTCTCATATTAAGTTTAATGTTCTCTGATATTTGCAAAGGTAATGAATGCCCATTTTTGTTCTCTAGTATAATCATATAATTTTTTTGTGAATTTAGATTGTTACACCTGGAACAAATGTTGATCTCAGTCAAATTTTGGCATCAAGTACATTAGTAAGACCAAGTTCACAACAAGTAATTAATCCTAAACTCAGAAGATATGAATTTGATATGCCTTGGCAAGGACAGGTATGAAATATAGCACTTCAAAACTTGTGTAAAGTTTGACATGGGTTTATTTCACATACAACTAAACATTCTTTAACACTGAATCCAAATTTTGCCAACTTGATTTTATCATTTTCAGTTAAAATCTCTAAATAATTTGATAACTCTAATAGAGCTAATATATTACACTAGGAAAAATTTTGGTACTCCCGTAGTGTGTGTACCAGGTTAGGGTTAGGCCATAATTTTATTCAGATTTCCCTTATTTTATTCTATTACAAGTTCGGGGACTATCTGTGTTAGCTGAGTGAAAATCCCCCCTGCCCATAGGCTTCTGTCCCTTCACACAACCTGATGGAAAGTAGGCGAACAAAATTAGTTACCTCCATATTGGTACACACACTTATGGAGCGCCAAATTTTCAACTTTATGCTAGTATGACATCATGTTGTTGTTATCAAATATAATCTACTTATAAATAAAATTTCAAACCTACAGCAAATGATGTGGATGAAATCGACCACCCACCCACAGTCTGGTTATCCAGAAAGCGATGCAAGTTCCATGACACAAGCACATGGAGAAGGTGTGATGCCTTTTCATAGATTTACTCCAAGTCAACTCAACCACCCAGGGGTGGAAAGGGATCTAGAGCATATGCTTCTTGGCTTCAGTGGTGGAAAAACACAATAAACACTGATGACTTCTTCAAGTATTTATCAACTCAGGTTTGTTTTAAAAAATTTTTTCAACCTACTCTTTTAAATGATGGGATAGTATTTACATAATCATCCCTGGGGAGAGGAAAGTCAATAAGACGGCTCAATCATATGGGGAACCACGGCCTTTCGTCTGGTTACCAGTCCATGTCGGGTATGGAATTAGTTAGCCAGTAATTTGTTTTCGGAAGCATGAACTTGATGGTGGACGAAGCCGTAAATGAACAGCGGTTACGTAAACCACCTTACGGCTGTGAGGAGTCCAGCGATCTTCTCACCCATAACCATCCCGCATGAGATTCGAACCTGCGAACCCACGCAGGGTAATCAAAGGTGTGGTGGCGAGCGTATCCCTAACGTTTAGTATGATGCGCCACACCGCCAAGCCGCTATCAGGTGGTTTGAAATTTTTCATTCTTTTTTAACTTCTTACCTTCTACATTTTCGAGATTGATAGATTTTATTTTGTTGCAATCAAGTATTATTAGGAAGCAAAATTAGATTCCATTCATACATTCGATTAGTTGTGAATGCATCCCTCATATGATATAACATCTGTTTCTTTCTATCCTAGGACACAGATTTCCTCAGTGTGCTTTTCCATTTTTATGATAGTGATGCAGCAGATTCGGAAACTGAATCTATGAGAACTGCCAAGATGGATGCCCAGAAGTCAGTAAACTTTATTCATTGTTTCCAAACAATGAAGCTACCTAATTATATCATAACATTCGTACAATCAAACCATTTTGATTGAAGATAAGACTATGTAGGAATGGCTGCAGAAATGCACATATGAAGAATATATGAGTGTTTTATTATTCAGCTTTGTAATTTTTTTTTCATTCTGTAAATCTGAATTGATCTAGTTATCAGTAAAATCCTGATACAATATTCCTACGGTATGCAATGTGAGATCAAAATACTTGAAGATCTCTTATTCTAATGCATTTCATTCAAACTGAATCTCTCAATTGTTTCATGACCTAGAACAAGTTGCCCAGTTCTTTTTATCCTAGTCTATTTTTAAAATTTTAGAGAGAGAGATAAAAAACTAACTGCTCTGAAGAAAGAGAAAGAGGAATTTGTAGCTGGACTGTGGAATGTAAAAGCTGTAACATTAGGAGGATTGGGAAAAGATCCAGAAATGGAAGGTTTGGAAATAGATAGATCCAACTAATATTACCATATAGCTCTTACTTGAGTTAAATCTGAATCTTTTTTTTTTGTATTCAAATATCCTGTATTGAAAATTTGAATCATTCTGCTTCTGAAAATTATCATACCTCAAATTTTGAGAAATATCATGATAATGCTAAAAATTAGAATGGCATTGATAAATTTAATGATGAATGTATTTTAAACATTGTATCCCAAATTGATATTGCTTGATCAGCATTGAACTTCGACCGAGACGAATGATCAAACAGATTCAAAATCGGGCAAAAAATAGCTTCCAGCTAGATTGTGAGTTTTATAAATGATATTAGAATTTCAGAAGGTGTTTACATTTTATCCTATTTTCACAGAAGAAGAGTTTTCAGATTTTGGGACTCCTAGACTTTCTGACAGAAGTCAGTCAATTTCACAACTAGGGTCAAGAAGTATGAGAGATTCAGGAACCCCAAGATCAACAAGGTCAAGGTGTGTTTATGTATCATTGTTGTTAAGTCACTCAGTTCCAGACTATTTACATGTTTCGCATTTTCAGAAGATTAAGTGGAATTTGAAATTTAAATTACAACTAAATTATAATCTACATAACTCAATTTAACCAGATTAAATACTTTGGATTGAAATATTTTCTTGATTCTGAAAAATATTCAAAATAAACAAAACACTTTAGAGTGACAATGTGGCAAGATAGGATGATAAACATGAACAAGACTAACTACATTTGAGATACTTGATTTCAATTTAATTTCTCTAATAATTTTGTTTTAATGATCATGAATGCACATTAATGCTTAGGCTATTCTTTTACACAATTTTCATTGGCCAACGCCTTGGACCTTACTGTCCACAAATGGTTATCTAGGCCTCGATGTAATGCATAAAACACAACATGTCAGGAACTTCATTGTGTTTTTAGCGTGGTAAAGATCATTTATATATGTGAAATTTTCCCAACAGAAAGGGCTTCTTCAAAAAAGAGTCATAAATGGGATTGGAAAAATATTTCATATCCTGTATTTCAGGCCTTTTTTTTATCCACGTTTTTAGCTTGATTAATATATGATATATAAGGCAGGGCTACTCAACTGGCGGACCGCGGTCCGAATCCGGATTTTCCGGGTATTCGTTTCAGACCACGCCTTATTCTTTATTTTGGATCATTAGCCCCACTTTTTAAGTTTCCTTTCCCTAAAATAACTTTTATGGATTTAAATATATATGAAAAGAACTATAACGCCATAATAAACAATCCTGATTAGCTAATAATCATTAGTCGGCCGAGGAAGTGCATGTTTAAGGATGCCAAAATCTGGAAAGACCGGACCCAAATTTTTTTGAATTTTTGTATGCGGATCTTCAGTAAAAATAATTGAGTAGCCCTGATATAAGGTACTCCAAATTTCCAAAGCAACCACTACAGTGTATCTAATGAATTCTAGTAATATTGCTTCCATTGCAACTGCAGAATTTTCTAATTAATCTATTGCATTGGTAACTCATATTTATTATATAGAAGACAATGACTATTGTTGGCGCATTTCATAATAAAACCTCATCAAATATTTCCTTTCGAAATTGCGAAGCCACAGTTTCTACAACCCATTCCCTCTATTTAGCTCAGAAGAGGTTTCAAGAAAAGGATGTAGCATTATGGGGTTATATCAGAATAGATAAATAAATTTTACTGTAATTTTTAATGCAATATGCAAATATGAATAAGAATACCATTTTAGCAACAAGATAGTTGTGTATTGCTATTATTGGAATCAAGAGGAGTAATGGTTGTTTGACAGTATTTTCCAAAGAGCACAAAAAGTTCTGAAACATTGTTTTTGAAACATTTTATATCTGCCTTCCGAAAGAGCGAGAACAAGAGATGAGAAGTTAATTTCCAAAGTAATGTTTGCCAATCAACTTAAGAATGAATATTCAAGAAAGACTGCATTTCCACAACACACTAATTCTAATGCATTACAAGCATCAAGTAGTAGCAGCTTCGGAGAAACATTATCAACAGAATCTGCCAGTTTTGGATTTCCACGAAAGTTTGGCATTGGTAGCGATCAAGCGTCATCTGATTCAAATTTCCATTATTCCACATCGAATTCATCCGTTTCCTGCGGCACATTAGAAACTGCAGAATCCCTGTACACTACACTAAAAGAGCTTCATGATGGATCTGATCTGACGGACTCTGATTCAACTTTGGTACCTTCTACAGGAGTCAGAAAAACAAAGAAAAAACATCAGATGCCTCCTGCTAGGAGTGCAATGTTTGAAAACTTGCTTAAAATATTACCTATTCAGCTTCATGATAAGTTTGCTGCTTATGGCTCGGGAAATATCAAATTTTCAGATATGAGCTTGGGTAATGAAACTGATACAACAGAAACTACAATAGACTGTGTCTCTGAAAGCATCAGTTCTTCTTCAAATGACTTAGTCGATAAATGTGATGAATTGCAGCAATGTGAATATGACAAAGAGATAGATAATGATAAAATTATTGGAGATAGCTCAGGTTTGCCTCAAAGCGGTACTTCTACAACAGGAGAGGAATCCACTTCTGGATATTTTTCTACTAGTGGAGGACATATGAATAATATAGTTGAGGAATTGATTGAGGAACAACTTGAGACAGAGGGTATGTTGGAGTTTTGTTAGAAAGAACTATGACCATTCAATATGTTTGTAATTTGTTAAATAATGATTATATCTTTTTAAACAGTCCTATCAGCTTCTAAAAGTTTGGCCAGCACTGATATTTCATAAAATGTGTCAAATGTTTGCGAATGCACAACTACTATTAGAAATTTCAGGGTTAGAAAAATACCCACATTCAATGGGAAAATTCTTGTTATCATAAATATAAAAGGAATTCAAGATATGATTTATCTAAAAGCATTTTAATATTTTGTCATTTAATATTATGAAATTTAAAAATTGATCCTAGCACTGTCAATATTGGATCAAATTTGTTGTTCATAAAAAATTTATAATATTTTACTAAACAGAAGATATCATGAGCAAGGAAAGTTGTAGTGAGGATGACATAAAAGATAATGAAAATCAGAAAAAATGGGAAATACATGACATGGGTTATGAAACACACACAGGTCTGGTATATTTTAAAAGTGTGGATGATAATTCAGATATTATTATACTAAACTATGTAGCATATGTTTAATAGGTTGCTGTACTAGTGTGAACAGCTAATATATGAGGTATAAAGGAGGAAGTTTAGTTTGATCCCAGTGCAGAAGAGTTATTATTTCAGATTTAGATATTGAGTGTTATATAGATTTTCATTCAGTACTGTTGTGATGTATAGGCTGGAAATTCCTTTTTAGCAATAAAAATGTGCATTCTCTTCAGTGTTTATATTTTTATTCAACCTTTTACTGCATACAAACAAATATTCACGATATGAAATGCATTTGCATGTGATATTCCAGAAGAAGGCTATAAAAGAAAGAAAACATTGAATAGAAGTTTATTAAGAACAGAAAAACCAGTCACAACTACAGAATTTCTCACTCGATTAAATGCCTATTCACATATGACAAAGCTGATTGCAGAAAATTGCCAGAACAGGTAGATTTTATTTGAGTTTGAGCGTAATTCTTCTGAGAAAATTGTTTAAAAAATTTAGTTTGTGTAATACGGAGCTGGAATCATTGTTTATATGATGGTTGCATTGAACTGTTGTAAAGGTGTTATTATTTTATTATTGTATGTGTACAGTTTGTATCTATCATCTAAGCAGCGTTTTCAAGGATCAATCAAGCTGACACATTTTCATTTATTTCTTTTTAAGCTAAACTTTGAAAGAAGTAAGGATGTGATTCTAGGGAATAATGCTTTTGCTTTTACATCTCCAGGTCTGAATCAATGCACAAGGGAACAACAGTATCATCTAAAAGTCATGCAGATTCTAGAGAAGTAAGTCATAAAATAATTAATTTATACTCCTTCATAAATACATTAAGAATTTTTTTTCATTGCTGCAAAATCTGATCGACAATGTCATAAGATTAATATCACATATAAAAACATGCCAATGAATGGAGTGTCCTAATATTTTAACATGATTAAATGGAGTCTTGCTCTGTCTTTACCAGCCAATATGGCATTTTTAATACACTGCATTTCTGAAATAATCTGTTCTGCAGGATGACTTCGTTAACTGGTTGTTGAAATATTATATCAACTTTGAGGTCATTTACACCAGGATAACATTATCAACTGCAACTACTTGATTTATTCTCAGGTATCCACACCCAGCCTTACAATACAAGAAAGACTGGAAATAGTCTGGCAAAAGTTAAAAATGCCTGACTCCCAAAAACTGAATTTTGCTTTGAAATACAGCTCTGATAAATACATAAAAAAGCTTCCAGAAGTAAGTTGCCCATTTTATCGAGTTCTCTTTATATATATACTTGAATACTAATTTGTTACAGCTATAAATATATAATGTGGTATTACAGACTAATTTTGTTATACTTTTGCATTGTTAACGCTCAACAGTAATATAAACTGTACAACCGAAGATGTAATCTTTGTCGTTATTTATACAGATTGTGAGGTCATGGGAGCGGGTCACTGATTTTATTCTTCAACGAGAAAAACTGATGACCAATCTTGAAGTTTTTGAGAAAGAAGCCTCCGATCCAAACAGATTTTTTGAAAGAGGTAGCTTTATTTAATGCTGTCATTTGATAGAAAACCACTTAAGTAAACAAATTTCATTTTGTTACTTTTATCTGCAGAAGCAGTAGTGAATTGCACATCGAGTTGAATTTTTGTTGTTGCTACTGGGAGTTGAATTATCAATTTGAACTCTTCTAAAGTTTGAAATTGTTTAACTAGGATTTGATGCAGGGTTTGCCAAATTTTTCATGTACTTCATGAATTATTAATTGTATTGACAGAAGTTTTAGAAAACTGTGAACTCCTATCTAAGATGCAGCACAATATTCCTCACCCATTCAGTGTTGATGTTTCTTGTTATCGATGCATTTCTAATGTGAATTTTTTCATCTGCTTTTATTATTTGACCCAATCACACATTAGTTTCCAAAATGCTGATTTTATTTTATACTTTTATAGTAGTGAAGCAGTCATCCAAATTAATTATGTTGTGTTATGGTATTGATGAGACCCTGCACTGACCATGACATTTTGACCATAACATTTTGACAGGTCATCGTGGTTCATCAGCAATGAGACTTGATGAAGCTAAAATGCGAGCAAATTTGCACAGAAAATTAGAAGCAGTTGGATCCACTATCAAGTCTTGCCTGATTTCACTGAAAAGTAGATTTTCTGACACTGTGACATACAATGGTCGGCCATACCTAGAAAAGATGGGATGGGATAAGTATGTAGTGACAATTGTGCATTGTAGATGAATAGTTTGTGATCAGTTTAATAACTTTGTTATACAAGGTTTATCATTCATACTTCAACAAATACAATGTGTATCCAAATATATTACTCTTCATGTGTCTCTAACATATGCATAGGTTCATGTATATATATATATATCAATTTTCCCATTATATCATGAAATAGAGTTTTCATGGTGGACACATGAAATACAATTAATGCTAACAAAGATGTGGTACTTTTTCTCCAGTTTACTAAATCATTACCATAAATTACAAAGCCCTGTACGACGAGATGCATGACTTGTAAGTCAGATAATGTAAGCACACTTTATGATGTATGCTGATTATGTCAAAATAAAATAAATTCCTGAGTCATGACATGGTTAAGATTTTTACATTAGAATACTTTTATTGCTACAGAATAGAAATGTTATATTTCTTGCAACAAGAAAGAAGATGCACAATGTTGAAAGACCACGGACATCCAGAGCAACTCGATTTATTCCTCCATGTAAATCAACAGACAACTCCCAATATATTACCACCATCTGGTCGGAGATATATCAAGCTACCGTTGAAAAGTGTTAAATTAACCGGCCCTTAGTGTTCGATATAATAGTGCATCCAATACCATGATTTTAAAATATATATTTTAATAAAAACCATATGTGTAATGTAGTTGTGTTATAAATGTGCTTTATAGTCAAAATCTTGATGAATCCATCCTAAACAACTTCATATTGATTATTTGCTTTCATGCAAAAAGGTGATGAGTAAGTTAGATAAGTCAAAACCACGGCCACCCACTCAAAGAGCCTTTGCAGCTGATATCATGGGTCCACTCCGAAGTCATAGATTTTATCAACAGAGAAGGAAGTTTTATTTATTCAACATACAAGACAAGTATACTTTCTAGGCCAGAAGCAATCCAGGGTAAAAAATAGGCAGGCAAATTCCAAATAGGTTTTCAAAATGTTTGTGATATCTATGTTTTTGTGTGGTAGTTTTGAAATCTGGACAGGAATTTAAATCTTGGTGGTGAGCAGAAAACTGATTTAATCGATCATCCCTCATGTGAACTAGCTCACATGATCTAGTCCCCCACATAGATATCCTCTGTCGGACTCCAATGTGTGCAACTGGAGGTGCGCGAACAAGCTTCTCCTATCTAATAGGGACTTATCCTTTTATCGATTATCTCCCAACAAGTTTGCACCCCTTTGTTTTTGTACTGCCTATAACGTTTTGAATAATGATATTGGATGTTGACATAGAAACCTGCCTAACATATTGAATTCACTGGATTTTTTACCAAAAGTATGGGTGACTTATTAAAATAAAGAAATGAAACAAGTATTATATTGCACATATCTTGTGCAACTATTTTATTATAATGGGCTGATATATTTTATTTCATCCCTTTTACTGGTACTGTGCCAGGGGCCATCTTTTGTCCTGGGTTTCAAATATATAACTGTTTAATTGGCAATCCCGTATTATGTGTACCAGGTTAGGCCATAATTTTTTTTCCCGATTTTCCTTATTTTAGTTCTATTACGAATTCAGGAACTGTCTGTATTAGCCAAGTCAATACCCCCCTGCCCACAGTCCCATTACAAAACTTGATGTAAAATAGGCCAACAAAATTATTTACCTCCACACTGGTACACATACTTCTGGAACGCCGTTTAATTTTGGTTACAGCTAGTATGGCCTTGTGACTTTGTTGGGTTTGGCTTTTAGAACCAAACCTGCTTATACCCAGTTATTATGGGCATCCAAATATGTTAGTAATCTAACAATATGTCAAATGATTCTTCTGGTTATTTTTATGACAAAACAAAACCTGATCTAGAGCTAGTTCATGCTATCAATATCAACTATGCTGATACAGGCTGGAGGTTACAAGATAGTCAACTACATGTAGCCATAGTAAAACAGAACTCATATCACAATTTGATCTTTTCATCATGAACTGGTTTAATTTCATAGCTCGGCGTGTAATGGGTGGAATATTGCATCATCGGACAATCACGTACGGAAGTCTAGACTAGATACCTTATTAAAATATTTTGAAACCAAAGTATCCAGTGTCCAAAATGGAGGTGAAAATATATACCTGAGCTTGCTTCAAAAATCCTCTTAAGACAATTTTGATATTGGGATTAGAGCGATTATTAATACAAGACTGCTTGGGTTCATTGCGATTCGGCAACAAGGCCTTCTGCCTTGTTGACATCCCAAAAAGTAACATTCAAACGATCAAGGCCTTCTGCCTTGTTGACATCCCAAAAAGTAACATTCAAACGATCAAGGCCTTCTGCCTTGTTGACATCCCAAAAAGTAACATTCAAACGATCCTAAAGCGACATTGCCGAAAGGCACAACATTGCGCCGAACTTGCATAGCAGTCTGCCAACTGTACAGTCAACTGTTCACTACATCCCTTCAAATTTCGATACATGTAGGAAGTCGTCCTAATTTGTCGCCTATACCAAACGACATGTAGGAAGTCAAACACCAAACCAATCGGTGGTCATAATTATATTTTAATAGCAAAACTGCACAAAACTGAATTAACTGGAATAGCACTATGCTTCAAATGTGATTCATCAATTTGGAAAAAGTACCTTTGGGCAACAGAAATATTGAACTGATAGATCCATGGAACAACCTTTCAATGACCATTTTTATGTCAAAAAAGTTAGTTCATGCTTCTTTATAGAAGGAAGTGTGAAAACTACCCCCCTACTTTGATCCTTCTTTAGCAACAGCAAATGGCTCCTTGACTTCTTCATGACTAGCATCAACAATCTCACAATCGTCTACGGGTCGATCTCTGCTATCAGTTTTTACACGCTCAATTGCCTTGACAACATCCTGAGGTGTGAAAAAAACATGTAGGATTGTTTGAAACACAAATCTAACTAAAAACTGAAGCATAGAGCTCTGAATAGATTTATCCTTGCCATTCATAAATGAAGCCAGAAAATTTATCAGTCATTTAATGCTTGTTTCTAGGGATGGGCAATGTAGAATAATTTACTATTCTAGAATAGATAAATCGAATCCAGAATACCGAATCCTATTCTATTTTCATACTTATTCAAATAGTGGGAATTTCCACATTGCTGGATTTAGATGTTAAAAAATTGCAAATGTATTACTTACTATAAAGGTATTATTTATTTGGAAATGTCCTGAACATTGGATTTCATTTGATACTAAACAGGCAGTTCCCAGGACAATAAAATTTAGGAATATTACAATATTTTTTGCCCTCAATTGTTCCAAATGTATGTAATCCCTAAATACTAAAAAATACTGATATGTTAAACTAAGACACGCTTTACACACTTTAATAGTAAGCGGTTAAATAAAAAATAGACATGAAACGACGTTAAATCATTATTGATGTAAGTCTGTCGAGTGTACTAAAACATACCCGCTGAGAATTAATTAGATGCAGAACCAGCGTGTGGCCACTGCAACCTATGCGCCGTTGTAAAATATTAAATTTAACCACTATCAATAAAAATCAACTTTTTATTCTGTGCGAGCAAGACACGTAAAACCAAGTTAGGTAATAACATCTAAAGACGAACTCATTTTCTATGATTATCGTTACATATCATTATCTACCCAGACTTGGCCCTACTAAATTTCAATACGTCACTATCTTCGCCAGATGCGGCAACTTTTTACAAAATTCATCGCCGTCTAAAATACTACAGACTTTCGATCAAACGTGCGTCTATCTTGAACGATAGAAATGTTATCATTAATCATTATCTACCCAGACTTAGCCCTACTCAAATTCAATACGTCACTATCTTCGCCAGATGTGGCAACTTTTTTCAAAATTTATCGGCGACTAAAATACTACAGACACTCGATCAAACGTGCGTCTATCTTGAACGATAGAAACGGACCGAAAAATATGTAATCTTTTGAGAGTGAAATTTAAATGTGACAAATGTTCACGTTTTGCGATATAACTTTGTATTTCGGAAAATGGTATAATAAAATTATTAGTAAATAATATTTGATCGCAAGTAATGTTATAACACTTTTTTGGAAAACTCGTAGGTCGCGAAAAATAATTTAATTTAAAATGAAGCAAGGCACGTCTGTAAACAAATAAAGATTGTTGCATTCAGATTATCGGAATATCACCAGTGAGTCGGCACAAATAACGCTAGCTAGATAGCAAAGAAGGAAAACGCAAAAATGGTGCAATAACGAGTCTTCGCCGTGAGGTTATATTGCCGACTTCTTGTCCTGAATATGCCGATTGAAATTACAGTGTTTGATGTTTACGATTTACGGGTTCTTTGCGAGCAGACGCAAGTTTATTTTAACGAGAGAGATTTCCACGCGAGAAAAACGCTCGTCTATAATTGATAAAGTAGAAACCCGAAATACAAAAATTGACGCATGGCGCCGGAAAGGATCCCGTTGTCGGATCATCCGATCTTGTTATCGGATCCTGTATTCGGTATTCTATATTGCCCATCCCTACTTGTTTCAAAGATCCAACATAAAACAACATCGCCACATTTAACATAGGGTACAGGGAAATTAGGTTGGACTTTACCATGAAATCAATGCAAGCCCACCGAAGGGCACAAGAAGTAATTTGGTGTGATAAATTAGTAGCAGTAATGGTTTGTACTTTGTAACCTTTAGGCTACATAGTGGTCAGTGGTTGCCTATTGTTAGCTCCAAGCAATAACTCTATAAAACCATTTTTAACACTGAAACTAACATACATACCATTCCAGAAATAACTTTACCAAAGACAACATGCTTTCCATCAAGCCAGGACGTTTTCGCTGTAGTGAGGAAGAACTGAGACCCGTTTGTATCACGTCCTGAAAACCAAAAAAAGAGGATTCACTCTTGTGAAAACGTAATTTCAAGCTTTAAATGAAAAATGTGAATTGTATGAACAACCCAATACTATGAGGTTATGACAATAATAATTTTTGTTTAAAACAGATAATATCTAGTATCTACAGAAAATAAGGTATTGAAATTTGACTGCGATGACTTCACATATCGTCAAGAAAAAATATCCCCAAATCAGCTGACATTCCCTGCATTGAAAAAGAATGTTTCCAAGGTACATGTATTGTACTGTACATGTTAGTAAATGTCCAGAAAGTACAAAGACCAAATCCAAAAATATATAAAACGCATTTAAAAGAATATAGAATCTACCTGCATTAGCCATGCTCAACCATCCAGGTCCATAATGTTTCAATTTGAAGTTTTCATCCTCAAACTTATCTCCATAAATACTTTTACCTTTAAAATAGAGAACTTGCTATGTACCAAAACAATCAATATCAAATTTAGCAAATAAAAAATCACACATGATATCCTGGTATTGCAGATATAAACTTATTATTTGTTAAAGGCAAGCTTGGGTGGTCAATGTAACAGAATATGAAACATCAAAAAGTGAAACAATAGTAATTATTGATGACCATCCCACACACAAAATTGAATTACATTTTGCTTTATGGCACAACTCTTTCAACATAATTCATCTGATTAATACACATAATAATATAAATTGATACCTCCAGTGCCATCACCCTTTGTAAAATCACCTCCTTGTATCATAAAATCTTTGATTACTCTGTGAAATTTCGATCCTTTGTACCCTTCTCCTTTCTGCAACAATTAAAATATATGTATACATTTCCCACAAACAAGGATGACTATTATGAAATATTCTACTATTTGTGAAATTTTTTGAAGTACTCTAATAACAAAATATTGAAAATATTTAGTATAAAGAATATAGATGCATATTCACATATGCTGAATTGTCAAAATAAGGAATGATTTGATTGGTCATATCATACTACAAATATTGATGATTTATTTAAATTGAGAAATTATCTAATTAATAAGCCTACAGAATGAATTCAAATATTGGTTCTGATATACCCGCCCACTCTTTTTTAATTATGATGCCTTCTATATATAATTATAATATAACCTTTTTGAAAATTAAAAACGTTTTCTCCAAAAATTAAACTCATCCAGTCATCAGTGGTTTCAGTTTTCATACAAATAAAGATAAAATTGTTGCTATACTTTAAACTATTAGAAATATTATTAATCAAAATTAATCATAATCGCTTCATTGTTTCACATTACCACCCTTACCATGTTGCCGCCCCACCCTTAGGTTAAAAATGAAAATGTAGTCAAGTACTTCCAACAATTGAAACATGTAGAACTGAAAAAATAATAAGAAAATTACCTCTCTTTTAGCTAATCCCACAAAGTTTTTTGTAGTTTTTGGTACAGTCTTTCCGAATAATCCAATGACGATTTCACCTTGTTCCTTACCTCCAATAGAAATTTTGAAGGTGACCTAAAAAGATAACAGTAGACTAGAAATAAAAAAATAAATGATCTAACCCTTCTGTCCTTTTCAAGATAACACAGTACAGCACAGTAACACAGTACAGCAGTAAGGTAACACAGTAAGATAGTTTATTAATGAATAGATAGTTTATGTTGAAAACTCCACAATTTGATAATAGAAACAAATTAAAAATGGAGAATTCTGGAGAGCAAGCAAAAGCTTTAAAAAAGTGCAAAACAAGATGGGTACCGGTACCGGTATCATGTTAACAATGACTACAATACCAGAATACGGTAATACAGTCCGGTAGCAGAATACTGGAATAGAGTGTACCATATGCAGATAGGGTACTATATTAAACTGTCAATAAACCAACAACAAAATGACAAACAATATATTTCAATAGTACAGTACAAAATAAGAATAGTCTACTACACCTTGTCCGTGATGAGAGGTCCTTTTTTCGCATCAATTTCATTAGGGAACATGAAAAAAACGATTAACACAGCAACACATGCAAAACCTACGAACACCTTCATTTTGTTTCTTCTAATCCAACTAATCATAAACGACGCTCTAGCTACCTGTCCCAAATTACGGTATAAAATCTAACGCAAAGAATTGTACAAACTAAAATCCTCCCGAAAGGAAATGTTGGACACGTACTCCAGTATTATAGTCGAATGTGATTGGTCGATCAGCTGTTTGTGCCGAATCGGCTAAGATTAAAAATATCGCGTGGCATATTCCAAGTGGGCAAACGCGTGTCCTTACGAATAGTCAAATACTTTGGAATAAATAAATATAGGACGTCTTGAATTGCATAAAGACGGCTTAATCATAAGGCAAACCACGGCCTCTCGTCCGGTTACAGTTATTTGTTTTCGGAAGCATGGACTTGATGATAGGGGAAGCCGTAACCGACCAGCGGTTACGTTAACCACCCTACGACGACGAGGAGTCCAGCAATCCTCTCGCACATGATCATCACCGCATGAGTTTCGAACCTGCGAACCCACGAAGGGTAATCAGAGTTGTGGTGGCGAGCGTATTCCTAACGCTTAGCACGATGCGCCACACCGCCGAGCCGAATCGGGTATAGGATTAGTTAGGTAGTTATTTGTTTCAGATAAACGTTATTGAACTATATCACAATTCACAACCATCTATATCATATAACACGACAGAGAGTAGTACAAGTTACTACTCAATCAATCGAGTTTATTTTTTCCAACCAGTAAAATATTAAATAAATAACACAAGCACGAATTACAAGAAAATAATAAAGTACACAGTTTTACTGGGGAAGGGAAGTCGCGGGGAACCAAAGATGATTATCGAGCAGCGACACCCGAAGTCACTGTTATTATTGGATGAACAATGAATAAGGTGAACATTAAAAACAAATACGTTAAGCAATTGTTTACAGGGGGTGGGGGAAATTCTTTTTATATTTCAAATGCTAGAGGGCTGTTTTTCTGATTGGGCACTAGTGGCAAAATTTGTTATTATACGAGAGAAATTATTATTAAAGTTAATTAGGATTTAGGCAAAAATTATAAAGCATAAACAAAGCAGCAATACAATAATAATATAACTTGAATACGTAAGAAAATAAACCTAGTCTTTTTTTCATCTAACCATAACCATCAAGTATATGGATTTTTAATCGCTTACTGAATGTTGCAAGTGAGTTTTCTTTAATATTAGACGGAAATTTTTTCCCAAATCAGAATGTTTTCTGTTTTGAGCGATTTTTTCGTTAACGGGAATGAGCATCGAGGCATAAAATTAGTCCTTTTTGTAACCCTCCTTGTGGCATGGCTATATAGATGGTTGAAATTTTAGAAAAAAGTTATGAAATATCGGGGGTAGCATATGATTTTCGAAGCGATACATAAATTGGCAATTTCAGAAGGATAAATATCTTTCAGTTGTAATACTCCACACCGCTTGTATAAAAGTGAGTTTGGAACGTGCTGTGATTCTGCAGATAGCATGCAGCGAACTACTTTGTTATGCAGAATTACTAGTGGTTTTAGCGTTGTCTTATTAGATCCTCATGTTGAATTCAATGAAAATAAGTCCATTTTGCTATTTCACTGATAATGATTTATTGGGACAGCTACAAGCACTAGCTTTCTTTGTGCATAGCGTTTTTTTTTGTATCGAGCTATTTGATGACGTCTGTTTCCGGATTTTACCCGAGCGTTGAAATATGAGATTTTTTATGTTCTTGTGAATCTTACTACTGGGATTCGATCGTATTACCCAGGTTTGTCCAAGATTACGAGGTTGGAGGGCTGCAAAAACTTTTGAGGATGTCTCGCGGGCCGCAGTCGGAGAAAACCCCCAGAGTGATCAAAACATCGCGAGTTTACTCACTTTAAATATGTTTAAGAATGAGAGTTTACCGTTCCGATCAGTTTTATATGGGGGATATATAAAGAGAGAGAGAGAGAATTTATTGTTTCGTCAAACCAGAAAACACGTACAATATATATATGATAGCAAAATGAAAAAATAAAAAATAGGTTTTGGTAGATGACTGGGTGGTAAAGGTACGACCATTAACAGTCATCTGAGTCGGTTACCACCCAAAGCAAGCACATAAGTAAATAAATTGATAACACAGGTTCTGTAATATTACACTCTCAGGATATACATATGAAAATATATATATATATATACACTATGTAAAAAAAATGATATATATCTGATTAGGGATAAATTTCTAATCGGGATTTGAAAGTTATTTAAATAAATTTTAAATAGAGAAAAGGAAAAAATAAGAATTCCATACCAAATATATTATTATTTAGTATATTAATTTACGCTTTCAATCTGTTCTGAATCTTCTTTTGTGCTTACACACGATAAAATATAAGATCACAGGGAAATTAAAAGTTCTATAAGTGACAATAATGTGTTGTGTGAAGAGAACCATAGACTGAGATATGAATTATAAACATAACAGTAATACAATTTCTATATATTCAATTCATCGGTGTAAAAAAACACCTTTAGTTATTTTAAAAATTACTCTTCGAGAAATACCGTGGTATCTTCGATATCTTTTCTGGTGTTTGGTTTTGTTATGTGGCCTGAAAATTTTATTTTTTCGTAACAGATATTAGGCCTGCTCGAAAACACACCAGGCACTGTGGTTTAAATGTTGTTGTGGGTAAAAAGATACGTTTCCTCCCAATTTATCTCGGTCACCTTTTTTAACACTCATTATATGATGAATGGTTATATTTGACTAATTTTATTACTTGTAGCGTGAGAAGACAGGGTGGTGCTATCGTCGAAAAACAAACAAGTCCGTCTAAGTTGAGACTACGTGTGGAGCTAAAAAAAAAACTGGATAGCGCGGTGCTGAGTCAACTCCGCGGTTCGTCACTGCTGTCACATGGCCAACGCTTGAAAATAGAGGAGTTTACTAAATACAGGTACAAAGGGTCTCTCCAAATAAAGAGTTACTTGACGAGAGCTTATGGTATGAAGTTTAGATAATGTAGCGTACCGGCAGTCTATGAAATAATAATCCAAGTTCAGAATATCTTCCAATATGACGTCAAGTTTCCTCTCAATATTCACCTGAATCTATAATATTTTGTTTTATTTATTAACAATCTCAACACAACCAAATACTCCAAACAAAACGACAAGCATACAACAAAGCGACAAGTACCAGGCAGCACAATGCAAGAAAACAGAAGAATATACACAATAAAAACACTTTGAACAGTGCTGATAGCTAATTCCCTGATAACAACCAAAAATACAACGCTGAAATAATTATAACCAAAAGAACAGAACCGACAGTGTCACAGCGCCCCCAGTGTCGCCAATACCAAATAAAGCAATAATATCACATGACAGCATCTAACAGATAAAACAAGGGTCGTCACAATAAAAAGCGCAACTCATCTCATCGATTTGATCCTGTCTGCACTCTGCACAAGACAATTCATTCTCTTTGTACTGATCACAAGTCGTTGTTCCCATATTGGCACCGTCTTAATGTTTATGGATACAACATTGAAATTCTGGGATTTTAACAGACATCAATCACGACGTCGGGGTTAGGAAAAGAGCTATTCCCATTTGGAATAGTTTTAAAATACTCCAAAGTTATTCTCCGGGCCGCAAGAAATGTGTCCACGGGCCTTGGTTTGAACCACTCTGGTATAACTGTATTAATGCTCAAGTGAATATTTTAATATATCTGTTATTTGGATTCAATTCGACCGTGTAACTTCACAATAAATACATATGAACATTTGGCATTGCAACATATTGCGTGCTTATTGACTTCTGAGGAGTTCATATCTGAGTTGCACTTCTGTAACGTGTGTCAATTCAATAACACGGGACTGCGAACGCGAAGATACCCCTATACTCCAACCTTGTAGAACATACCGTGTTCCCTCAAAAATAAGACAGGGTCTTATTTCAACTAAGACTTATTTTAGGGGGAATGTCTTTTATTTTCATTTATCAAAAAAAAAATATAAAGCAGAGAATTACGAGATTTTCGAATATTTATACAAAATGTGGAAGCCGATATTCTTTGACTTATAAATACCGCATTTTTATTTCAAAAAAGTGTAGTGCAGGTTCGAATTCCATGGAGGATAATGGTGTACCAAATGGTTGCTGAACTCATTTCCTCAAAATCATATTTCAACCTCATATTCACTTACCCTATATACCGGGTTCCCCCAAAAATAACACGGGGTCTTATTATTTCAATTTCATTCAAAAAAATAATATATACATATACTAGGTCTTATTTTAAAAGGAGAGCTTATTATAGAATCATTTTTAAATTCAGGCTAGTTTATTTTTCATGTGAACACAGTATTGACTGTGATTTGGGCATTAACTTAACAGTTATGAGCGTTCACCGATTACTATGATGTGCCCTGCCGTGATGTTAATCGAGAAGTTAATCTGTCTCCACGGCGTTCTACTCGCTTCAGATAAATAAATGGATGAACTAGTTTAAAGTTAGGACACCACACAACCCAGTTAAGGTTGAAGTGAGTCGAAAATATGAATTGTGTTGGTCTGACACTTGGCATAGTTAGTCGAGTCGATACGCGTATTAACAAGGTTTTCAACCCGATTGTATCGCATGGTCAACCTCAAGCACGGTTGAGACAGAGGTTTGAGACAGGCTATCTTGGAATGAGAGTGTTCTCAACTGAATCTGAGACCTTATTCACTGGAATCTGTAAAATCATAGACTATTTACTAGCTTGACTGGCATGCTCGTTTATGTGAAACTTAGCCCGATATTTCTTCGAGTCATTATCTTTTACGAAGCAACATGAATATTTTTAGCTCGTCATTTCGCTATTTGACTATTATCTTACACATATAAAAATTTTGTTTCATTTTACTATATTTTCTAAAGATGAAAATTTGCCACATCCTTCAGTACACATTAGAAAAATGTCACAAGTTTCTTGAAAACAAGAGCAATTCATCATCACACACATTGTTGTGTAACGTAGAAAAATTTTATAACTCAGAATGTGAATGGGTAGTTCTAGTCGATGTCACCAGTACGGGTTCCTTCAGATTATGAATCCCGCATTCGGTAATTATCACAGGATATTTTGGTGCATGCTTATTATCTTCGGTGTGAATGAAAGAGATCTCGTTAATGTGTTTCTAAAAAAATAAACAGTTTTCTTTAAACAAGACCAAAATATTTTGGAGTTTTTAAAAAATATGTTTTAGCAAAATCAAGTATAATCCTGAACCCCAAAATAGGAAGTAAACTGATTTTTTATCAGTCGAACTATATTAAATGTTTGTACAAGCAGAAATTAATCAGTGTACAAATTCGGAAACATCAAGAATAAATTTGTTTATTTTTGTTAAAATTTGTATTTGAAATATCAGTTACTGCATTTTACGAGTGCGCATGTTTATCTTTTTTATTAAAGTAGAAAAAAATATGCGACCTGTCCCTCAAGCACTTTTCCAAACACGACGTGATGTTCATTCATCCAGTTGGATTCTTCGCAAGTAATGATGAACTGCGACCCGTGTTCGTTTTCCTTCCTGGGAGCTGTTGTCACAAATCCCGCATCACTGTGTTCAATTTTATAGTTTTCAGCTTCGAAGTAAGAGTATTGTCCTGTTGTTTCATTTTTAAAAGTACTTCTTCCTTTAAACATATAGATGCCAAACTTAGAAAGTTTGAAATATTTTTTTTATGTTACATAGTTATTATTAAATGAAATGGTTAGTTTGAAATTCTACACTATATGATCAAATTTGATATTTAGTTCAGCACACTTAAGCGAAGGAGTTTCTCTGTAATTCTTAGGCAGGAGTGGTTTGTACATCATTATTCAAGATATTTTCTTGTGATAACTTTTTTAGACAAAATATTGAACATCAGTAAGAAAATAATGAAATGATGGGTTCAATATGAAATAAAATAAGTTATCAGAAAAAAAAATTATTCGCAAAAAGTTTTCAATAAGCCAATTTGTTAAATTGTTTTAATATTATTTTACTGTTTAGTTAGAGCATATTCGGGTTAGGTGTTAACAAACCTGTGCCATGTAAAATGACTGACAGTTATCAGGTTCCAAAAAACGCGACGACTGCTAGCTATGAAAATGGTATTTTGTATTAACACACTCAAATGATTGAGAGTTTTACTGGTTATGTTTAGTGGGAAGACAGTTATTAATGGCTAAAGCTCTCAGATAGTAACAACAGCACAGGTGTTGCCTAAATCAACATCACACGATTTGCACCTGTACGCTCTACTCATTGATCACGAGACATCATTAGTGCGATAAAGTTTGAATAAAACGATCTGTTCTATCTCTGTGCAAATTATTCCCGGTAACATCCATTAGAAATTTGTGATAACTCGCACGCGAAATGTGCATTTATATATACAATACTCAAACTACAACAAAATACTGAAAAAAAATCCAACAACGCAAAAGTGAAACAATTCAAAACATGTTTTAACATTTTCATATATCTATTTGGTTCTGCGTATTTCAATTCTCAAACCCCATATTGACAAGATCATTCTTATCAAATGGTACTAACTTTGAAACGAATAAATAAAATATAATAAAAGAAATAAATGTCGGGACCAAATTGAAAATAACCTCCGGTTCCATTCTTAAATTCCCAATCTCCACCCTGTATGAAGAATGATGCGTATATACAATGAATTGGGGTATCCTTGTATCCAAATCCTTTCTGTGGAAATAAATTTTTATTTAATCTCAACTGATTTTAAAGCAAACTGTTGGTTTCAAATTAAAAGTGACTAAAAAATTCTGCTTACCGCACCAGTGCAGAGATCTCGGAAATTCTGTACTGTCTTGGGAACATCTTGATCAAACAATCCAATTATAAGTCTCACTGTTTCATTTTTATGACCTTCTTCGTGTTCTACCGGTTTCAATATGTCCATATACACCTACCAGTATGAAAAAAAACAACCCAATTATTTTCGCATTGAATTGTATTCTTACCCTTAGCATAGATTTTCAATCCGATCGTGTTTTTTGAAACATTTTTTTGTTTTCGAAAAAAAAACGTTTCGATGTACCTGTCAAAATCGGGTTGTTCAATTTGTATGACCTTGCGCTTAATGACAACGTATTAAAACAGATTTTTTAGCGAATCGGAACAATTTGAAATTTATTTAACGCTTTCGATAAAATCTACAGATCTGGGATTTACATTACATAAAAATGCATTAAAATGAATAAATTTACCGCCGAAGTGGCTTTATATGTAACATTCTCTGTTTGATTTTCTTCTGACATGTCCTTTTCCTTTCCTTTATTTTTCTCATGCTCATCCAGTTCTTCTTCTGTAAGAGATTTAGATTCTTTATCGTCGTTTTTACCGTGACCATCTTTTTGTTCAGCATTATGCTTATCGTCATGATGTTCATCATGGTGGTCATCGTGATGTTCGTGATCATCCTTATGATGTTCGTGGTCATCTGTATGATGTTCGTGGTCATCTTTATGATGTTCGTGTTCATCTTTATGATGTTCATGGTCATCCTTATGATGATCATCTTTAGGCTTATCTGCTCCAGACACCAAACATATTGATACAACAAACAAAAATACGACTAAAAAATACCACTTCATTTTATCCGACTTCTTCTATGGTTGTAGGTCAGTACTGAGTGAAGATAGCCTTGAAATTATCTTTTGAATTCGAAATAATGTGTTTCGATGACGTGTCATTATAACGTGTCATCTTTGGGGACTCGCCAAGTAGTTTACTCAAACCCAACGACTTCGACTATTCAACTCACTACGTATCAGTTGACAATGCAAAGCATCAATACATTGTTGCAATAATGACCTCTTCAGAGAGCGAGCGAATTTTTAAAATCAAGTAATATTTGAGTTTTTGGATACGTGTCACAATTCGTTTGTAATGCATTTTTAAAAGAATGAATTCAAGCATGAGAATTTTTTTTTCTTGCCAAGGCGATGCACACTCGGAAGTGTAGGAATCATTACATCGTAAAATCACAAAAATACCAGAAGCATTCAGGTGATGGTGAATTCAACCGTTTAATTAAAAAATTTTGGCAGCAAAAATTATTTTTTTCCAAGTTACGCAAACTGTATATATATGAGAGCTCACAGACAACCCGAGTGCGGTGGTCGGAAACTCTCAATGGAAAAATTCAGTAGACCAACTTTATTGGATTATTTTCAACTTCATTGGATTATCTGTGAAATGCACCAATTTGCGGTTATATAAATACACCATATTTGCGACCATATATTTGCATTCGGCCAGGGTGGCCCGTCACAGAATACGAGTATTAGATAAATGTCGCATCAACAGAAATTTTTTCTTTTTAAACTTATGAATAAACAGCCTACAGAATTAATATACACATATTGTGACAACATGAAAGCATGCCAACACGCTCAATCCCATATTAGCCAGAAATGTCATTTTTTTGGCGTATGATTTTTGCATATTGTTCTGGTACATCTTTAGCCAAAAGCAAAAGATGGATGGCTCTCCGTTACTCCGTATATGTAATCCTCGGCCCAATATTCAACTGCTGCGCAAGTGAATGCGTATCTTGAAGTCTCATACTAAAGCAAAGCAAGGTTCGAAAAGCGATATTAGTAATATATGTATATATTAGAATCTTGGGTGTCGATGCTCGATAACCAGCTTTGGTTCTTCTAACGTCTAATAAGACAAAAACAACAAGACGGGGGTCGCTGTTTATCACGACATCAAAGGAACATGTTCGCGCAAATACGATGAATAACACTACTGCTATTAACACCTCCCTCCCGCCCCCGGATTTTAAATTTTCAGACTGATATGCACCCTTTGATACATCTCGCACTTGCTCCTTTTCCATGGCGAAACACGACGAAGAAGAATAAATAATGAATTTATAAGCTCGAAGCGTCAATAACTCGTGTTTTTGCAATATACCATAACATACTAAATGATAAAGCGAACAAAATAATAACAAGATTTTACACGATCTTGCAAGACATATTTATAAATTTGACGAAACCATTTTCAAATATAATAAATTCTTGTAGTATAGGCCACAAAATGGTCACGAGTCAATCGCCCGTAAGACTAATATTTCTACACACAACCGCATTAAATGCTCTAACTATTTATTCAGTGATTGGCACACGTAATGTATACGTCAATATTCACATTTATTATTGTCTTTGCGATTGAACTCAAAGTTCGCCATGTACAAAAGTTGTACTAGATCCATCAATGGGTATTGGCCTCTTCAAGTCGTACGTTCCACATTTTGATATTACAATGGGATATTTAGGCCTGTCTTCTTTGCCCACCGGAATCTTGCCGATTTCTTCAACGTATTTCTGAAACATATCAATATGTCAATTTTATGTATATAAATAAATGAATAATTTTTAGGGATAAAAATATACGAAGTTTTGAAATGATTAATGACTCGCATTACAGCGTATGATCTTATGGGTTGAATATTTGATAACTCAAATAAAGCAAAAACAAATGAATTATTTAGTTGAAACTTGCAAGGTGGAATTTATTTGAAACATCAGATTTTGAATACAGTTATGTTTTATACTATATTTTATCATCGATGTATAATTCAGTATATACTGTAATTCATGTGAGCCAACTCTTCATTTGTGTTAAGAATCTGTCGTATGCTTCATCACGTAAAATCACGAGCATTTGGCCAACTTGTACAATATTTGCCCACCATAGATTCTAACTTCAATGTTTTTCCTGAATAAAAAAGAAGGTCTTACCTCTCCTTCCAGTACTTTACCGAAAACAACATGTCGATTGTCGAGCCAAAGCGCAGGTTCGAGAAGAATGAAAAATTGAGCACCATTCGTGTTTGGACCGGCGTTGGCCATACTTACGAACCCAGGAGCGGAGTGGTCAATTTTAAAATTTTCGTCGTCAAAAAATCCAAAATCTCCAAGCTCCTTGTAAATACTTTTACCTGAAGTTAAAATTATCACGAAAAATAAAGTAAAGCCATATAAAGATGGGCATATTACGTTTTATGAATAGGAGATTTAACTTGTAATATTGAATATGATCACCACACTCGATGCTATATGCGGAAATATGTCATACACTTTCCATCCATTATTGTTTTAATTTTAGACTTAGTGTTACTGCAAACGAAAAATTATCGCTCTCAAGATTTTTTGTTGAAAGCTTTGCAAATGATGTACATGGCCAAAAAGCTCACTATTATCACGAAATATAATGCAACTTCTGCATGAACCATTGTCACTTTAAACTTGGAAAAAGGGGAGGATACGTTCTTTATTCCCGGTTATCCTGAGTATTACCTCCAGTTCCATCTCCGAATTCATAATCTCCTCCTTGTATCATAAATCCATCAATAACCCTGTGAAACGTTGATCCCTTGTAACCTATACCGAGCTAAAAATATAAAAAAAAAATGTAATGAGAATCTAGGACGAGGGAAGAAAATCAGATAAAATAAATTAACTTGGCAATGCTTTTAACACCAACGATGATAAGTCAATAATAAAAATCTGGGTACTATATTCTAATAAATGTTATAATAATGTATTTCTTGTATATTTAAAAAATAAATACTAATTTATATTCGTCTGCCTCTCTGCGTACTCATTGAAACGCTCGGTAGATATAGATGAAATAAAATAGTATGAGAAATGAACAATAATTTACAGTTTGCAGCTTCGTCTTTTTTGAATATCGAAATGAACACAAGTTGTTGTAATTTATACACATTACAATTTAGGCAAAAATGGGTTAGGAGTATACCAATTTATTGTGTGTACTAACCTCCCCAGTGCATAATGTGCGAAAGTTTTTTGTTGTTTTAGGCACTTCTTCATCAAAGAGTCCGATAACGATTTTCACTGTTTCATTTTGTGTATAATTACTAGATTTTGTTGGTTTTGTAATGTCAAAAAACACCTATAATATAAATAGTTTTTAAATCTCATTGAGTAATCACAGCACAAAGCCATGGCTATCAAAATATATGAATCAGTATTCTATTTATTCGACGACCTGAATTTGATCTGAAGGATGCATCCGGCATCGTTGTGATCAGCTCCACAAACTTGATGGCTCGAATTATGATGGTGAATCATACCTCAAACCGGGGATTATTAATGAATTAAATCTGACACGTAAACATTGGTTCAAATGACATCTTCAGGTAAACCCCTGAACCAGACATCTCTCTCGTTCTTATATATAAACTACAAATGTTGGGTCCATATGTACTAATTCACAAGCAAACAGTGGAATGAACCGACTCAAAAGCATATCCCACTATAAACGACTGCTATTTGTTAAACAAAGTATTTTATCATTTAACGTCGTGTCTGTGTAGAGTATATACAGGAATTGGTTGTTGACACGATGATTTCAATTAATTCAATTCGGAAAAATGCGTCGGAAACATTTTTGATTGGAACTACCAGCCGTTCCACGCTTTAATCAACTCACATTGGAAGAAGTCAATTATAAATGAAAAATTAAAAACCTACCGCAGATGTCGCGTTGATTCTGATGTTTTTCGTGGAAGCGGTTTCTGATAATCCAATATACAAAGCTACAAAAGTATACAACACAAGCTTAATCTCCATATCATTCGTCATGTGACAGAAAGGATGCTTTGATAGCAATTCGTTATGACTGCGTGAAACGTATATTGTTGCCACAACTAGTCATTATGTGTGGTTACCCTATCTAATTGATAGAGTTGCGTAACATACGAATTGTTGTTACAATAATGCAAACCAAACACTTCAACACAGTTGAAAATAGCATCCGTATTTGATTCGCAAAAAAACAGCTAAAAAAAACAAAGAGAAAAATTCAGTGGTAATAACACATTAACGAGTAAAAGAGATTCTTTGGGGGAGTAAATTTCATCAAGACTAATTTATTCAAATATTTACGAACGTACACAGTAAAATACTTCGTCGGTAAGATCCTAAGTCACGAATTGCCACATCACGGGTTAAAAGACCAAGTCATTTTGGTAAACCACAGCTCTTCCGCCGTAAAATAATCTCGTTTTCAAGTCTTCGTTTGCTTCTCATCAACCAATTTTGTTTTGGGCCGGGGGTGACGAAACTTTTCGTCTTTTTCGATGCCTTGTTAATCCAGGCTGATGCGCGAACGGCACAATTTCTTAGTCGTACGTTGAAACTCTCGAAGCGTTCAATTTTCGGTCGAACGGCCGATGTCGCAATATAGCCTACTAAGTTTTTTTCATCTTAAGGTTCAGTGATGCTCATTTTAGAGAAACGCTTTTTTGTTAAATGAGGACTATTAAACCCAAGCAATGGCATTTGCTTACTGGAAAGCATTGCCAATCGCGGGGAAAAAACGGCGTGATCAGACGCAATTTGGATGTGGATTTATATATATATATATCATGTCCCGAATAAAATTTGATTCTGTTATTACTTATCGATTTTAATAAATAAATTTTTTATAAATAAAAAATTAAAGACCTACCGCAAATGTCGCGTTGATTCTGATGTTTTTCGTGGAAGCGGTTTCTGATAATCCAATATACAAAGCTACAAAAGTATACAACACAAGCTTAATATCCATATCATTCGTCATGTGACAGAAAGGATACTTTGATAGCAATTCGTGATGACTGCGTGAAACGTATATTGTTGCCACAACTAGTCAATATGCTTGATTGCCTAATCTAATTGATAGAGTTGCGTAACGTAGGAGGTCCCCTAACTTTCGATCGATAAGTCTTCGGTATCTGACAGATATTCTCGTTATTAAGTTAATCGTTCTCCGGAAGAATAGGTACGTGTTTAGAATATAGGGTGGTTAAGTGGCACGTGATCGTAAAAAGGCTATGTGCGTCTTAGTTTAGATTTAGACCAGTTATGATGGCAGGTAGGCCCACAGGATGTAAAAACGTATTACGCACCACCACTCTTTGTCTTCTGATGCATTATTTAGTTCTTTACTTTTGTTATTTGGCTGCGGAATCTTTTGTGTGGCTTGGCGAGCATATTTAATTGTCAAATCGTACTGCTGCATTGTCATTCATACAGGCATTTTTGACATATATTTACCGATATACTGCTTCTTTATTGAATATTTTTCTATTCGGAAAAAAATACAGTATGCTATTATATTGCAAAAAAAACTGATAAAAATCGAGCATAATATATTGAAAAAATAAAGAACGTTTTACCGCGATCTGATTCACGCAATAGGCTATAGAAGTGGTTCAATCTCTCACCGACTTACATCCACTAATAAAAAAACATTTGCCAGTCCTCGTGAATATCTAAGACGGCGATATTGTTCCGTGTATTCATTAATAACATCATCCTGAATTAGCGAGGCAGTAGATTACAGTTTGGTGCCGATAACGCTTGGCGTAGCCATTATCGCGTTTAACATCAAAATCATTCATACAAAACTTCAAGTTAGTCAGAGAATTTATTTATCTCATTACGGTCCCATTCTCGTGGATGAATAGTGAAATAGGAATCCTAACATTCAGAGATATTATAAATGCGTTCAAAGTGTGGTTCAAATTTGCGTAGAGATTGTAGATTCTATGACGCATAAAAACAAGTGTTTTCGAATAGTGTTTATATATCAATATTTGGAAGTGATCCGCATTTTTATATATGCCACATATTTTATGAATAAAACTCGAATGCAACATGCAAGCGTAAATAAAATAATATTTACAAATGATGTTGATCTCAAAACAAAATCTTGAAAATTGCCATAAATAAATAATAATATTGGAACACCGGTATCTAGGTTGGATCTATTTGTTTCATACTAACTTAATTGTAGTACCTGTTTTTCTCCCATACTTAATTAAATGTTTTGAATGACTTGCTTTCAATAAACCACCATTAGAAAGAAACAAGAGAGCTACGCCCAAATATATGGACACGTCTGTTCGCAGTACAGTATACGGTTTACCGTACCGTAAGATCACAGTCTACAAATATATTCACACCAAGCGAAGCAGTACAGTAGGAAACAAAATGGCGTCCGATGTCCGCAGAACGTTCGGTGACGTCATGGCAAACAAAAACAAATCTCACAGAGCTAACAGAAATATTTGAAATAAATAAAAGTAGCCTTCTGGAGAAAAATTTCATCTTTACCACTAAAAATTTCAAAGCAAGTGGTCTAGCGATCAAAAAGAAAAGCGCTTTTTCAATATTTCCACTAGGTGTCTAAAAAGTGTCAAACAACAACAAGAACAACATAACAACAAAACGATCGTTATGTCCTCTAAACGTGTCCAACAAGAACAAGAACAACATAACAACAAAACGATCGTTATGTCCACTAAACGTGTCCAAAAACTCACGTTGTCACGGAAGAACAACCCTCTCAACCATTTCCACATTGGCATTTAATACCGTATTGAGGGAGGGCATGCTTTGTTGAGAACTCATGTGCACAATAAAATTCAGTCGCGATTGAGGTTGCGAATTCCCTCGGAACCACCTGGCGGGTTGTATGGCTATATATATGGTTAGCTCTAGTGGGCGATGTTAGCATTTACTTTTCTGTTATTCTGGAGTTTATTTTACAGTTTTAACCGGAGTGACAGACTTGGAACACTGTGGACAACTTTTATGTTATCTATTAAAAAGTCCGATTTTTCATCAATGAACCAACCACTTATTCGTGGTGCAAATGCGTCAAAGAAGACTAATCAAAGAAGCAAAAGCGAAAAAGTTTTAAGGACCTTACGAATTATAAGTGCAATGATTGCTCATTTGATTGCAATTGCTTTCCCAGCATTTATAATATATCTGGCCAGCCCAGGATCAAGTAAGTACCGTAACAGTGGACTGTTATCGCAGTCTTGTCATTTTGTATTTTATGGTCAAAGATGATTCAGTGATTGTACCGTTATACAGTTATAGGATGTTATGCCGTACGGCAATATAAGATAGTAGGTACGGTAATAAATAATCAGTTTTTTCATAATCAGCAATGTGATCATATGTAACGAAATATATGATAGAAGGTCTTGCAAGTAAGTTTATAGTGTAGTAGTGGTTATCTGGCAGTGGCAACATTTATGTTTTAGGTTATTTCTGGAAATATGATGATATATGTATTCAATTTTCAAAATTTGTTATATAAAGTTCTATATTGATATAACGTGTCATTCACAAATCAAGTATGGTGTTCCATTTCTGACTGTCCTTGTGGTAATAAAATTGCATAGTCTACTTGAAAATAATCATTTCATGTTTTCAAGTCTATAGGCTACTCTCACAGTTATCAGTTGTATTCGCCAAGCCTGATGATACCAATCCCCATGTTATATTTATGCGTACAATGATTAATAAGTATATTTCTGAAACCTTACAGGCCTGTTTTCGTGGCATCCTACCTTGATGACAATTGCTTTTACAACTTTAATGGTGGAAGCCATATTGGTTTTCTCTCCAGAAAGTAGCTTGCTTTTTCGTGCATCAAGAAAAACAAAAGTCACTGTTCATTGGATTCTTCAGTGCAGCTGTGTACTGTGTGCATTGATTGGATTTGTTGTTATATTTTACAACAAATATGAACATTCTAAATCACATTTTACATCATGGCATGGAAGATTTGGATTAATCACCGTTATATACATTGTTGTGCAGGCATCATGTGGTATATTTTTACTTTATCCAAGTTTAGTTAAGAATTGGAAACTTGTGCAACTGAAGACATACCATGCCACATTTGGTCTACTGGGTTTCACTCTCGCATGCTGCACTATTGCACTTGGATTATTTTCAAATTGGTTCACTGGCAATGTATCTGGGTTTACTTGGTATCTCAGCATGTTTTGTGTTGGTTGGCTCACACTTGTGATTATGAATCAGGTTACAACTGCATATTTACCTAAAACCAGGAAGCCTGCCATTTGATTTTTTATACTTTTAATTTGTTTTTAATCAAAAGTAGATATTGCAGAAACAGAAACTTGTATCATGTGCCATTGTTTTGTTTCATATTTTTAGCTTATTTGAACTAAATTCAAATGAATTTTAATTAATGACATCTTCAAATATTCCCAACTTATGGTTTGAACTTCGTTATTGATAATTGTTGTAATTATAAACTCTATAATGTACAAATGATATCATATGCTACCATTCAACCAATCGCATATCACAATTAAGAGCATGTGCAATGGCCTAATGTAAATATCAATGTTCCCCATTGAGTTTTGATTCTGAAAATAAGCATAGACTTGTTGGAAAATGTGAAATGCTCATTCGCTATGGTGTAAATATTTCATTCTATCATCCAAATGGAACACATTCTTTTCCACACATGTTTCAGGGCTCTCCTTTCTAAAGTTTTAGTGTGATATTCAACAAATTCATGGCTAAATTCTTTACATAAAGATTCTATGAAAAAATGAAACTGGACACATGGGCGGTGTTTGTGATTGATTTGATAAACAAATTTTTAGTATATTCATGTATTTAAATTTTTATGATGTGAATACAATGTGGCAAAATGATAAACTTTTTGTTAGAATGTAGCCTACTTGCTTTATGGTTTGGTTATACAATAATTTTGTTAGTTCAAAAATTGTAAAATGAGATATTTCACGACTAGTGTGAATTTTGCTCAGTCGTAGATAACATAACAATTAAGTATAAATTGATACAGGAAAAGCTCACAAGGGTATTGAAATTTTTGATTTCAGTACCAAATTGAAAATAAATTCAACTTTGTGGTAAAATATTCATTACCTTTGTTTCCAAACCTTTATTTGTTTCACTTGAAGATTTCGATACCTGGCTTTCAAATGTTTGATTTTAGGGATAGTTTAATATATTGGTAGATGATTTGAATGCTGCAGTTTAAATATACTGGTAAATGAATTTGAATACCCATTGTTTCTGTTGAATTTCAATACTGAACTGACAAGAGTTTTGGAGTCGTAAATTATTTCACTTGTAGTCCATTTGGTTAACTTTCAGCTGACTTTATTGAATACCGACCTTTGCCATTAAAATGATGCAAATAAAAGTTTATCAAGGTTTTATAGCAGTTGTTCTTAAACTTTCCGAGCCACGTCCCTTTTTGGAAAACTTTAAAAACTTCCCCCTATTTGATTTGAAAAAAAGCCAAATGTTTTTGTGATGGGCAGATTGCTTTGTTTAAAGATGGCACTGTAAGCGAGTTCTTCTCGTAGCGTAATTGCTCGGATCTTTCAGGCATAAAATGCATCAGAGCACGACTTGTTCTTATTCACTGTCTTATGACGAAGCCTTACTTACGATAATCGTCATCATACATTCTCGTTTTTTCGTTCATTTTGCAATATCTGGTAAAGACAAACTGGAATAAAACTAAACACAATAAACGTATGCTTTTTTTGCGCTTCAATGTATTTTCGGCTGAAACTTCTACATAACATACGTGAAATCAATTGTTTACTACCCATACCCAACATGGAATGGTAACTGGGCGAGAGGCCGTGGTTCGCAATATGATTAAGTCGTATTATCGGCTTTCCGCTCCCCCGGATAAATATGTAAATCCTATCACCACTGAGCTATGCAAAAATCCATTTCCTTTACAAACTGGCTCACATCATCAAAACTATCATTTTTATTGAGAACGCTAAACCGCGTGCCGCTTACAGGTAATGATAGATAATTTTCGACTAGTCTATCGCAGCATTTGCAGTATCAATTTTCATTGTTGCAACTAAACTGAAGGTCTTCGAAAGACATAATGACAATTAAGTTATTTAATTCACAACTGACGCGTTAATGTGACATTGTGAAAAAAGTTATTGTGCATGCTTATAGACAAATTACATTGTCACCAAGCAACAAGAATGAGGGTTGCATGGAATTTCAAATAGGCATCTTGTGAGCTCCCGCGCCCCCCCAGTTTTATAGGATTGTTTTTACTCCGAGGGATGGGCAATAAGGCTATGTAGCAAAATACCGTTCCACAATCTCCTACCTTGTTGGGCTTGGGTTCCAAATAGCGACTGTCATAATGGCGACTTCGTAATAGCGACGTAATCAAGTGAGCGACTGTCTTAACCCTAACCCTGACGACCTTAAAATTAATGTGACACGACATAGCGTTACCTTCCAACGACCGACCGATCTTTTGATAAAAATTCGTGAAGCAAAGTATTTAGAACTCTAACTTCAGACGCGAATTTTCTCTCTCACCCCTTTCCTTCTTCTACCCACTTTCTCGTCTACATTGAGCTTCAGTTCGGCGTGAAAAAATGGGAGAGAGGGGGAGAGTGTTGAAGGTGAGGGGAGGTAAGAGTGTGGGAGGGAAGAGTTGGGTGGGGAGCAGAAAGTGTGCAGGGGAATTTCGATCTTATAATCTAGAAATTTTCATTTATTTTCTCAAATTCGAACTAAAAACCGAACTGAAAAGAATTAAAAAAATCTCTGTAAAAACTGAACTGCAACGGAGGCAGAACGCTGTCGGAAAAACATCACATCATAATCAAAAGTTGCACTCAAAGTCATTGATTCATTTTCAATAAATGATCAATTTTTGAAGGATAATGAGAGCCGCAGGAAGAAAAGGTGAGCACTGCGTGCGAATCTACGCGCCGCGGTTGAAAATGCGGGCCGATTCTGACGAAAGTTGGCATGTAGGTCTGCAATGGTGTCCACATATTCTTGGAATTTTATATTTTGGTCGGGCCTAGAAATTTTTCGTGATTGGAGGCGCATACTTGTCTATCAAGTCACTCTGAAATTAATTTTGTGGCCCAAAGACCGTTTAGCGTTGTTTTCAGGATGGGAAAGCTTATGTCCGACCACGTAGAAATTTTTGGGTAGGTTCGTGGTACTTCTAAATTTTGGTGTACTTCTAAATTTTGAAGTTAACAAGGTCAATAATATTTGTAGTTTTGTAAGTATCTTTGTACATGTACTTCTGTGTAGTAGAAACCAAAACCAAATCTTCATTGAACTGTATTACAATGAGAATCCAATAGGATTGAATGGGACGGTCATAAATTGCCATGTGATATGACAGAAAAATATGTCCCATGGTCGAGCCTGCTTTTCATCCACATACATCTGCGGCGTCTGTGCCCTAAGATATAGTATGATTTTGCACTCATTTATTTAACAATTGTATACAAATTGCACCTATACTCGTATATATTACCACCCATGTGAATTTGTACTCTCGAATATTTGCGGTAAAAATGATATTTCGTTTTTGAAATTCTCTGACTAGAAGGAATTCCTGTAAATAGTGATTTGTGCCCCCTTGCCTATGTCTATAAATGCGTGGATGAGCATGGCGTAAAGGACTGTCACAATGTGTATTACCATAAATTTTGAAAAGGGATTGCTAAATACTGTGCGCTCAAGGATGCAGAAGGAATAAGCCTCAGCGACACAGGTACGTCTAATCTTTTCCCAATAAGTGAAATAAGCTTGTCACGCTGAGTGATGAACATTCTGTTTAGCATTTTAAACCAGCACTCGTCAAACACGTCACAACAATGTTATTGGAGGGGAAAACACTTGAAACACTTGAATACGGTACAGTCTGCCTCTGACCACCTTGAAGGTGATTATGTAACAGTTTCTTCTTTGATTCCTCTCGCAAAAGGGCTGTTGGGCCATTGTGAGGAAAGGAGAAATGAGGGTGGGACACTATCAGCTGTTACGAATGAATTTTGCAACACTCTCATAAATTCTCTTAAACTTCGATTTCGTTCCACACTGGAAACACCCAGTCAAGAAGAGGTCAACTTGTTCCAAAAAGCAACGTGGCTCCATTCCGGTCATAAAGGGAAAGTTTTTGATCGTTCGTTCAGGGTCCAGTTAATATTCACTTACAATCTGGTATACCACCGTATTATTTACATTTGTAAAGTCAGGTCAAAACTACTCTTTCAAACGCATAGGCTGTGATGTTCCTAATTTACAACTGTGGTTTTTTCTTTTCCCTGTGTTGGGAGGATTCTGTTGTTCATTATGTGAGTTTTATAAGTGGTTCAACTAACATTATCCTTTTCATATCATTTATAGACTTGTACAACCCATCTAATATTTTTTTTTGTCTTTCAAGGTCAGAGTTTCTCTAGAAATGGAAGCCACTGAAGCCTCAATGCCAGTAATACAAAATGAAATACATGTTGAACCTTCTGTGGTTACTGCTCCAAACGTGGAACAAAACCCTCTCCAAGGACTATTTTTGATAGGCATTGAACAGTCAAGCTCCTCTGAATCGGAGGAAAATGCATCTAAAGTCTCAGAGGATATTTCACAGTATTTAAAAGAGAAATTGGACAGAAATACAGAGCAGCTAGACCCATTATTGTGGTGGCATGCCCGAAAAACTGATTCTCCATCCTTACACAAAATGGCCATTCGGTACTTGGCTATACCGTGTACATCAGCACCAGCAGAGAGAGCCTTCTCTTCTGCTGGTCTGACAGTTTCCAGATTGAGAACCAGACTCAGTGGCACACACGTAAATGAGTTGAACTTCTTGCACTGCAACCGAAGTTTGATGCAGCAGTGAATGATTGCTGGTTTATTGTTCACCTTAATTAAACATTAGAGCCATTTTTGCATGATATGCGTATTTACTGAAAAATAACCTTGCGTGTGTTGAATAAAGTCGAAGAAAAAGTGATGTTGTATTAATCAGAATCGATTCGGAAATATTCGATTCGAAAAAATAAAATATTCGGTATTCGATTCGAAAAAAAAAAAATTTTCGAAACTTACATCCCTACTCATAAATATACTTGATATTTCGTGGAAAGAGATAATGTTATTTTTATTCAATTAGTCTTAGTTCGAAGTATTTGTACCGTTAACGTTAATTCCCTTTTATTTTTTGAACTGAACCTGATATTTGGACAGAGAATATGCGCATGAAATTTCGATAACAATATGGGCAATAAATTAAATGTAGAAATGTAAGCCTATGTAGTAAAATTGGAAAATGTGAACTCACAAAATCACAGCTAAGAGGTCGTTGTCTTTGTTACAAAAATATGGTAACCCTGCCTATAGTAGCAACGGTAACTCCGTCTGTTTTCTGTCAGCAATAACGCCTGGCAAGCTATTTTCGTATCATATCTAAATACTAATACTAATAATTAGTAACACAATACTAATAAATCGACTTGATTGATACTAAAAATATTATCAGCCTACGACCCTACGTGAAATGCGGTGAGTTGACTCAATCACATTATATATATATATATATATATTTGAAGGATTATACACAGGGTCAAGCTCCTAATGACTCAAGGTACCTTCGTTTGAACCGTCGCCGTTGTATTTGTTCCCCTAACCATCCATTTATTGGACACGTTTAGTGGCCATAACGATCGTTTCAAAATTTTGTTGTAGTTATTTTCTTTCGTCATTATTATCATTAAAAAATTGCTTTTCTCTTCGAATACTGGACCAATTGCTTTGGAATTTTCAGTGGTTCAAGATTGAATTTTTTGCCAGAAGGCTATTATTTATTCCTGAATTTTCTATGAATCTTATAAGATCTAATATTTCATCCAATATTGCGCTGTATTAATTTTTAATTACGGGAACACGGTTTTTAATCCGCCAAGCGTGACGGCTGACTGTGAAAATTCTTGCGACTGAAAACCCGGAACTTTTTGAGGGTACGGTACCGGTAACGTCAAAGGTAAACCCTGCTTCGCTCTAGTCCACGTGTCCATATATTTGAGCGTTGCTCTCATGTTATATCCATAAGTTTGTTAATGAAATGTATTTGTAACTCATTATTATATCTAGTGCCAGCTTATTCTCTATTTACAACAATACTCTTGCCGATTATACATACCTGTATATGAATTTTGACATTCCATACAATGCTGTGATTATAGAAATATAGACTATGCCTATTATATTCACAATGAAAATAGTCAAACGCAGTAATTCGCCTTAACAGCCAGCTGCTTTGTTTTGCCAATATTAGCTTTAACAACACAACAAAAGTAATTAGAAGTCACATCATAAGATGCTAGCAATAAAACGAGTCATTTATAACGACAATTGAAACGAAATGGTGCAATGCTTGTGGGAATTAAAGAATTAGCGTTCAGTGTAGATCGCAATGAGGTGCATTTGTGTCGTAAGTCCGGCTATTGCCTTGGATGCGATGAATGTTATGAGGAATGCCTCTTTACTAAAATCTCGCATAATAGAACGTGAGATATTTAGAAGCCTCAATTCTTGTAATTGCTGACCAGAAAAAAAAACTTAATTATCTGAATGGAGAATAGTTGGGAGGCCTTCCCCGGGATTTACCCTATTTATATAGTTTTCATAGCATAAATTTTATCAAATTTGTGAGCATTATGATAATAAATGCATACGCAGGAGCAGTAAAATACAAACAGTGAAGTTATAACACAGACAGATGTTTGTTCGCCTCCTAGAACTTACATTGTTCTTAAAACCCAACGAAAATATAGCAAAGGTGGATAACTTATCTAATATTTCCACTTTGAGATTTATTCGAGAATTTCTTTTGAATGAACTTTGTTTACAAATTTACGCTTCGTCAGTCTCTACTTTTGGACGCTGCTCCTTGATAATAAATAGGACCAAGCCATGTTGATTGCACCGATCTCGTCTGATCTAGAAGATTAGGCGACCTCAGGCTCGGACTTGCATGGGTGACCGACTAGGAATACCGTGTGTCGTAGGCTTTTTAAAGTAACGAAAAAAATGTATAAAATGAACAAGATTCTATATGTTAATACTTAATTAACATAGATTGTAAACTTCTGAATGGGCCTTAAATCAACTGTTTGTAACTTTGACGCCCTTCATGACGACACACTTATATGACATTGTTGAATAACCAACAACGTTGTTTTTTGCGATACTATTGATCCCGTTTAAACTCTGCGCCTTTGCTCAGCGAATCCTTTATGTAAAAATATATAGTACAGAATCCTTCAATAAAAATACTTATATACTTTACTTAAGCATACGTATTGTACAGCTTCTCCTTCAGCTCAAACGCATAAATATAAATAGATTTGTAGTTCATAGTTCATAATGAAAACGAAAAAACTTTATTTTACACCGGGAAACAAGTAGACAGCTGGAGTAAAAAACTATTATTCGCGAAAAACGTGTCTCTTTTAATATATGAAATCTGAAATAAAATTTCAATCTTACAAATTTGCAACAATTAGTTGTGCTGAACTGCGTTGACAAACCACAAACATTTTGCTTTATAGAATTCATAGAAATCACGTTAATTACAACTTACAACGCATACGTAATCAGCAGAAGATCAGGTATAATATTAAATTATCAATAATGAATTGTTAGACCTTCGTTGTAGACTTATGCAATTGAAATGAATAGAATATTTACATTAAATAATACGGAGAAGCGATACCAAACTAGGTGAATTTTACAAGTATATTAATTTCTATATGGCCAGTCTTTATATTTCTTTTATGGCACCATTATGATCTGGGACAAGTGTCTCCAATAATTAGCCTTTGCTCTCGTAATGACCAAAGCATCATTGTCACCGACCACATACACATTGTCGCGGCAATGTGGAATATTACGTGACTGTTGATCTGTAAGTAAAATTAGTTATGTTTCTGCGAGAACTACAAATATAACCAACAGGCCACAATATTTGTTAAATCCAGTATTCTCACTAATTTCTTAAAATTGAAGTCATTCATGACACAAGTTTTGACTTTTTAACAAAAGTTTTAGCCCACAGGAACAAAAAGTTGAAATCAAAAACGTATCTTAAAATCGCAGCGTAACGCCATGGAAAGAATTTCAGTAAAGAGGCACTCTAGGTCTAGAGGCAATTGTTTTTTAGCATTTTTTGTTTATCAAGCCCAAAACTCTGATTCGTATTTTTCTCAATTTTTGGGCGATAAAACAATTCTGACTTACCACATTGTCATACTTTTCAGAATACCAGCTTTCTGGAATCTTCGTGGCAAATACATAAATTCCTGAAGAGGAAGAAGCAAATGGAATCATGAAATACAATTCATCGGCTCACTCAAATATAATTATGATATTAATGTTATATACTGATTCATGCTATGAACGTCTTTACGTCATGCAGATCATTTGTGACGGTGACACTGATATTATCACAATGACCATCCAACACTTATGTTTGTCTCTTTTGTGAATGATTGTTTTTTTTCGTAATCATAGCACTTTGCTAAATAACGCTCCGAATTTTCTAAAAGTGTTAAAATTTCTTATCAGCTACTAGCGCCGTATGAATAGTACTGTGACAGAAATTTCCTAAAATAATGTTTGATACAATTTAAATCAATCATATCAGATAGATACACGACCAGACAAAAAGTAATTATATTAGTTATAAAGGATTTTTGTCATACACACCGATTCCCGCGAAACAGAACCCAAGAAGGGCCCACCCATGTCCACTATTCATTGCCGATAACAGTCCATCTCGATAAAATATTCTTAAATATCCAGGTAGACAAAGAGAAAACACGGAGATAAGAACTCCTGCAAAACATATATATATATATATAACATGCCTGCGTATACAGAGACTTTTTAATGCATTTCGAAACATAATATTGATTTCGTTAAACCTCATAATATATACGATTTTTCCAATGTCTAGTCTTGGAAATAATATTTTATGATGAACTGTACTTTTATTAAAGCATATTCTTAGATGATTCGATCTAGGACTTAAGAATTGATTTTAATTTATAATCATTCAATTTTGTAAATTCAGAATCTTTAATTCGGAAAAAGGAAAACAATTCAAAAACACAAATGCGTGGTTTGCTGTTAGAAATAATTTGAACCAGACTTAGATTTACTTTTCAAATTATTTGAACGCCAAAACTCACTTAACCTGTCTTTAGTTTTTCCTTCTCTTAACAAATGACTTCGTGTGACGAACCAAACGCCACATACCGCATTTAATAACACAATGACCATGTAGAAATCCTGAATAAAAAGGGAACATGCGTATTTTTCGTTTACAGAAATACAGTATTTTAGGAACAATTTGAAGAAAAAAAGGTACCAGTCGTTCATAACATTTACATTGGCCAATGGAGCTGTGCACAATATATATGCTGTGAAGACAATTGCAATATTGCGGATGTACATGAAATTATTACCACTCGTTATGAACTCTACTCTACTGATGGCACGTTAGGGGTATAGATGGAACGTTTCAGGTATTTCATCTGTGGACCATTTTACTTGTACATCTGCTAATCAGTATAATAAATATCATTTAAATACCTAAGTTATGTATGAATCTCACGTTTAAAAAAATACTAACCCTGAACAGCGGTTCGCAGTAGAAAGAATAATATAACCAAGCAATCCATGGACCTTTGACTCCAGCAACAATTCCACAAAGGTCAATCCTGTATTATAAATGCGTGTAAAGCACCAGTCTTACAATGCTATAAAATATCAGTAAAGTTAATTATTCAGTTCACTTTTAAATTATACTGTTTTTCAAAACTTTGATTTGGGTTAAGAAAATTATCGATAACAAATTTTGGTGTAAGTCGCATATAGGCTACCAGTACTGTGTAGTCATTGGACCTCTATGTCAATATATTTAAGCATTATTCTCTTATTTTCAGTTCAATTACGGCTCAATTTTTCAAATATCCAAAAACTACTCACTTCAGAGACCATTCAAAAGCAGGTTCGGAATGATGATAAAAAGTGTGAAACAATGTAGAAAGAAGACAGCAAGTACACGTTCCAATGAAAGAAAAACTAATGACGAACTTCTCTTCCAATTCGTGCAGAAAATACTCCTCGGGAAGTTTTAGAAAACAGTGGAACGCTGTTGCAGTTATCACAAAAGCTGCAAAACATCATTCAAAACAAAATTATATTAGCCATGCCATTCAAAATGACATACAAAATGTAAAGTAGACCCATTCCTGTAGTAGTCGCTTGAAATTCCTCTTTTCATTTTCAAATATTAGCGAGCAAAATCTATATACAAAAGTCGAGTACAATTCTGCACGACCATTATAAGGAAATGATATATATACCTAGTTGGAAGGATTTTGCTCATTTCTTTCTAGTCATATTAATTCAGAGCATCTAAATAGCTTCTCCGGTAAAATTTACTTGCAGTGTGATGGTCGCTTGTACATACATTTAGCGGCAAGAAGTTAATCACATTTTTTTTTCTAACCTACTAAATGTGACCAAACACAGGCCATTTCCGAGTTTCTTTCACAGGTGGATTTCAAACATCCCCATATAGATGGAGTCGGTTGCCTCTGGTGTATCAGAAAGTGATTGTTTATTGGAAACCATTTCGGATAGTATTTGAGATTTTGACGCTCATATTTTCTTAAAACAAAAGAGTATTAAAATGGTTTGCAAGAAATTGTGTAAGGAATTCCTATTTTATTGTATATTTAATTTTACAGTTAATCGAGTTCATGTACAGAAACAAAATGCTTTAAACGAAGCTTAACAGATTGCAAAACAAATGTCTTAAAATAACTAACATGATATCAGACTCTCTATACAATGCTGTAGGACAAATTGCTTTGTTTGATATTTAAGATTTTGGGTTTGTACCTTTTCTGAAGATTCACACTGTAACTAGTTGTTACATTTCTCTCGTCTGCAGTCATGATGACGACAAAAGCAATTTTTATCAATGAAAAACATAAAATAGTAAAATACACATCTGTGTTATAGATAAAAAAATATGATCGGAGTTCTGTGTAGAAACAACCAATAATCATTCTTGTTATAGATTCCTGTAGAGTTCCAACTCTTGGAACCCAGTCCATCTATTTCACCTTGTTAGGTGATTCTGTTAGTGACATATAACATGTATACTTTTAACGAAAACCTTCTCTAACTACGCAAAAAGTTAATAGCTGAATACCTGGATAAAAGGTACTGACACACCGATACCGATATCGAATACCGATATGACCAAGTTCATCAGAATTCAGCACGAGCAAATCAACGCCATTTTCAAAACATACCTCATGTGGTCAACTGAATTGTAGCCAATCTACCTCACACTAAATACAAAATTACGCATACATCCAGGGAAATAGCGTCAATGATGATTTTGTTACCGGAAACTCAGATGGGCGGCTTGAACAGGCCGCGTTGATGACGAACTGCTGATTTATGAAATACTGCTTTAATGAAATTGTTTCAAAATTACGGTTGCATCGGCTATCATTCATTCTAGTCGAGCACTATGAATTTTTTCTCATAGATTGACGATCTGAAATCTTCCTGTTAACGTAATCCTTGCAAGATATCAATATGAAGTTATGTTAAATCAATTTATTTTGAAAGTCGCACTTTTAAATCGAAACAGTCTTTTCTTTATTGCTATCAACAGTTTAAATGGCAGTGAAGCCAACTCTTCCATAGAACTGTTTTTTATTAAAACGTATTCATATTTCATGTAAATCTTTGTACTCAGACCAGAGTACTGAGTTCGAAAATACAAGTTACCGTATGGGTTGCAGTGTCAAAGAGGAGCAGGCAAACATGCACTTGTGAAATCTTAAGGAGTCAGTAACAAACATATCGTTAGCCCTTTGTTTATCCCTATCTGTGATCTGCATGTTTTTACAAACACTAAAGCAATCGAACTACTTCATTTGAACATGCTGTGGTCGTGATTATATCAGTGCATTGGCTCATGTCTTTGAGGCCAGAGACTGAAATATTCATTGGTATACTTATATATACATATAATGGACGCGTATAGTTACTTCTCGAGCTGTCGAAATCTTCGACTCAAATTTTTAAAAATGTTTGATACTAATGAAGTTAAGGTGGTGGTGGTTATAGAACATTACCCAAATCGCAGTCAAAAATATTGTATGGGTGGCATAAAATGGACTACACTATACATCCTTTATGCTAGATGTACAAATTAACAGTAACTTGATATACCAGTATATGTTTCTGGAACAATGATTGTTCTAATAAAACAAACAACATATGTACGAAATGAACATGGGTTTTTGCTGAATAGGAAAAACTTGAAAATTTTACGGATTACGTTGACGAAACGATATTCCGATGTATATATTATCCGATAACTCATCGTTTTAGCTGGCTTTAAAAAGCAAATTCACTAAATTGTTACGCGGCATAGTAAAGTAACCTTCATATATACATAGCGTTACATACATTAAAACCTAGTTTATGCATTCAGCGTGAACAGTGAAGTATACTTGTAACTATAAGATTAATTAAACACACATTTTACAGACATGTGATACTCCGTTGTTATGAGACCAAAGAAGGGATTTGCTTATAAACATGAAATAAGCCCCTCAATGCAAATCTTAATATAAATATTATTATTAATTATGATATGCATATAACATCGAATTACTTATTTTGTCAATGGTGAAGTTTACCGAAAGTCGAACTTAATCCTGAATGATTAACTCGCGATAGCGCTATCAGTTTTACTACACATTTCCCGATCATATGAATTTACGATCGAGTTACGCGGTGCGGTGACAATATAATATGGAGTAATGTAAATATTGACAATGAGGGTTTACAGTTTGCGATATTCACTTCTTTTCAGAGCATTTTATGTATGAGGTCGTAGTTTCGTAGTTGTATGCTGAGTATTCAGTCAAGGTACAACAAATGATGATAGGTTTTGGAAAAAATAAAATTTACCTAGGAACTTTGTAGGAATAGAGATACTTCGCTTTCTAAACAGCCTTTTCGCTGATGCCTTTTGAGTCGTCGTACCAGTCAAGCATATAGAATAATTCAAACGGGCAACTTCAAGCTAGGCTTAAAATATGGGTTTAGAATTTTATCATAGCGTATGTCATTTTTTCTAAGTACGGTGAATGCTAAGTGCTTTCAAAGCAAAGTCATTTGCAATTTCATAAGTCAAAGATACATCGGTCAGATGAAACGTTACAGAAATATATTTGTGTAAGTGTGCAGCAAGACTATTGAATTAAATATCAACGATATTTGTTTTGAAATAAAGGCACCGGCAACCATTGAAGTTCCAAGAGGTACCGAAAGAATTACGGTAACAATTGTAGTGGTGCATCACTCGCCAATATATGCGGGCTAACCAAGAAGATAGAACAGTCAGCGTGATCACGGATATAGCTTAAATAGACCTTAGAGGCAATGAATCTAACACGACTGAAGTTCTTGAAAAAAGTAATCAATCTTATTCTTGTTCGAATTCGATCTAGTGATTTAAAGGATCCGGTGTTTGTCATTCAAAACCTCTCAAATTCTCTTTATTTCATCGATTGATTCTGTTATTCAATGAATATATGTTATATTATGTTATTTTCAATAAAACACTATAGGAAATGAATTCAAAACCTACCTCTTTTCTCAACAGACTGCGTTATTCTTATTTGAAGGGTGATAATGAGCAAAGCTGAAACTATACTGAGTTCGATTGTATCCACAGTTGGAGCAATCGCAATTACAATTTTAGCGTTGAAACTGGTTGGATTTCTACGAAAATTTTTTGTACGAGAAAGCTATGATCATGGTCTGAGATATGGACAACACACATGGGCCCTAATTACCGCACCAACGTCCACCACAGGGAGTGGATTTGCACTGCAACTCGCAAAACGGGGTTTTCATATTGTTCTTGTTGGTAGAGACATTGAAAAAATGCACAGACTGAGAGATTTAATAGTGTTGAAACATATGGTGAAGGTGAAGTAAAAACATATACCCGCTCTCTCATTTTAGTACAACAATACCATAGATCGATATATGCATCATAAAATATAATTCTGAGAATAAAAATATTAAATATTGTTAGATATATATATATACATTGGGAATTTGCTAAAAAATATATATACCGGTAGCCATCGACACTAATATAAATTGTTTCCTTGGCTTGGAACGCCTATTAAAAGCACAAATCCTAAACGTTTTCAGAATTAGTTATAAGTTTCTGAATTAATCTACATAAGTCTAATAAAATGAGCAACATCCGACATTGTATCTATATTTATAGGTCCGAACAATTGTGGCTGATTTCCGCAAAGCATTTTCTCTACCCTTTTACAACGACATATTGCGACAAGTTGAAGATTTAGATGTTTCTATCGTTGTCAATGCGGTCGGATGCGCCGGATTGTCAGAAAAATTTCATCAAATGTCAGCAGAAAAAATAAGAGAGTGAGTTAAAGACGCCGACGAGTTAAATTGGGCTCCAATTTTATTTTATTTTTTTCTAAAAACACGCCGGAGAGCGCTACAATTTTACTATTTTAAACAAAAATTGTTTTATTATATTATTTTGATAGCTTCGTAAAAGCTTCTATAATAACCGCCAGCATAGCAAACATTAGTCGTTTTGTAGATTGTGACCTCGTACTTACAATATATCACCAGCACATAACGTGGAAGGTGGTAATGACATTTCCATGGTGTATATTCTTTCTGACTGGAATGTTGAATAATAATAACATCATAGATGATATATTAATATATTAGGGAGAGAATGGTTGTGTGGTTCAGTAATTAAACGGTAATTGCTGTATGTGTAATCGACTGGTACTAAATACTAATACTACGTGCCGAAGGCTTCATAAGTTTGCATTGCTATTAACCAATCATGAGGTATCAAAACCGAAAAAAATACCTTTTATGACTTTTCGAATGTGGTATGTATAGTATTTAATAATATCCCACCATTTTTTAAGATGCGCAGAATTATTATATTTTGATAATTTGTCAGTGTTCGCTTTTATTTAGGTTTTACCGTTTTGTAGCTACAACATGTGAAGAATGCAAATAACAGGACTTAATAGGTTTGCCAATATATTTCCAGGTGTCTTGTTGTAAATACGTTCGGTTGCGTGTTATTGTGTCAACAATTTCTTCCGAGACTTGTCCAGAGATTTCATCGAAGTGCAATCATCAACATTAGCAGCGAGATTGCACATCAAGCAATTCCGGGGATGGCAGTGTCGTCGGGATCAAAAGCATTTATTACGCAGTTTACAAGTGAGTTCTTGTGACTCTGAATAATCTATAAATAATTTTTATCCCTTCAACGCCTAGCTAATGCTCAAAGATATGATTTTTGTGTTCGTGTCTCTCAAAAATGATTTAACTGTTTAAGATGGTAGACTGGAATGGGAAAGCACACGGTATTTACTTTTTACAATCAATATCTATCTAAACAATTATTTAACTGTTATAGTCAGGCACTGAGGTCGGTAACGTAATATATAATACATGTAATTTTAACTTTATTTAAACTATGAACTGTTAATATAATGTCAATGTTATTTTCATCTCCGGTTCAACATTATTTGCCGCCATGAAATTCGACACTAGTATCATTCAGAAGATGGGAATAGCAACTGTGACGTCACATGCAACCCTTTTTATGAAGATTTCCTGAATGCTGCATTCGAAAAATAAAACTTTGCTCACCCCTTATGTAGTGAAACACCACTTATACATTGAATCACGAATACGGATCTGAGGTTGCGCGTTCTCCTGTCAGGAAATAAATGTTCCTCCAAATTTTTATACCGTCCGTCACGTGCGGTCAAGAACATTATATATATATATATATATATACGTTGATGAAAATGATATATTATCGAAGCATCGGCAAAATGAAATATCTGCCTATTGGTATCGTCACGTTTTCGACAGTATCGGTGTCCGCGAAAAAAGCGATACCGGTACATCTCTATTATATATATATATATCACCTGAATGGCTATATATATACATATGTATTATTAGTTAGCCGAATACAGATATGACATTGCTTATAAATGTATATATATATTATATATGTGTATGGACAGGTGAATTGACTGCATAGGCCTACAGTTCGCCGTATATGCATATCACGCCATCAACACCACTATTTATTCTAGAAAAAATAATATTTCGATCCCAATGTTAATATTGCTGAAGAATTTTCTTTGCGTTTAACTGTACAAATCATTCTCTGTTAGAACTGTTATATTTTTATTTTCCATAGTGGCCGCAGCGTACGAATACAGAGATAAAATTGACATTATGGCGACACAGCCGTTAGCCGTTAAGAAAAAGAGAACTGACGGGGAAGAAGGACGAAATTTGGTAAGTTGTGATGTCATCGCTTACAACCATATAGGTCGTACTCGTTCACATTCGTCAAATGTTTCTAAACGTACCGTTATATCACAATGTAATTTAGACTTTTGTAGGTTTCTGTCTGTGTAAGTGTGTAGGCTATACGCAATTACTTCTATATGTAGAAATCATAGAATAAGCATTTTTATTCGTCGTCTCAAGATTATCATCGACTCGGAAGCATTTGCATCTGCTTGCCTTCGTCAACTAGGACACACCAGCACAACATCAGGACATTGGATACATGCACTTCAATCCGGATTTTTCTGGATCTGGCCAAATGAATGGAAGCTCGCTGTCTGGGAAAAATTTATAATGCCTAAACATTTTGAAATGATCAAGGAACCAAGGCTCGTGTCCGCATCTACCCTACAATGAATAACGCAAAAAGATAAAAATTCCTAAAGTTTCTGCTTTAAACGATGCGCATGTAGGTCTGAGATATCAAGCTTAAACAAAAAGCTTTTCTATACACATTATAAAAAGTAGGCAAACTTTTATCGCTGCTTCATATCGATTGTAACATTTGTTGACGTTTCAGAAGTTATTGACAATAAGTCCCCCAATTAATAGGCCGATATTCCGAGCATATATATGTTTATGCCTATGCTTGCTTCAATATATTCAGTTAAAAACGACCACTTTTGTCACATATCTTCTAGTCATATGTATGGTAGATGAGAAATTTACAAAAGAGCATTATTGTAGGTATGAAGGGTTCGGTAATTTACTTACCCGAAAATCCTGAAAATGTTGGAATTGTAAGCACAATTTGGTATCAATATTCTGTTATCGTGAAAATGGGAAGTTGTCAGTGTAAACTATATGTCGTGTGGATGCATCAAATTATGAAATTGTGGGTGTTCTGGAAGTCTTAGAATACATATTTGATATCATCTGCTATGATGGACGTAAGTGTGCGCCGACGTTCACAGATAAACTGGATACGAATAAAATAAAGGAAGTCGAAGTCAATAAAAGAATGTTTAATTATAAACACTGATATTTGAAAAGAAATTGGAAATGCAATATAAAGAGAAATCACCTTTTGTGTTTATAAATACTCGGGGAATGAAAAATGTAGCAGTAGATAATGCTTAACAGAAGGCAGTGTACACAGTATTAAGTAAAATCCTTATACAAAATACACTGAACAGCACGTTATAAAAACAAACTTTAACGGGACTCAAATTAGTAGAATGAAGATCCAAATGCATCCATTCCTGATTATTGGATCAGATTATATATTCATTTTCTAAGCTATTTAATTTGGTCATGGCAATGAAAATTGTTTAGTTTGACAATGAATGAAAAAGTTGAGAAAAATATTTCTAAGAAATGAAATATCTATGGGCAGACAACGATAGTCACAATCTGAGCACAATAATTATTCATGTTCACTGAAATTCCGAAGGCTTCCCCAGTTTATGGATTAACAAGATGAAAAATGGCTTGTTTGAAAGAATATTTATTCGCTGATGACACGGAAACGAAACACCAATCCGGACTTTTGGTGAAACGCACATTACCAGGGTGACAGCCAGGCTTGTCCGTGGGAACGGGATTCCCATGGGAATGGGACAGCACACATTTGTATTTCCCATGAGACATGTGGGACACGAATCAACGGATGATTTTCGGGGAAATGATGCTAAAACACTTCGTTATGGACTTCGTGTCCATATATTTGAACATAGCTCTCTTGTTAGTTATAAAGAGCAAAATGTATTCAGCATTAACAATATACTTTGTGAAAGGGCTACATGTATAATAGTTATGAATTTAAAGTTAAGAAAGTCAGTAAATTTTGTTGTTTTGCATGTCTCTTCGTACATGCAGTCCTATTTAGTAGACGCTAAACCTAAATTTAACAATTTTTTATTGACTTGTATTCCAATGGGAATCCCATGGGATGGGACAGGCATAAATTGCTATGGGGTGGAATAGCAAAATATGTATCATGGACAAACCTGGTGACAGCATAACCCACGTGAGAAATTTTAACCAGATTGGCTCAGTAGTTTAGACGCTACAGCTAGACACAGAGACAGAAAAACGACCGACCACAGGGGTCTTCTAGTAAAATACTCTTAATAACGCTGGAAAAGGGTGATAATTCCAACATATTGACACTGGAGAGGGAATGAAATTTACAGTGTCAGTAACATCGAAATTCAGTTTGGTTTTCACAAAACATCCCAAGAATAATTAGTAAAACCGAATAATCCTATTTCATAACAGGTTTATGGAACAAACGTAAACAAATATATCCCAAAAGTCTAAAAACACACATTATTGTAAGTAATGACACAATGGCAACCCACGCTGGTTCGTAGACTTGATTTTGTTCCAAAATTTCTTGATAAGCAACATAATAGGTACTGTTCTGTTCGGTCATCAAAATACCAGTACTGTTGCTATCGTATGTCGATATTGTGCCGTTGCTCATCTGATTTTTGCAAGATTGGAATGAGCTTAGCTTTGGGTCGCATCTGTAAAAGTGGAAAATTCTATTCAAACGTCAAGTAAAATGAAAAAAAAACTTTACTTATAATAAACCAACATACGGCACACACGGAGATTTTTTTATTGTTATATATCATAAGCACTTCGCAATGAATGCATTTCGTGCAGAGCAAATATTATTCACAATTATGTAAGATATACGTTAGTGCATCCATCATCAAATATACAGCACAAATATTGCAAAATTATGCACCGCATAAGGGTTTATCGTGTAATGTTACAAGTGGTTACCATGGAGGCGACCAACGTCACAGAGGATAACTTTGATGGGAAGGTAAGTACCGTGATGCTGAGTTAAAGTCGTTTGGTCGTATTCCGAATTACTGGTAACATACAGATTGATATTAATTGAAAAATATAAAAATACATAGGCTATGTTAAAGTACCGTATTGAGATAGGATGTGTATACCTATTGGACTAGCTACATAGGCAGGTAACTAAGGCTTGGAACAAAATCAATAAATTATGGATCGTTGAGTACCGGTATTCACGGAGATTTTAAAACAAAAGGAAAAGCTGATAATGATAATTAAATTCAAATCTGGTTGATAAGTGCCGGCCCCTGTAAAGCGTTATCTTCCCGATATTGAGAAAAGAGGGAACTATAAAACATTCGCCTATTTTGCTAATATTAGAATATGCTTTCACTTACATAATTCTGTTATCTGAATCAAACTCCAAATATAATCCCAGAGACCACGCATGAGTAATCGGTGATACATATTTGAACCATGTAAGCCACGTTGGAAGATTTTTAACGTAAAATCCGCCAACTAATAAGAATGACATCATCATTAGAACCGCCAACACGAGTCCGTGATCAAAATCTAGCGTTGCTGCACTAATGAACAATCCTAGAATATATGTATAAAGAAGAGTAAAATTATATCCAATTTTAATTAAATTATAGTGTTCAGTATACCTAATTAAGATTTTTTCGGTAAATTCGATTCAGTACATGGCTACGCCAGGCAAAACAGGAACAATTGTTATAAACCCGAAATTGAAGCAAAGATTTATCCAACCCCTCTGACTAATACACTGAGTAAGACAAGTATGAATGAGTCTTGAACATATGTTTTATTTCGAATCGCAGCTGATTTCTTCAAATTCAGGTTTAAAGATGTCAATTTAGACTTTGAACCCGCTGTGTGATATAGTTGGTTTGTGTTGTTCCAGCATCCTAACTAATTAACAAAATATTGTGTGCTCACCTAGTGACTGTGCCGCCAATGCCTGCGTTAATATCACAACTAAATATCCAAAAAATGTCCATGGGTGATTTAAACCGTTCAATCCGGCCATCCAATATGTTATAGTGGTGTATATGGTCGGCAGCATCAGAGTTAATGGCAATTCACTCGCTAGCTTAGCTAAATAATATGCTGATAGACGATACGATCCCGCCATCCTTTCCTTATTTATCACAGTACGTTCACTCGGAACTGGAAGGTAAAAATATTGATTATCAAATCAATTGCTAGAATGTGTTGGCATAATGTATCTAAGTACGTTTTATCGTAATTTTAATGTATTTAACAACCTTGCCTTGCAGTTGTGAAAAAGTCTGCAAAGAGAAAAAAAATGTCACAAAACAGTTCTTTCCAACATTGGATTTCCAGAAAAAAATCTTTCTGCTTAGCTTCGAATGCCTATTAAATCCTTGGTAGCATATTATAACATCATCACTTCGAAACTGAGACACCTTCAAACCAATACCTTTTATAGTTATTTCCTAATGTTACTCATTCACCAAGAGGCTTTGGCAACCAACGGTACGTTCAATGACGTATACTCTATTTTAATTGGTGAGGTAGAAATGTGGATAGATTCCACGAATATTGGATACAGTTAGAGGTCTTGCGTACAAAGTTTCGGTGATTTTACCACAATTTATAAACGCTTTAGGCATTATCGCATGTCAAACGTGATTTTTTGCCTAAATTTACATCTGAAAACAAATCGTAACAACATGTGTACGTGCGTATTGGTGAGTAGGGATTCCAAAATAGTTTTCTGTAGTTTTGTTCAGAAACAAAAGACAAGCCAACTTGTACGCGGAGCAATCGTAAACAATCAACGTAATATTTTGCTGATCGATGCAGAAAGACTACGAGACTTGACAAATTACAAGCTTTTAGAATCCTGATCTGATGAAAGAAAAGAATGACTATAATCGCTATAATTCTTATAGTCTCAGGTTTTCTTGTCACTACATTCATCACTACTTTACTAAGAGATCAGTCACTTTCCTGTGCTTCCAAGTATGAGCAAATTATCTTATAAAAACTTAGTAGTTAGGAATTTTCTTTTGGATACTTACACAATTGTAAAACATCAAATAAAGGATCAAAGCTGCTGTAGAGTGTTGAGAAGAAATACTGAAAAGAATAAAAAAGATGATTAAATATAACCACACATTTTGCACCTGTTGACAAGCACTCTTTCTGGATTTAAAAAGTTCAAACACCGTTCCAGGGTGAATATTTTGGGAGGGTTGATTACAAAATAATTAGTGTTTCATGTTCCAGTAAATGGTTACGGCTATATTTATTTGGGGTATATAACGGCCTAAATAGTCCCAGCCCAGCTGGTAACCATGGTTATGATTTAGGCATCGTATTCTCTTTCTTCTCTCCTGAATACCTATAAAAATCATATCCTAGACTAATAGTTTCAACGATGTGAAATGTGGCATATAAGGAGTACCTAAAACAAGATATTCGAATATTCGAAAACAATGGTGATCCGCAAACTTACCAGGGCCGTTATGTCTCTGATTTTGTCTTCTGTTGGGAATCCAACTCCAATTTGAAACCACATCAGTCCAGCAATCAATGCGACACCAATACATTTGATAAACTTCAACTTTGAAAAGTATCGAGCTCTATGTAAAAAAACATATTATTTTAGACAATTTTGTGAAAAGTTATTAAAACTTAGTTCAACAAAAGCTCGATTTGTGCTGTTCACAAAGTTGTTTTTGAATAATACATTAAAAACACTACTCTGTGCAAAGTCAGATGTATAAATAAATCTTACTGAAGGGTCTCGATATCAAAGCATACAATGGTAAAATGAAAATTTAGAATTGTTTAAAACAGCTCAAGACAGTATGCAGTCAGTGTCAATGTGAGTTCAAACGATAAAATATATATCAAAACGGGGGAAATTTTGTAAGCTCGATGTAACAAATATTGGCATAAAACATCAAATGGTATTCACTTAATCTTTTAATGGCATTTAATGATTTATTTAAATTTCATCCCACTGATAAACCCATATTGTTTGCAAAATCAAATTGCCCATGTTGAATAAAATAAATAGGACCTAAAACCACGTCTGTCATGCATTTTCTTAAACGAATTGAATACGCACTTTCCTTGGATAAAACTTCGTTGAGTTAGAACACGCAGTTGCTTCCAAAAAGAAGTAGCCCACGTATGGCGTTTACGTGATTCGATTTCGTCTGTTTCCATGCTGCCTGATTCTGACGATTCACTGTCTGTGAGATTAACGTAAAAAAACATAGAAAATAAAAACCACACAAGAACAAATAACCATGTAGGTAGACGAAAGGTTAATCTTGTTTCGCGTTTCGAATGGTAAGATTTCAAAATTGATTCAATCATTTCCTTATATATGACATAATTTAAATATTTTACAAATCTCCTTACGATTGATCGATGAGTTGCGGTTAATGAAAAGATTTTTGATTTAGTGCGAGAGATATTATTTTAAGCAAACTTCTATGAAAGGGATAATGTTAATTAAAAACATCTAGCAAACTTGTACAAATTTCGGTTATTGGAATAAACACGCAAATTTTATCACAGTTTGTACTTGGAACTGACTCAAAATATTTATTCTTGCTTCTGTATAATTATCGTTTTAAAAAACGGGTTGCTCTTGATCCTACCTCCCATAATATAATCTTGACGACTGCTATTTCTCAATGATCCATTGAGACTCCCGTTTCCAATTTTTTCCTCGTTGGTGATGAGCATTGCACTGCTTTCCTTTGTGGTTATTTCTATTTCGTTCGATGTATCACCTTGTTTCTCTCGTTCTACATCTGAATATAAAAAAGTATGATCATTCATAAAACATACCTGAATTTATTTTTTCAGTACCAAGAAAGCAATAAAAATTTATAAAATCATTTTAATAAATTCGTCAGCAATATATTCAAGGCTTTCATGTTTTGAAACCGAAATAAAGGCGGCGACAAAAATGAGGTGCCCCATTTACATTTAGGTATAATAAGCCCCACAGACGATTTGCTTCAATGACTTCATGTTGTTCTGAACATTACTTCGCAGTTGCAATTTTTAGATTCACTTTCTGTATAAGCGTCATTTTGGTATTTCACGTTACATAATTACTCAAAGTAAAGAGGAAAGAAAGTGCAATTCTCAGATGAAAAACAATACTAAAAAGCATCGGCCCAGAACGGGAGAACATTAACAACATCCAGCATGAAAACCCCTAGTATAACACCTTTTTTTAGCATATAAATATAAGCCCTATTTATCTCTCAGTGATGAAAATAGTGAAACAATAAAGACAAGGCTTATAAACATTAGGACAAACCGTTTAAGCATGGAAAAAATTTTCTTCTAAATTTTGAAAATAAGGACGGTATATGGAAGCCATGACTTCGCTGACTGTATTCACTGGCGTGCTGACTGTATTCACGATTCGTGATTACTAAACATAATACCAAATTAAATGCCAATGCATCTCTGCACATATTCCAAACACAGGTAGTATTCATCTGAGATGACAAATCAGTTATTCATGCATGAGTTGTTTAAGCACATTCCGTTTACAGCATGAAGATAAGTGGGGATTGTAAGCCACAGTAACATCATATGGCGTGCAAGATATAATGTAATGTTTTGAAAGTTACAGCTATACCTTCAATTGCTGATTTGCTGAGTGGTTTCCCTGTAAACGTACTTCGGCGGATTGGGCAGTCTTGATTTGTGAGACGAAGTTTGTTGGACGATGATATTATGCTATCAATCTCATCAGCTTCCAATTTCGTCATATCCACTGAAACGACAATTCAATTAAAAAGTTATGGTTTATTCTGCATTAGAGTATGGAGTGAGAGTGTTGCAACTTGCAAGTATACAGAACGGTCATATATAACTCATTCGTGAGAAAAAGAGACCAATAGGATTTGTATAGCTTTAATTTTACTTCACAAAATACAGTTAATTCATATACAATTTCCAACGTTAACTATAAACTACTTACATATGAAATCGGCAGGGTTATAATGTGGAATGTCACAAGAATGACCGAGTTCGGCAAAATGATCAAGTACGTCATTCGGTGAACCATAATACGCTATCTTTCCTTCCGTCAACAACAATATTGTATCGAAGAGAAAAAACATCTGGTAAATTAACACAAAACCATGATGGCATGTTACACATATCGCGAGAAAAATAGTAATAAATTAACATTTCACTTACACATTTCTATCAGGTAATTAACTCTCCCTACACGTAGGTTAATAAAGCTTTGCAAAGGAAAGTATTATACGCAGCATTCTAATGGGAAAAGCCTGATCTTCGCAGTTCGGTGAATAACCAACCTGTTTGTACAATGTGGTTGGGGTAGTGACCAATAGTCGAAACTCGACTAACTTGCTAGGTGGAGAAACGGAAAATCATCTTTGTATTTTTATTTGGAATAATGTGAGACTAGAAAGTTGTATCAAATGTAGGAAATTTGACATGAATGACAAAATTGCCCGAAAATGGTATAATTTTTTAAAACAAAAATCAATTCCGAACATACAAATTTCTACATAAGATTCAAGTATCAGTTGTATCAAATTTTGTTTAAATTGAAAGCTATGGTAATCTACTCCAATAACAGGTATAAGAAATGAGTTGAAGGGTCTACGAGTGAAGTATTCGAGAAAGTCTAAATTACTGCTATTCCAAAAATACCTGTGAAGAAGGTTGATGAACTGTCATCAATACGGTTTTGTTAGTTTTAACAGCATACTGTTTCAGCGTCATAATAAGTCCGTAAGCTGTCGCACTATCCAAACCAGACGTCGGTTCCTGTGTCGCAAAAACGAACGATGTTAGACTATTTCCAGGCTAGTGCAATAGGCCTAAGTATAACTGATTTTAGGTTAGAATTTTCTTGAACCTATCAACATTTTACCCATTTTATTGTTTACTTTAAAATAGTTGCAATGTTCGATATTGAGATGATTGTTCAGTATCATAAAAACCCGGATTTATAATATTACGTAAAATTCAAGCTTTCAAATCCAATTTTACTGATCATTTAACTTATTAAACCCAAACTGTTTTCGTTGGGAAATTTGAATGTTTTCCTGACCGGTTTTATTTCCAACTGAAATCTACATTTCAGAGATATTTCCTGCAAATTTATCGAAAATGAAAAGTTATACTCATACCCGACCGGTGCCATCAACCGGTGGTGGCGGTACGCTAACAAATTGTTTAAAATTTACTATCGTAAACCATGATTCAATGCTGCTGTCGTCAAATTTTGAATTTCATAATTAATTTTCTTCTGCATGTTATTGTAACATTTTTGTGGCAAGACAATGGTAATGTAAGCTGTTGAAATTGACTTTATAAAATACACAGTCTCTGAATCACTAATTTATACAAAGGTTCTTCATAATCACTGATATTACCTAAACATTTCATTTTTTATTACATAAACTGTGTCTAGTATATGAATTTTAACGACGCAATATACCGCCAGTCATATTCAATTTTCATTAAAAGTCTTTTTATTGAATATAGCTCCAAAGAAGAATAACCATCGTCCAGTTGTTATGAACAAAATATAAATACTGGATTTGTTATGCAAGTTTATTAGGAAATGCATTTTTCAAAACGAACACCTGTCCGAACTTGTTTTAATTTGTCACTCGATTTCCGATAACATTCAGAATACATTTTGGGATAACAAGCAGTGCCTCTAAATATGCCCAATATGCCCCGGTGAATCACATATGTACTTTACCAACACTATACTTTATTTAAAAATACTTTTCGTTATGATGTACATCATTGATAAAATTTAGTCGCTCGTATATTATTTTATCGCAAATTATTGTTATTACTGTGTATGGATATTCGAAAATTTTCGCCAATGTATCGTTATTAACTAATATTGACGGAAATCCGCCACAATTCGTCATAACCCACATTCGTCTATCTATAGCATTCTTTTTTTTACATAAGCCATTTTTAATATTCGATTATTAATATTTTTTAATTGTAGCAATTTCGAAATACCTTTGTTGAGCAAATTTGAATTAATGGAACAATATACAATCTGATACGAAATTAGCTTGCATTAAGTAGGTAATTAAATTTAGTGAAATTAGGAAAAGGATAAGACAAATCTATAAAGAATATAACATCTCGAGCCATACATAATTCTTTTCAAACAAACAATTTTTAGGATTTTGAGGCTTAAAACTTGTGACGGATTAGTTTCATTTAATTTGGCTTATTCCAGAGTATTACTACTGGTGACAAATTTTTAAAAGACTTTATTAAGTATGTTGATTCCTGAGTTGCGTTTGTAGGGATTTCGGGATTAGTCGGAATTTATCGCTCCAACGTGCAACATACATTTTGTAATCGATTCAGACTCGGTGTTAACTCATATACAATATACTGTGAATAATATTGGGGCAACTGCTGGAGGATATAATTTAGTTATAGTTATAGAATCACAGATAATTGTTTTTTTCTGAAGAAGAGAGGTTCATCACAATACGACGAAGACAGAAAAAGCATAAAATCTTCTACTTGGTTTTTATATTTAACCCGGTATACCTGGATACCGTTCAATCAATCTATAAACAGAAAAATTGGTCAAATTTTGAACATAAAAAGGGAAACAAATTTGAAGTTTTATTGAAATTTTGTTACATGGATTTTACGAGAATCACCTTCATATTTGTGTTTTTTTTTGGCGGAAAATATAAAAATTTTATTAACTTACATCGAGCAATAAAACAGCAGGATCTGTCAACAATTCATTTGCAATGTTTGCCCTTTTCTTTTCCCCTCCTGATAAACCCCGAATCATATTGTTGCCGATGACTGTAAAAAAAAAATTCTCAAATGTTATTCACTAAATTTTAATTAAAATTTCACAATTTATTTGCTTGAAAATATGATGTAGGTAAAGTGTTCCGTATTAACATAAAAAAAAATATTTTGCAATGTAATTTTGATCTTTCGATTAGTGCAGGGATTCCCAAACTGGGAATTTTTCAAGGAGTATATTGGATTAGTTTTTTTTTTTTCATAACCTATAATCTGCCCTAAATCATTATTTGAAGACATGAGTTGTACTTTTGCAGTTCAAGTGACTTATTTTATCCAATCACAATGCGTAATTACAAAAGCTCTAAAGCAAAAATGTACAATAGTACGCGAATACAAACATTAGGAAAAAACAACATTAATAACACATATCTTAATGTACTCAGTTTTTTGAAACTGTGCAATATCATGGGTATTGCAATCTTTTTCACAGCACCCGTATGATAACGAGTCACCTTTTGCCTTCGACATATTTTTATAATGCAAATTCGTAACTGACTACCGTACAGTTACTTCACTCGTTACGTAGTATCGTTTGATAAAATAACGATACAGAAGATGGAATAGCAACCTCAGAATTATCTATGTTCAGCAACGAATGGTTTCGATGCTCTGAATTAAGTCGTTAGACTAAGAATTTTCCCAGTCAGAAACTCAACAAACGTTTATTCGATCAATGGTCTCACACTTATTTGAATTTATAGACCACTATTATGGAAGCGATTGCGAGTCCGAATTAGGATATAACAAACTGTTCAAAGCAATCATTCATATATGCAATTCGAAGCAGTTAAGCGCATCAGTAACTTGACAGCTCTACATGCTAACTCATTTAGAACTGAGGCCAACATAAAAAATAGTCAAAATGCGGTATAATATAGGCCAGCAAGAAATAATGTGATACAACAACAGACTTGTAACAAGGAAACTCACTTGTGTTCATGCAATTATCAATTTCCAGTTGGTCCACAATTTCTTTCACAATACCTTCTTTAACTTTCCGGGGCCATTTTTCAGAAAGTCGCAATTCAGCTGAAAACTAAATAAAACGGGGATTTTAATGTAAATATTTAAATTTTATTAAGGTAACATACTCTCAAGAGAATAGCAAACAAAATCAACAGCAATGGTTGTAACTTCGTCGGCCCCTACATGGACAAGTAATATTTCTAAGCTCTGTAGTGCGCAGACGAAAGATAAAATATGTTTCGTCCATTGGGAATACCAGAGATTTAAATTTTGACATAATTTCCTCTATACTCGAATTCATAATCGAGTGAATCGTAGCATATTTGCAAGCTAGACCAGGCTTTTGTGGTTATTGTTGCGTGGAGAGCACGATTGGAACACATTTGTGAGATGTTTGATACATATCATTCATAAAAATCGATAGCTTCAGCATGAACATGAAATACATTCTAAACATGAGTTGTAACTGCTTGGGAATGGAGCATTTCACAAAAAAATAATACAATTACCCTACAGAACTTGCAACATATTTGAGTATATTTGTTAAGTGACCGCACTCACCATCAAAGTTTGCCCCAATGTTAAATTCGCGAAAAAAATGTCATTTTGTAAAACATAACTTATTTTTCGTCTTGTTTGTTTTGTTAAAGGTTGTCCACCAATCCACGCCTTTCCACTATTCTGGTGTATTCGACCTCCAATGATGTTTAGCAACGTAGTTTTGCCAGAACCTGTTGCATAAAAATTGAATAACATAATGAAAAAAAAAATGAAAAAGTATGTTTTATGGCACTCAAAGGGAGAACTGTATCTTAATATGTACATAATGCGTAGGCCTATGTAAAGATACACCTCTTCAGAGTTGCATTTATCACCATGTACATAATAATAATGAACTGGATAAATAACATAATAATATGTATAAACGGCCAACTGTTAAACATGATTTCCGAATGGCTTATATTTAATTACCTTGGTTTGAGTGCTAATAATGTTTTAATTCTAAAAATCTGTTATCTCTTATTTAACCAAATTTAATATCAGTTACGTAATACCTTATATAACATTTGTAATGAACAGAAATTTGGGAGCTCCCGTAGTATGTAAACCAGGTTAGGGTTAGGCCATAATTTCATTTCAATTTTCCGTATTTTAGTTCTATTATGAGTTCGGGGACTAGCCAAGTCACTCCCGTAGTATTTAACCCTAACCTGGTACACATACTACGTTCCGGTGTCCACCATATTGGTTCACACACTGTGGGGAACCAAAATTTGATGAGAGTTGAGAGATATTTGTTTTCTACCAATACAAGTACGACACCTTATATATGACCAATGACCAATTACATTTTCAAGGAATTTCTATATAATGAGGTCGTTGATTTAAGGGGAAAAAAAGATAATGCCAAAAAAATCGGTTTCTTACCACTTGGCCCCATAACTGCAAACACTTTTCCTGGGTGGGCGCATCCGCTGACATCTTGAAGAATTTTTTTTCCTTTTAACGATAAATTTAAATGCTCAAACTTGAGCAGTTGTCCAGGTTGCGTTAGTCTTTGATCGCTGAAGCCGTCCGGAATCATCAACTCCAGGGTTGTGTCATTAGCATGACTCTCAGAAGAGAGATTGTTTGGTTTTGATGGCATATTCTATTCCAAATTGCACTTCCTATTTTTATGAGCGTGTTATAGATATAAACTATTAAATAACAGAATAAATAGTATTAGACTGAAGGAAATATGTTCGGTATACTTCCATATTGACGACGGTTTTAGTAGCTCCTCTCTGCAAAATCCAACGGGAGGCAAATTTATGAAAGCACTTATCGACATAAAAGGATTAAAATTCATATACTCTCTCATATAAAAAATATATATCATTTATTGCATTCCAAACATACGCTAGATATCGATTAGGATTATATGCCGTATGGAAATGACAAGGTCGCTCGCTGGTCGGAAATGAGGTGAAGAACAGAAGAAAGGAGTTATTGCTCTATTGAGCGAATATGTGCTAGTGAAAATATTACGAAAGGATCAATAGACTCAAATCAGAATATTTCAGGTTGGGAATATTACCAATGAATGAGGTGGCCTAGACGAGTTATGGAATCCGCGAGAAAATTATAATTTGTAATAAGAATATACGATGATAATCGCTTATTTTATGACACGATGTCCCGTATAAGTTCCCGACTGAGTGAGCAAAACGTGCAATTCATTCACGAAAAATCCAACATTTCTCAGCGTAATACATATTCATGACGCAAAATACATAACATACCCCTGTCAATATAAGGATTCCTTGCTTTTCAACGTTTCGATATGGACGTTCGCTTGTTTCATATTGATGCAGCATTGTGAGCAATATTAGAAGACAATATTTCACCTCAATTGCTACAGCTGGGTCGAACATATACGCAGATATCTACAACTTCTTCTAAACCTTCCGATTTGTTAGAAATAGTACAACCAAAATATTACTGAAACTATATTAACTTACGGTTAGGAAATAATATTGATCAGAATTACCATTAGGCCGCGTTCACTACTAATTGTGTAATATATATATATATATATGTATAGCACGACAGCTGAGTTTATGAAAATGAATATCATGCAAGTGAGAACTGAGGTGAATATAAATATTCGGCGACCACTTAAAAATAAATCACCTAATCTCAAGCTATTTTTGTCAAAAGGCTGGCTGCTGCCCCGCAATTTGATCAAATTTTTCGGCATTCGGCCTTTAATTGAATACGCATAGGCTATCACGATCAAAAATAAGATTTTTCCAAATATAGCTCGAATTATAAACGACGAAACAATAATGAAAATGTTCACAGGCCACAGCAATTTCCCCATAGGGTCTTGTCAGTTGGTACCTTTGTACAAAGTACTACACTACTGTACTATGAGTTTTTTTTTCATTTCGAGAAATGATTCAGAATACATATATTATTATATCTTTATAGAAAAATAGCATGTAAGTATATAAATTTGTAAACTTCTTATCATCCAACACTAATATAAACGCCCAATCACAGATGAGATTATAAAAGCATTTATATTCTCTTTCTTTAATAATGTTCACTTCACCATCTGCAGATGTGAACACTGCACCCCTTTTTTGAATTGTTCCATCTCAACCTTCCTGCTACTTTTATATCTCTACTCTTTGAAAAAGTCCAATCCTTTGTATTGAGAACACGACTCTAAAACGTACAATAGCTGCGAGATATATTCGCGGTTGCTGTTTGACGCAGAACAATATGTATGTCATTGTCTGATTACGAAAGACCCGAACACGCTTGAAACATACATTGGTCTTACAATAAGGCTTCTATTGAAATATCTCATACAGTCATACATGATTTTTGCGAATAATCGATATGTATTGGTAGATCATGGTAAAACTATGCAATATTGAATTCACTCAAAAATGCTGAATCACCGCTGAAAAGAATGATCTAGTCAAACGGATTTCATGGTTAAAATGTATAACTTGGTATTTCCAGAACAACAAGTCAGAAATATTAAATTGAATAGCGATAGTAAAAACATTATATTTATATCCAAGATTATTTTAACCTGAGTGCAGTGGTGGTCAAACATCTTTGAATGAGCAAAGTCAATTTTGGTCTCTTCAGTAATTCCTAGAAACGAAGCCTCTACTAACTTAGTATACAGGTACATGCATTTCAGTTACTTCTGTATGAAACCGTATCATCTGTCAAACAGAAATTTGAATACAACCTGGACATGTCCGAACAATGAACATGCAGGTGTCCGGAGTAAATTAGGCACATATGTTAATTTTACAATAACATATTTAAATAGATTATTCGACATTGAAACTAATTGTGAAGCAGATTTCTGTAAAATCAACTATTCGTATATGACCATGCATACTATATCAACTAAGTTCCAACCAAAAATTCTTACGACAGCCAGTTAGGTCCAATTTTATCTCAGTTCCACAATGTGCCGCAGCCTTCCTTTATAAAAACAAAAATTGCTAACGTCATGTTTTAAAACGTCGTTAAAACGATCTCAGACTCACTCAAGTATCACGATCGGTAAGTGACATGACGTACTTACTCGCTTATTGCGCCATATCCATTGAATAATTTATCAGTATGGCGCAATACCTAACCGGCATGTGCAGTAACTTGTTTATAGATTCTTAAACCTTATCTAACTCCACTATGGTGGCCCATCGTTGTCACGCGTAAAATTGAAAATAAAAATAAAAAACCGAAAATAAAAAAATTGTTGTAAAAAAACATAAAAATAATTAAAAAAACAATGAAAAAAAAAAATTAAAATTAAAAAAAATAAATAAATAAAAACGAAAAAAAAAACAAAAAAAAAAAATTAAAAAAAAAAAAATTAAAAAAAAAAAATTGAATAAAAATAAAATAAAAAGGTTGACAACGATGGTCCGCTTCGTGGCCCATCGTTGTCACGCGTTTTTATTTTTAGAAAATTTGCTTCTTCTTGGGACCAACGTTGTCAGGCATAATCCTACGCGCACAAATGTGTTCTCTGGGTTTCAAACTCACTACTGATTTTCTTGAGCAATATTCAATATGAAAATGTTCTATAAATTCTCCATGCTACAAGTTCAACAAGAAGTAATATATTTATAATAATGATAAGAGAATATAGAATTGAATACGAAAATTCGGAAAATTTGTTTTTACGTGTATAAGGTAATTTAATTGGAGAATGCTGCTTAACTACTCAGTTGTCTGGACACTCGCGATGCCGGTACCGTACCATCTTACCAAATACCGGTAGTCGGTTATAGTCGCTTTGCGTCTGACCGTACCGGTAGCCATACAATCACTCATGTAAGAATGGGAGATACGGATAGTCTCGTAGAATATAGACAACTGAAACACTCTCTGCGCCTGCCCCATACCGTACAGCCGTAACGTACCGATCCAGACAAATGATAAATCGCCAGTGCTCAACCATTTATTTCAATCCATACCATGATCCTAGTAGAATATAGTGAGTCGAGGTATGGATTGAAATAAATGGTTGAGCACGGGCGATTTATCATTTGCCTGGATCGGTACGTTACGGCTGTACGGTATGGGGCAGGCGCAGAGACTGTTTCAGTAGACTATCCGTATCTCCCATTCTTCCACGAGTGATTGCATGGGTACCGGTACGGTCAGACGGTACCGTACCGGCATCGCACGAGTGTCTGAGCAGTTAAGCAGCATTTTCCAATTAAATTACCTTCTACACGTAAAAACAAATTTTCGTATCCAATTCTATATTCTCTTATCATTATTATAAATATATTGCTTGTGGTTGAACTTGTAGCATGGAGAATTTATAGAACATTTTCATGTTGAATTTATTGGATATTGCTCATGAAAATCAGTAGTGAGTTAGAAACCCAGGAAACACATTTGTGCGTGTAGGATTAAGCCTGACAACGTTGGTCCCAAGCAGCATCAAATTTTTCAAAAATAAAAACGCGTGACAACGATGAGCCACGAGGCGGACCATCGTTGTCAACCTTTTTATTTTCTTTTTATCCAATTTTTTTTTTCAATTTTTTTTTTTTTAATTTTAATTTTTTTTTTAATTTTTTTTGTTTTGTTTTATTTTTCAATTTTTTTTTTAATTTCATTTTTATTTTTATTTTTATTTTTTCAATTATTGTTATGTTTTTTTACAACTATTTTTTTATTTTCGCTTTTTCATTTTATTTCTTCATTTTTTTTTTAATTTTACACGTGACAACGATGGGCCACCATACTCCACTTATGTTGCGCCAGAATCTTTGACTATATCATAACATAAAATAACCCATTTTTTGTGCCGAAACCAGGATTCCTGAAATTATTGTTGAAACGCATTACGATGACCATATTGTTGGAATCATACCAACATATAAAAACGAGAATATCGGTCAGAGACCGAAGACTTATCGATCGAAAGTTAGGGAATCCCCCAAAACAGAAACTGCGGTTTCGATTCGAAAAATTCTGCAAGCCCGAACTGGATTGTTTTGATTAGTTTTCAGCCAATATCAGAAATGTAGGAAACAATAGCCAACTCCCCATGTCGTCGAAATACTACTCGAGGAAATACTTTTATGAAGAATTCTGCAAATCCGAACTGGATTGTTTCGATTAGTTTCCAGCCAATAGCCTATTTCTGTATTTACCAATCCTATAGTTTGTGTCAAATACAACGGCGCTAACCCAGGTTGCTACGGCTATTCAAACACAGCCTAGCGATATTTTGGTGAGGAATTCTGCAACCCCGAACCTGATTTAGAGATATGGACATTGCTTAAACTTTAAGGAGTAATTATAAGTAACGAGATACGATCTCGCGGCGTGTATCCTTCGCTCTGACTCAATAGTGTGGAAAATTTCTCGAAGGAAACTTGCGCATCGCGACGACGTCAAAGTTACAAGAGAGATATGGACAAGGCTCAAAGATTAATCACCAGATACGATCTAGCGGTGTGTATCCTTCGCTCTGACTCACTAGCGTGAAAACTTGCGCATCTGATACGCACACACACATTCAGCGCGTCTCGAAAATCTCTCGATTTGTGAAAATCCAGATCTCTTCATCACTAATTAATTAATAACTCGCTAATTATACGACATAATTCATCCAAAATCAATAGGCTTCTGGTCCGAGATATGATGAATGCACATGCAAAATTTGGAGCAGATTCAACCACGCCTTCGTGAGATATCGCGTGCATCTAACAGACACACAGACAGACATACATACA